AATATATTTTTTGAATTGTTATTGTTGTAAATTCCATAGTGTTAGAATACATTATATATCGTTTGGTCAAAGTCATGTTCAGAGGGGCTTAATGTATCAAAATGGTAAACGAGTATATAACTTTTTAAGAGGTAATTTGCATATTTTTTTTTTTTTTTTGGGGGGGGGTAAAAGGTAATTTTGTAATAAGAAATGATGTCACTGTTTTTTAAACTATATATTTGCTCATCATCGGTCATATTCCTTTAACAGGTGTCCACGGCATCCCGTTATATGAAGAGAGAACTTGGCGAGTTATTCATATTACTGCAGTATCAAGCACAGGCTAATAGACTTAAAGTGTTCGTGAGACGAGCGCAAAATTTGCCTGGAGCCGACAGAAGATCTCTTTTGTCACCAGGTAGGTAAACCTGTTTCATATTTCGTAATTCTGTTATCCTATCATCTAATCAACATACACTAAAACAAAGAAATCCTTAACAGTTGTCTCTGAAATAACAGGACTTGCGTTTGCAATTCGGTCTGAAGAAGGAAGTCAAAATTCCATATATCTTATCTAAACCCCTTAATATTACAACAAAACATTGCTGAAATACACGAAATTATTTCAGTTTTCTTTTTTAAAACGTTTTAAATGCATGATATCATTTTGTTCATCAAAAGTCTTTGACTTATATGACAGTTAAAATTTACTGCTTCATTTCAGAGTATTATGTATCCGTAAAGTTGTCATATCACAGTAAGGTAATCGAGATAAAAGGGACCCACAGCCGGCATGGTCAAAACCCAGTCTGGAACGAGCCCTTTCTTTTTAACGTAGCTGAAGGCCTACAACCAGAAAATCTGACACTCGATTTTTCTGTTATGAGAGTCCACACCTACAGTAAGAATGCAGTTGTGGGGCATGTGCGAGTTGGAATGAATGCATCCAAAGCAGGGATTGCGCACTGGCAGGAGGCACTTATGCCAAAAGGTCTGGATACAGCCAAATGGCATAAGATAGTGCCGGTTATTGTCTACGGCACTTTATAACATGACTTTATTTTTAAAAATACGAGTTTATCCCATATTGTTCTGTTGATTGCGTTGCATAAAAGAGAGGTGGTGATTTGCTTCATTAAAATGGGTTTTGATGCCATTTTGACACATTTCTGACAAGAGACACTCGTGCCGATTTGATACTGTGTACTGTTTTTTATCCGTATCTCCGACTATGTTTTATATAACTGTACATTAGTTACTATAATGATCATAGATTACGTAAGTTACAACTAACAAAAATAGACCTATAGTTTCTATATATAACAAGTGTTTTATTACTAAAACGGTGAAATATTGGCCATTTGTAATTAATTGTTAGTATTTGAAATAATAAAATAAAAATTATAAATGGTGCTCAGAAAGGTAAATAAAATCTACATTTCAATTTATTCCCCTCATGGAAGTTTGTTAACTTGGGACGTGTTCAAATTTTTTCACGCCTTGCAGTTAAATCTATATCTAGCACGTAAAGAAGATAAAAATCTTCCATTCGACAAGTTTCTAAGGATATCAATTCCCTCCCTTTGTTAGCATATCACTTAAAACATGTTAGTATATCACTAAAATAGAGCGACAACAACTTTCTCGAAATCTGAAAAGACATGGCGCATGGCTATGTCGCTGCATCATGTCATCTTTCAAATGCTGGACATAATCTGGTAGCTTGGTCAACGACGTGTTCAGCTTTACAGTTAAGTTGGCAGCTTAAACCGTAGACATCACATCATGAACAATTCAGAGAATACATTACCTTTGGCAACCTTTACTTTAAACAGTTAACATTCAATACAGTGTCATTAAAACAGTTTATATAGAGTTTTACATAACCAAGCTAAGGAAAAAGGAAAGATATGTTCTTGTCGACAGCTAGGTACATGCGTGCCTCAAATTTATTCCCGTTGGATGGATACTTTTTAAGAATTCTTCTGTAAAACTCTCATGCACACCTGAAGAAAAAGACAACAAAACAAAGATGTCATAAATCAACACAGAAAAGTGTTACATTTCTAACATAAAAACTTAAGCTCTATTTCTGTTTGTTTTATTAGCAACAGATAAGAGAATGGTAGACCGTGACCCCTTATCCTAGCACTGAAAGATTTTACTATTTATCACCGCCAAAAGTGTCCTTTCTTAAAACATAAAATTTATGAACTTACAGTTTTGACTTCAGTATAGCCCTCTAGAGCATACTCCCCCAGTTCACGTCCATTACCAGACATTTTGTAGCCACCGAATGGCATGGCAGCATCAAACTTATTATACACATTTATCCTGAAATACAACAATTACTATAAATTGAACTGAAACTTTGTACTAACGTGACGCCACTAATACTAACCACTGTTAATCTCTAAAAAATCATTTAAGGACGCAACCCTTGACTTGTTATACATGGCATTATGCAGTAGATGGCGACGCAAAATTTTCGATTTTCTTACAGGATCAAATAATTTTTTCTGTATCAGTTCTCACCATATAGTCCCAGCTCTTATTCCCTGGATCAGATAGTTCACCTTGTCCATATCATTGGACATAATGCCGCCTCCCAGGCCGTACATGCTGTCGTTTGACCTTTCAATGACCTCATCTAGCGACTTGAATTTAAAGATTGACTGCACAGGGCCAAAGATCTGGAAGCAAGATGATTTGCATAGCATGAATATTAATTCTTTTGTGTGCCGTATGTTTTGGGTTCAATATCTGGAAAGAAAAAAAATGACTTACCGCAACTATTTGTTTACTACTAGTGTCTACTGTAGTTCCAAAACGTAATTGTTTTGTGGTAGGCCTACTGGAATGGGTGACATCTCCCAAATTTCTTAAGTGCTTTATCTAGGTAAAGTGATGAAAATTATCATTTACCTACCTCTTCTCTGGCAATTCTCATGTTATCGGTACAATCTGCAAATACTGTTGGTTCCATGAAGTATCCCTTATCGCCAATCTGGTGCCCTCCAATAGCTAACTTGGCACCTTCTTTCTTTCCGCTGTCTACAAGGTTCAGAATCTTGCCAAGCTGTTCGTCATCAATCTAGCAATGTTAAAATACGCATCATATCTGGGTAACTACAATGTAAATTATTGATTATAACTTTAAGAATACCCCCTCAGTTCGATTGGTAATGAAAATTTTTATCTTTTTTTCCCCACAAAAGCTACTCATACTAATCGGGTTCCAGTGGGAAACTTTTAGAAATTTATAGCTGTCCATGAAATGAAGGTTTTGCTTTTACAATGAACTCTTAGACTAACTTGGGGGCCCATCTCATTGCTGGGGTCGAAGGGATCTCCAACAGTTCTTCTCCGTGCTCTTTCAACGCTGGCCTCAACAAATTTATCATATATTGACTCCTCCACATAGACTCTCGTGCCAGCGATACAGCACTGACCGTGGTTAAAAAACGTGGCGAAATGGCAGTTTTCAACGGCGTCTTCCACTGCAAAAGTTATTCAGAACTAAAAACAAACATTACACATATACAGATATTAAGAAATACTTTATAGAAAAAAGATTTAAAAAAACTCGGCAACTCTTACTGCAACACGGTAGTTACCTATCAAAAAAAAAAAAAAAAAAAAAAAAAAAAAAAAAAATATATATATATATATATATATATATATATATATATATATATATATATATATATGGGGGTAATCAGTTAAATCCAATAAAATGCACTAGCATTTATAATTTACCCTGAAATTTATATTTTTATACTGTGACGCACAAATTTCTGAAATGTTTAAGTGAATTCATTGACAATACTGTCATCTAAGAAATACTACCTTTCAAATTTTGATATGCTTTTCAACCATGCGAACACATTGCTAGTGAATCTTATTTCAAACTGAACTGTTTTTTACTATTATGGGGCAAACGATGCAAAAAACACCTCCAAGTTCCACAAAACAGGCGATTACTATTAAGATTTGATATGTTGTATTTTTAGATTTGACATGCACGTTTTCTTCTAGGTAATTGCAATTGTGACCCAAATGTTACTTGGCTTTTGTCAACTTACAGTCTGCGTCCGACAACACGACGACTGGACTCTTCCCGCCCATTTCCAAAGTGATTCTCTTCAAGTTACTAGCACTTGCCATTTGGGAAACTAACTGTCCCACCTGAAATGTTTATAAACGATGCTAAATAGTCTTTCCTGTTCTTTAATATTGTAAAAAGTATATTTTCACAACTGTTAGAAACGTCAATAAAATGAAAATCGATCAGCAAAATCGAAAGTCGTCTTTCCTTCATACCTCTGTGGACAATCAGTATACTAAAACAAAAGAGCATAGTTCCTCGAAAACTAAGAAGAATAGTGCCCAATGAGAGAGAAAAAGGGCCTGTTTCCACTCACTGGGCCATATACTACGTAGTACACTCATTTTATTCGTTCAGTTTATGCCAAGCAAGGAAAACATGCAACATGCATTTTTTTTTTTTTTTTTTTTTTTGCATTTCACTTTTCTGAAAGATATCAAGTTTTGAGCGGGACAGAAAACCAAATACACGTATGATGATAACTTACAGGGTTACCACTAAATATGGAATATTATTTTTTGGCGAGTAAATTTTGTACAAAATATTTAATTTCTCTCTAACTACTTTAAATCCAAAGCTGAGGTGTCACTCCATGTGTAGCCAGGTGTGTTACCTAATTACCACACAACTCTCGAAACAATTGATTCATGCAGTTGCATGTTCTGTGGTCAGAAATGTGAGGGGTGGTCTTTTCGGCAATTTCTGCCCTTGTATAAAAACGCATGGGTTTGGTCAATCTTTGGCGTGTGTTTAGAGAAGCAACAAAGGGATCGCTCTGAAACTTCACAGGTACCTTAGTGAAGATATGGTTCGACAGCTAAGCAACGCAGCTTACTGTGGGATTCTTGCTCTCAGAGAAAATGGCCAGAAACAGACAGCCATTGCCAGGTAATTCAACATTTATCAGGAACCGTTTGTGAAGTCCTCCAAAGAAATGCTGCTACAGGGGCACCTACTCTAATACCTCGACCAGGGTGTCCGCGTATCACACCAAGAAGACAGGATCGCCTTCTCCTTACAGGACGCCGTGCTGGTTGTACAAAGACAACCAGTGTCCTCAGAAAAGAGAGGCAGAATGTCATTCAAACGCCCGTTTCAAGGTCCCTCGAGAACAAGAGGTAACTGCAAGCCCATTATTTTGCACGAAGGCCAGTAGGGAAACCACTGTTAACAGCAGGTCATATACAGCGACGTCTGCAATGGGCTGGGGACCACGTGCGTTTGCAGCCAAAACACTGGAATCACGACGTTTTCAGTGATGAGGCCAGATATGGATTTTTTAGGGTTGATCGTCGAATCCTTGTCCACCGACGTGTACGAGGGGCATAAAACGATGATTGTGTACTGCCTAGGGTGCAAGCAGGGGATGGTAACGTCTCTGTTTGGGGAGCATTTCATGTCGGTGCCCAGAACCAGTTGGTTTTTCTAGGAGGCAATCTCATCCAGGATTCCTACAGAGACATTCTACAGCAAACACTGCTTCGATTGGTAAGAGTCATCTTCAGGAACAACTTTGTGTACCAAGACGACTGCGCAACCCCACATCGAGGCCGCAGAATCACTGTTTTTCTTCAGAACCAAGGGGTTCAGCAACTCCCCTGGCCTGCAAACTCTCCAGATATGAACCCAATTGAAAATCTGGGGGCGGAGGTAACTCAAAGAATTAATAGCTATGGTCCTCGGCCGGTAAATAGTGATGAACTGCGACAGGCAAATATCACTGCGTGGAATGATGTCCCCACCCAAACTCTAAAAAACGTGTCACAGGGTATGCCATGTAGGATGAGGGCGCTGCAAGCGGCTGCTGGAGGTCATACCCGCAATTACTGACTTTTCATGATTTACTGTAATGAGTTCTTTGACTGTGTANCTTACAGGGTTACCACTAAATATGGAATATTATTTTTTGGCGAGTAAATTTTGTACAAAATATTTAATTTCTCTCTAACTACTTTAAATCCAAAGCTGAGGTGTCACTCCATGTGTAGCCAGGTGTGTTACCTAATTACCACACAACTCTCGAAACAATTGATTCATGCAGTTGCATGTTCTGTGGTCAGAAATGTGAGGGGTGGTCTTTTCGGCAATTTCTGCCCTTGTATAAAAACGCATGGGTTTGGTCAATCTTTGGCGTGTGTTTAGAGAAGCAACAAAGGGATCGCTCTGAAACTTCACAGGTACCTTAGTGAAGATATGGTTCGACAGCTAAGCAACGCAGCTTACTGTGGGATTCTTGCTCTCAGAGAAAATGGCCAGAAACAGACAGCCATTGCCAGGTAATTCAACATTTATCAGGAACCGTTTGTGAAGTCCTCCAAAGAAATGCTGCTACAGGGGCACCTACTCTAATACCTCGACCAGGGTGTCCGCGTATCACACCAAGAAGACAGGATCGCCTTCTCCTTACAGGACGCCGTGCTGGTTGTACAAAGACAACCAGTGTCCTCAGAAAAGAGAGGCAGAATGTCATTCAAACGCCCGTTTCAAGGTCCCTCGAGAACAAGAGGTAACTGCAAGCCCATTATTTTGCACGAAGGCCAGTAGGGAAACCACTGTTAACAGCAGGTCATATACAGCGACGTCTGCAATGGGCTGGGGACCACGTGCGTTTGCAGCCAAAACACTGGAATCACGACGTTTTCAGTGATGAGGCCAGATATGGATTTTTTAGGGTTGATCGTCGAATCCTTGTCCACCGACGTGTACGAGGGGCATAAAACGATGATTGTGTACTGCCTAGGGTGCAAGCAGGGGATGGTAACGTCTCTGTTTGGGGAGCATTTCATGTCGGTGCCCAGAACCAGTTGGTTTTTCTAGGAGGCAATCTCATCCAGGATTCCTACAGAGACATTCTACAGCAAACACTGCTTCGATTGGTAAGAGTCATCTTCAGGAACAACTTTGTGTACCAAGACGACTGCGCAACCCCACATCGAGGCCGCAGAATCACTGTTTTTCTTCAGAACCAAGGGGTTCAGCAACTCCCCTGGCCTGCAAACTCTCCAGATATGAACCCAATTGAAAATCTGGGGGCGGAGGTAACTCAAAGAATTAATAGCTATGGTCCTCGGCCGGTAAATAGTGATGAACTGCGACAGGCAAATATCACTGCGTGGAATGATGTCCCCACCCAAACTCTAAAAAACGTGTCACAGGGTATGCCATGTAGGATGAGGGCGCTGCAAGCGGCTGCTGGAGGTCATACCCGCAATTACTGACTTTTCATGATTTACTGTAATGAGTTCTTTGACTGTGTAACATATCACTGTCCGGAGGCTATCATTTTCTTTAATATCTTATCTTAAAGTTTATACTGACATCAAACTGTTGATATGGTTTTCTGGGGGTGTTCCTTTCTTTTGAATGGCATCTTATATCAGATTTGATATTATTGATCAAAATATCTCACAACAGAAGACTGGATGTTATTATCACTCAGTGACATACTTTTGTAATGACTCAAGCCAAAAAATATTTAATCAGCACTCAAAAATAACAATGATAAAAAATATTCCATATTAAGTAGCAACCCTGTATCTAAAAGATATGAAGAGCTAAGACAGAACTCCTTTGTACTGTTTTTTAACTGACAGATTAACATGCGCATGAACAAACAATTGTCCATACTTCAGTGGATCCAGTGAAGGCCAGTTTGTCCACATCCATGTGTGCAGCCAGAGCCGCTCCTGCAGTAGGACCATAACCAGGGACCACGTTCAGAACCCCTGGGGGATACCCAGCCTGGAAAAAGGTGAATATTCCTCTCTTATATAGCCATTTTGGTCAAGATACACAATTAGAAAATGTCCATGAAGCAAAGTGTGGATCAGATGAATATAAAAAATTAAGAGCATTCAGCAGACTTTTGCATATTTCCTTCTCTGACTGGATTGTCCTTTTATTGTGGAAAAAAAGAGTACAAGCTGCCTTGACTGAGACACATTAGAGGTGACATTTTTGAGGACTGTATGTGATGCGTCCACAATGCCAAATCGGCCATGGCCTCTACGTTTTTCTGTTAGTGATCATGTAGTGTTCTGGCCATCTTAATGGTACCATTATTATTATATGCAGACCATTTCATTACCCATTTTCAATTAATAACCTACCTCAGCCGCAAGTTGTGCTATGTAGTTAGCAGTAAGAGGAGTCTGTTCAGCTGTCTTTAACACTACAGTACATCCGGATGCAAGGGCAGGGCCCAGTTTCCAGGCCATCATTAGAATAGGAAAATTCCACTGAAAAATTGGTAATTGTGAAAATAATTCAAATGCAAACCACACCGCGACATTTCCCATCTCATAACAGCGAGATTGATTTTGTAATCAATTTTTTTAAATATAATGATGGAAAATGAAAATATAATTGCATCACATGTAAAAATTGCGATGTTTATGAAATATATGAAATTAATTTGTATTTAAATTCCTTACTGGAATGAGTTGGCCGGCCACTCCAATTGGTTCGTGCCTCGTGTAGGCAAAAAAATCGCCGTCTGAAATGCGATGAAAGTGGTCTGTATTTCTGTATCTCAGTTCATCAAAAAGAAAACCCGATAAACACGTTTTTTACTATAATCGATTAACTTTCCAATTCATTCGATAGGTTTTGATATTACTGCAACATAACTTGGTGAAAATCGATCCTCAATTTCACACAATTGTCCTGTGATCTCATTACTCACCTACTGGAATCGTCTTTCCTTCCATTTTATCAGCCCACCCTGCGTAGTATCTGAAAATTAATTCCAAGTACGGAAACGATTTATGACGGCAACGTTTTGAAGTCTAACTGTGTAATAGTTAATAGAATTATAGATGCTTTAAAATGACTAATAAAAATATAATTACGCTGTCCACTTGGCAACATCGTACCTGTAACACTGGAGAGCAAGGTGCAGATCCCCCAAATAAGCCACATTGAATGGCTTTCCGTTGTCCAACGTTTCCAAAGACTAAAAATGGTAAGATGATATTCAATCGGTGTGCTGTCGTATTATTTTGGCGTTTTGGTGCTGCACCATCACTTATTCAATTTTATTCTAGCAATAAAAGTGCAGGCCTAAATAATACAAAACAACGGGGCAAGAGTTACTTTTGGATTTTATTATTACATTTGAATGCAATGTGCTACATGTTGCTTTAATACCTTTCACCTTTCACTTATACCAGACATACTGTGTGAGTTCTTGCTTCTCCAATTTAATTAGTATTATCTTTGCTGAATACCTTAACTTGTTTACCGTCAAATATTCAATATCCCTCTCTATCAGGTCTGCCAACCTGTACATCAGCAACCCTCTCTTTCCAGCGTCCATTCGCCTCCATTCAGACCCAAACTTGAAGGCTTCATTGGCAGCTTTCACAGCCTTGTCAATGTCAGCCTTGCAATGGGAAAGTATGGTGTAGTTTTGTTAAATAATAATGATGAATGAACAAATGAAGGTAAAATACCATATCTCCTTAGCAAAACCTAAGGTCAGCCAATGCGCTATGAAGCACTTACGTGGCTTTCCCTGAATGGCTTAGACACCGAGACAGAGAAGGAAGGGTAGGAAGGTTAAGAAGAATTAGCTTCAGTGGAATGCGACGGTTCGTTGAATTAGATCTCCAATTTTTTTGTGCAAGTATGAAAATGAGTTTCAATTTTTAAATTTCCTGGTATTAGTACATTTAAGACGCCAGTGTTCTTCATCACATGTAGTTAGTCGATTTAACTGGTTGAAAGACTACACATCTGCACTCCCCGCAGAAGGATTGCGGCTTAAAAATAGACAGAAAGATGGCATTTTATTGACAATGACTTTGTTATACTCAATTGAAAATGCATGGCTGGTTTTATGTTGCATAATGGCTGACAAAATTGAGGCCAGAAAAAATGGCTTTTAGATTCATGAATAGGTCTATGTAACAAACTGCCTTAACTGCATTTCTCAAAAGCTGTCTTTGGGATCATGTCAGGAAAAGAGGCAATTTTAGTCATTAATTTCACGTTTCGAAAAAAAATTGTTTTAACGTATAAACTTCAGTGGGGGTTCTTAATGACGTTGGTTTTAAGCTTTTTCATTTCTATGAAAGTTTTTCCAATATAATTCAATCTAGGACCCCACAAACTGAACTTATGAAAAGTAAGTTACAACTTGTAGCATGCGTACATGCAGGGTAATTTATACTGTACATTGTACACCGTCGGTAACAAAAAAAGAGGACAGTGCATCATGTTTAAAATATTTAACATATATTGTACTCAAATGGCTAAAAGTCACCTTAATAATACAAAAGAAATAATCGATGTAATGTTATTATACTGTATAATGATTACTAACTAATAAAATACGCAGCTTATAGCACAACAATATACCTACAAGTTAGATTTTAAGGAACATTGTAAAAGTATAAAGAAAACAAACAAATAAATTCAGATAGAAGTATCGTAATGAAAATGATTAAAAGTACAGATACAAAGTTGTGATCGTAATGAATACATTGTACCTTTCATAATTGATACAATATACATTTGTTAAGAGGTTAAACAGTGTAAGTAAGAGAGTTAAAGAGTGCATGTGTTGTTCAATAATAAAAAAGAATAAGGGAGTATAGTTATCATTCCTTCAAGATGATACAATGAAAAATCTGTATTAATAGAAATGGCGACCTAAGGTCAAGTAACATACCATTGCCTAATAAGAGAATGATTATATTTTGGTAATGACGTAATGATGGAAAGTTATGGAAAAAGGGATAATCATAGACATTGTGTAAGAGCTGAGGAATTATTACATTACGAAATAAGGTAATGTAGGAGAAAGACTTTGTGATACATCATGACATTGGAATGATGATCTATAGGATAAAAGAGAATGCATTGTAACTGGAAAATAAGAATAGGCCTATACGAATAAATCTTTTAGGCTCCCAAAAGATGTATGTTCTTCATTTATAGTACTGGCAAAATAAAAGGTAGGCCTACTATAGAAGTGTGCTAACGTGATATATTTGNAGATAAAAAATTTTCTTTTGGCCCAAGGAACATTTATGCCAAGTTAGACATTTGTACTACAAAATGCAGCGTTTGGCCATTTTTTGGTCCTTAACAAGCCTACTATAAGAGAGTTAAAGAGTGCATGTGTTGTTCAATAATAAAAAAGAATAAGGGAGTATAGTTATCATTCCTTCAGGATGATACAATGAAAAATCTGTATTAATAGAAATGGCGACCTAAGGTCAAGTAACATACCATTGCCTAATAAGAGAATGATTATATTTTGGTAATGACGTAATGATGGAAAGTTATGGAAAAAGGGATAATCATAGACATTGTGTAAGAGCTGAGGAATTATTACATTACCAAATAAAGTAATGTAGGAGAAAGACTTAGTGATACATCATGACATTGGAATGATGATCTATAGGATAAAAGAGAATGCATTGTAACTGGAAAATAAGAATAGGCCTATACGAATAAATCTTTTAGGCTCCCAAAAGATGTATGTTCTTCATTTATAGTACTGGCAAAATAAAAGGTAGGCCTACTATAGAAGTGTGCTAACGTGATATATTTCAAGAGTCCAAAATCAAATGAAAAAGAAAATCAAGTGAATAAAATAAAATAAAATGAGAACACTGCACTGTGAAGAGAATAAAATTGATACAAATAAGACCCATATCTTTCTTCCCCACCTGTCAAATTGGCCATGTAGGTAAGACCTGAAAGATCCAATCCATAGAAGGAAACGTAATCTCATAACAAACAGATCCTGCAAGCTACCATCAGAAATTAACATGAGTAGCTTTATCGTGTCGTTACCGGGAGAGGAAAATTAGAAATATGAGAAAGGTCAGTTGTTATAAATAATCATCACGAATGAAGATTTGTTTTAATTAACACGTAATACATTGTTCGGACATTATTATTGGGAACTTAAAGCGTTATTCAGGTTGGTGATAAGTCTTAATAATGTGTTCATTGGGACTATTCAATTTCTTGTAATTATGTGCTATGCAGGAATCAATAGTGTAGGCACCAACAGAGAGAAACATTGTGGTATTTCAGTTACCTTGTCTCCTTCTTGTACATCACAGATTTTCTCTCCAGTGGACGGGTTAATGGTAGGAAACGTTTTTCCGCTCACAGATTTGTGCCACTCGTTGTTGATAAAAATCTAAAATGAAACGCAGTTTTTCAAAAATGAAGAACAATGTAGGGTATCGGTTAAAAAAATGTTTTGTGTAAATGTTTGGAAAGGAAGTCTTTGTAAAAGAGGGGATATGCGATGGTAAAAAAAATAAATGAAATGCAAAAAATTAGTTTTCTAAAGTACTTTAAGCATTTAAATCTGAAACTGTTTATACATATCTACCGCTTTTAGGTAAAAATCTGACCAAAAAGAAAAGGAAAAATAGCCTAAAGCTTGTGTCTTTTGAGGCGCATACATCCACAATGTGCTCTTGGTAAAATTAATCACTCCAGCATATTCAGGTGTGTCGAAGGTCTATAGACTATTTTTCCTATCCATATCTGATGTTTAAAGTAACGGTAAAAATATCAGTAAGTTTATTATATTTATATCGATATAGATTTAACCGATTCTTTTGACGTTAAAATGGATGTCAGTGCTTTATAATTTTACATACTCAAAATTCCGCTGTGACAACCACATACAACATTGGTCAAAAAGGTTGTCCCACCCCCAGTTTTATGTGTTTTTATTAATAAACGATCATATCACATGAGTTAATTGCTATGAATAGTGATTTTCATTCCAGATACCATTAGTTACATGATTATTGGTACAGAAAATACAAACTAGCAGTTAAGATATCCATGTCATATTTAATACCATTTATTCACATTTATTACATGTACCCCCTCAAATTCGAAGTTCCACTGTCATTTCCAAGGAGGTAAAGAAATGCCCATTTAATTGAAATGACACCACCAAAAGTCACCAAATTTACACACATTTAGCATTAGGGTATGCTCGTTAAAGGTCACGTGTCTATTAGCATGTGTGGCCACATGTGTAATTATCTCCTGTAGACGGCGCCACTGCCTTCAACAAGGGCAGCAATTCTGTTTTGTGGGATATTGCCCCATGTTTCCTAAAAAGCTTGGCGGAATTGGTCCGGACTATTTGTGATTTGGTTCTCCTTTGGATTGCACACTTCAATTCATGCCACGGGTGCTCAGTAGGTTTATTATCATGATTCAAAGATGGTTTCTCCAGCCTCAGAACATTGGGTTTCTGCAACAAATCATGATCACTCACCACATGAGAACTGTGTGCAAGTGTGCTGTCATGATGAAGCCTGGATCACCCCCGAAGTACCCTCTTGCAGATGGAATGAGAAAGTTAGGTTCAGTGACCCCAGAACTACCAGAACATGGTCAATCATCACTAGGAACAAGTTGGTTTTGCTGAAGAATCAATGTATTTCTTGTATTCCATCGATGGTCAAATTAGAGTCCATAGACATGTTGCAGAATGCATTTTGGAAGGTTTGAGCACAATAATATCGACTGAGGTGTCAGATCAGTCCACGTTTGGCAAGAATTCCAAGCCCATGGTTTTAGTGCATTGTTCTTTCCGGAAAAAGAACGTTATTGGGGCAATTCACTGAAACATTCTCAACAAATATCTCACTCCATTTGCAAGAGGTGACTTCAGGGATACTGCAGGCGTCATCGTAAAAATGCACTTGCTCACAACTCTCGTCTGCAGAGTGATTTGTTGCAGAAACCCAATGTTCAGAGGATAGAACAACCACCTCTGAGCCTTGTTATTAACCCTTATTAAACATCTGTGGCATGACTTGAAGTGTGCAATGCAAAGGAGAACCAACCTCTTAATAATCTGGACCAACTCCCCCAAGCTCTTTAGGAAGAATGGGGCAATATCCCATAAAACAGAATTGTTACCCTTGTTGAAGGCAGGCCGCGCCACCTACAGGAGGTAACTAAAGTACGCGGTAAACACAAACGCTATTAAATAATGAGCCTTTAACGAGCACACCCTAATGGTAAATGTGAGTAAATTTGGTGACATTTGGTGGTGTCATTTCAATTTAGTGGACATTTCTTTACCTCTGTGAAAATAACAGTGAAACGTCGAATTTGAGGGGGTACATGTAATAAATGTGAATAAATGGTATTAAATATTGATATCTTCACTGCTAGTTTGTGTTTTCTGTCTGACTAGTCATGTTAGTTATGGTATTTGGAATGAAAATCACTATTTAAAACAATCTTCACCTGTGATGTGATCATTTATGAATAAAAGCACATGATACTGAAGGTGGGGCAACCTTTTTGACCAATGTTGTATATCAACTAGATGGTATCGATGGTAGCATACTCATATCCCCGCACTTCTCCTCATTGTAAGGAGTAGCTCACCCCACCCTCTATGTCAATACCTGGATCCCATATGTAAAATTGTTGCAAATAATCTTCATAATAATGACATAAAAAGTATCCGTAGGAAAAAATGCTTAATGTAAAAAAAGGATCACCCACACCCCTTCTCCTCTCAAGGGACAGCCCAAACCTCAAACGCACATAAATTATGACTGGTCCATCCACATCCCTGATAAAAGGTCTATCAGTCCCAAAAAGTATTTACTTCCTCACCCTTAAGGCCTAGTAGGAGGAGATAGCTGCAGTTACAGTGTAGAACATTAAAATCATCCACCCCAAAGAAAGCCCTAGCCAAAGGCAAACTAAAATTCCAATGTGGTCGTGCACATCGTTGATGATAGGTTTATCATTTCCTTAAAGTTCAACTTCCTCACTCTAGGAGGAGATAGCAGAGATTACAATGTGTTAAATAACTAGAATCATCCACCTCCCAGGGACAGTCCAACCCAAAGGGACCCATGTATATCTGTGATGAAAGGTCTGCCAATACCAAAGGACTGAATTTCCTCATTATAATGGTCTAGGAGGAGTTAGCAGAAGTTACAATAATTACAATATGAAAAGAATAATCAACCACCCCTAGGGACAGCCCAACCACCAGTTGCATCAAAATCCTCCCAGTTGCATTAAAAACTCCAATGGCCTAACGTAAATTACTAACGCATGGATGGGCGGATTAACATGATCCCACACTTTTGTCCCACAAGTGCAGGGATAAAAATAAGCTAGTTAAGAAAAATGATATTGTGTACTTGCATGTGTGACCAATGATTAAATCGTTGGAGACTTACCTCTACATATTTCAGTTGCAGGATTTTATGGAAACCTGCATGTGGAGTATATTTCCAACATGGATATTTTCTGCATGTTTCCAAATACAAAATTTTCTTACCCCAGTGTATTTCACCTCTGGGTTCCTGTCCGGTTTAGGAACTGCCGCGGCTACTACGTAAGTGCGCTTAAGAGACCCAAGTCGGGAGGTCGCCCTGCACAAATTTAGTAGCCCAGCCATGTTCGAGCAGCCAACACAACCTAACCACGGCGTTCGCAATTCTCTTTTCTCCGAGAAAAATCCGGATTCATGTATGTTTACAAGCAGTACTGCTTATGTCTCTCTTTTTGTCGAGCCAAGTCAGGATTTATGTCGTTTTAAAAGGCAGTACCATTTACATTTAATGCGTTTTCCATGGAGATATCATTCAAGCCATTTCTATAGCTATGTACATATTTCATTAGAGAAGAGTGTAGTGATGAACAACCAAGCGAAAAGTAGAGCGTTCAATGATAAATATATATTTACTATATGTAAATGCTAATAGTTTCTCTAGTGCTGTTTTCATGTTCTCTTTTCTTTTTTCATTATATATGTATTTACGTGTATCTTAAAATGAGTTTATAAATACACAAGAGATGAAATAATTGATTCAAACAATTTGACAATAGACAATAGGTTCACCGCAATTCTTTTTTCCAAACCAATTTATAACATCTGAGCTATATTGTTACCTCCATGAACACATTTTTGTTTGAATTTATGCCAGATGCCAGTCATCATCCACTGGATAAAAAATATATATATATATAAAAGTTTTTTCTTGTCGCTGTGCGCATGAAAAAACAATTAAATTTATAGCGACAAATTGTATTACTTCTAAAATGTAAAAGCTGAAGCAATACAATACTGATTGTAAATTGAACTAGAGTTTCTTTACAGGGATAGCCTTGCATAACATTGACTCACTTTTATCAGATAGGAAATGTTATCTTCACATGTTGTTTGGCATCGCAAAAAAAAATTAATAATAACTTTTGAATCATAACTTTTTTAAAAGTTAAAATTGGTAATTGTTCGTAGCTTTGCTTAAAAATGAAATGAACATGTGAACATGTCGTAAAATTGAAGTTGTTTTTTTATGAACTCAATGTTATACTCTCAATTTCAGGGTTATTTACTTGTGGGCAATACAAAATGAGGGTAGTTTTTAAAAACAAACAAGACTAAGACCCACATACCCTCTACCAGGGCCGCGCAATATCCAAGTGCACTTTTCTCCAACAGTACAGAATATTGTGTCATGAATAAGCCAGAGACATATCTATGAACATCTAGTGAAACATCGTTGCTTCGTGGGTCCAATGGGACTAATGGGTACATGTCTCCCGAATTATATCACATGTCTGATCGACAATAATAAAGATCTCAAACGCTTCAATTTTAAAGCCCCTTATTGCCATAAAACAGTTCTAATTTCATAACATATATGTAGACCATGTGAGAGAGGTTTTATAACAAGTATAAGGCTTAAATTATATTTACTTTTCACAAGCAATATCATCAGATCAATTTAATGAAAGGCGCCGTTGACATTTATTAGGCCGCAAGGTTCAATGAATTCTAAGGAAAAAATGTTCATTGGCCCTCTCTGTTGCTATTGCTAAAATTGATTTTTTCAAATATCAAGGAAAAGTACAGAGATAAAGTGTCTAAAGTGTATAAAACGATCAATAATAACCCAATACTTCGGTACATGTATGCTGATATTGTTTGATGATAGAAAATAAAGTCGTAAGTCTCAGTAACATCATTCATTTGAGTAAAAGTCTCCATGATAGCGTCATCTATTTTTCAAGCAGATGCTGTGCACTAGAAAGAAGGCAGTCAAGCTATTTTCTTTCAGGTTAATTAAGTCCATTGTCAATAAATAGATAGATAAACGAATAGGCAAATGAATAGAATTAAATCGAATGAATGAATGATTATAGGTTTTAAATATAAACACAATGGTTTCAATCTATTCTGCAGAATAAATAAGCTTGAACAAGACACATTACAATTCGATTGGTAGCGAATTTCAACGTGGACACATTTCCTTCAACAATTTGCTAAAAAAAGTCCGTTTTACTATTTACACTCTTTTAGTTTGCATTTTATATAGTTTCTTGCGTTATTGTTTAGACGTTCTTATCGCTTTTAATCCATATGAAGTATGTTGTTAACCATGTAATTTTTTCACCTTTAACTAATATACAATAGAAAATAACTAATTAATATATGAGTCGAAAGGTCTTGTCTTCAGTTACAGATCCACACAATAGCAAATTAGCCCAATTCATGGTATTGACAAATGACAAAAATCCATTTGAACTTTTCTCTAGATAATACACATCACATCTCCAAACAGCCAATATCCGTCACAAGTGTCCAGTCGGTAGCATGGTTTCTTAAGCCTAGGTCCCAACTACGTTTTGGACGCACGGTTTTTAGGTTCCTTGCGTCCGGCTAGGACGTAGCTAGATCGCAGGGAAGGAATCAAGTAAAGCCTAGGTCCCAACCGAACGTACGGGCTGCTACGTGTGGTCTACGGCCAAAAAATGGGGAAACTGTGGGAGTTCGTGCGTGAGGAGCACGTCCATCGTGCGGCTTTTGGAGGACGCAAACAGCACGTAGAAACTTTTCGACATGATCAACAGCCGCTACGTGCGATCTAGGTACGTCCTAGCCGGACGCAAGGAACCAAAAAACCGTGCGTCCAAAACGTAGTTGGGACCTAGGCTTTACTGACACATACATGTTCAGCGGACAGACGTGCTGAGGGTGTTATTTATCCAATTAATATTTCATCTCTCTCTATTATATTTTGGCATTTTTGTTTCAAGTTTTTCTGTGGATTTTAAAAGAATCTCATAAACGGGGGTGGATTCAGATATATTTTCTGACAGTCTTCCAAATTATCCTTGTTGATCCATCCTCCATTTTTACCGTCTTCTGACAGAAAAAAATTAGACGCCCTTCAATGCACATAATATCGGTTAGAGCAGCCTATCTCACCCACCCATATACCTTCATGCAGCAGTCAAATTTTCATTCAGCTGATGAGATCTACCATCGACCATAAGTCGCTACTTCTTGTATTTCTTATTGCATTGGGATGGCATGCCGCAAAATTAATTTTCTTTTAAACCTCCGTGGCATTATATATCATCTGATATCTGAAGGGTCCAGTAATCCAGTGCAGATTATGATGTAAGATTTACGTCAAAGGCATTAACGTTGCATTAAGGTTATTTGTCAAATGGTTAGGCGACTGGGATTCTTTCGGTATATATATGTCTTCTTGAGAGTAATCCAAAGTGTTTGGGGCATCTTCCAGATGATACAACATACCGTCTGACTCATGTTCTTGTATTGTCTGTAAAGTTGGGAACGAAGGTGAAAATGTTAACTCTGTCCTGACCCGTGGTAAAGAATTAATAGAACTTTGTCGGTCGTCATAGCGCTGTAATTTCATGGATACGCGATGAACTCGCTGGGAACGTATGGCTCGCTCTGGGTCGCTCTTTATCAAGAGATAATCATCAAATAACTTCTCCTCTTCAATTTCACGTTTCTCCTTTTTTAAGGTAATTTATGATTCCTAGAACTACACCAAAAGAGTAAAAGAGTAGCACCACTATTATGTATATGAAGGCGCCCTTCTCTTTTTCCGTAAGTGTGTGTTGACTGAGTGTTCCATTTCCTGAAATATTGGCGGTAAAGTTCTGTTCATCTGGCATCGTTGTTCCATCATAACACAGATCCATAGCTGATTAGTTCAGAAATAGTAACATTTTTGTGGATTATTAAACTCCAACAGCAAGCCCGTGCGCGATGAAGCTGTGTAATCACGGATAGTTGTAATCGAAATGATACAACCATAGCGCCAGAAAATTTTATCCTTTCATCCTTGGTTTGATAAATAACTTTAAAAAAATTGCTCTGGTAAAAGACCTTCTGAGGAAATCAATGCGACTTGTTTTGGCTTCTCGTTCGGCTCCGGTGCGCACAGGATAACCTCGGTCGCTCAATCACTGCATCTCCCCAGTGAGAGAGGAAGTAAAGTACAAACCCAACGCACGGGTATCAAATCTTACTATCCAACGGGGAAAAAACACTTTCAATCAGTTGGCAGTCTCATAAATGACTAGAATCTATGAAGTAATGAAGAGCCATAAATCCAGAATAAGAATGTATCAAAAGGGTAATTATTCATTTTAAACTCTCTGTCCATGGGTCCTTTAACCCAATCATCGATCGCCGCCCCTAAGGCGATTGTCGAAAGTAGAATGATTGAAAACCACGTGAATTCCGTTAATTCCCATTATTAATGACCCAAGCCAACGAGGCCCTGATCATTGACTAGAGGTTTACATGTTTTTTTTCCCTTGGTCAGCCTATATTCCTATTACCAAGAATTTATTGATTGACAGTGTGTGCAATTAATTGGATAGCTGCACACACGCAATGCAGATTTGATGGCCCTTTATTTGGTACTCATTCAACTATATCACTTGTCGCAGTTTTCGATCACCACGCATGTAATTTCAGTGAAGATGAACTCAGTTCGTCTTTATCTAAATCCTTGTCCTATGCTTATAAGATTGCCCTTTTTGGGGATAATTTAAGAGAAGTATTTGGCATGTCTCAGATTCCAGTCGAGTTGCGATATCGACAACAGGCCATGATAATTCCCAGTGGAAATAAGCCTTTCAGAATGAAGTAACATGACGTAGCTTCTCTATTTTCGATTTGCTTACGTATTTCAGAACCTTTCCAGATAATTAAAGTATATTAATTTAAAACCTCCACAAGATCAGTTCAAGTATGTAGAGAGATAAGACTGGGTATAGTCTGCAAACAAGGTTGTGGGAAGGTGTAAGGTTGATATCTTAATTCCGCGACAGTCCTTCGCCTGAATTGTAACTATGGGAATATTAATAAAAAACTATTTCAGTTCGAAAGTGCATTATCCAACCTGCATGAAGACCTATCTGAAAAATTATAATTCTTTGTGATGCCTGCTGTCAACCAACCTGCTCATTTTCTTTTTGATGATTTTACACAGGGCGTTTGGCAATAAAGATGTTTTCAGGGTTTTTTTTATTACATTTTACAAAACGTTTTTTAATCATGTCTAGAAAATTTCAGTGGTGCATCATCCTCGATATGGCATTATGGCATTATGGCATACTGATATACTGATATATAAATGACAGTAAAATCTGCTTCTGATATTACATGATTTATTTTTTTATCAAATTTATCAGTCCATGTCGTCTTCTGTGTCCATGACGGCGCTGTTGCCCAAGTGTTTCACAGCCTTGTTTGGTCTCGCTGCTAGCATCACAATAGCACGCTGTTTCAAAAATTCCGTCCATGAAACGTTCCTGAAATGAATAAACTTTAAAGGTCTTTTGCCAGGAATTTTGGGAAGAAAAGTAAACATGGACAGCATTTCATTTTTTGCTTGTCGGTACATGCTTTGATCTTTTTTATGTTCAACCTGACAGACGTCTTTAAATAAGAAGCATTCTGGTGTTACTCTTTTTCACATACAGACAAGGATAAAAAATGAAAAGAATTGTTAGATTATAGACTACAAAAATTATGATGTACACACCCGCTATTATCGGCGTCTGCATCCATGATATGTTTTGTTCTGTTCTTGATGAGGAATGCCTTGTTCGGCAACCTGAAGAAGGGTAAACGAAGCTATAGATTTCCAAAATAATTTCCAGAACTCCGACTCCATTTTCATGGAACAGTAAGCCCAAGCAATCAAATATTTCCGCAATACGCAGCAACTGATCTTTTTTGAGTGGATAATCTAAATTGTTAACCAAATATACGTCAAGTGTGAATCATTAGTCTCCGGTTCATTTTCGTCGGTTAGCAGTCTTCATTATCGGGAAAGTTTGATCTGATTTCACTTGGGATAGACACAGCCTTGAGTGACTTTGGTCTTCTGTACGTTCTCCTACATAAAATCAAATACAGCCGTGCGACAACCTCCTAACTTATCTAGAAGTTCACCTATTTGGAAATTCTTAGAAAAAAGAAACCAGCGGTTACTATCGCTACCTACATCGCACCTCACGAAATATTCTAAATTAATAACGATTGCTTTGAAAGTGCATAGATCTGAATTACATACAATGGATTTAAACCTTAATCTACACATAGATGTCAGCACCTAGGGACCGACATGACTGACAACTTGTGAAAAGATACCAAGAGAAACCTGTATGTTTTCGCTGTAGCTAGTGAAGGAAATGGAGATATAATCGATGACGGTGATGACGATGATAGTGAAGACAACGAGTACGACTAGGAAGAAGAAGTTACCCGTTAGCGTTCGGAGTCACATGATTGTACCACCTGGAGAATGCTTTCTTTGCCTCCACTTCAGTTATCAAGCCGTCGCCATCTAAGTCAAATTGACTAAACGCTTCTCTGGCAGTGTCAATCTCACTGGGAGTAAGTAGGCGGAGTAGGGCGTTCTGCAACAAAACGATACCATCTTCTCAATTTGCAATATTATACTTTCGTCATTAGACTTTCATAATACTGAACTGCATTTTTCAGAAAATGAGCTATACTTCTTTAAAAAGGTTTTGGAACACAAATCTATGGTTTGAAATTTTGGATGATTCTGTCAAGTAAAGGAGTGGGCTTACATGTATGTGCCCAAAATCTCTGTTTATGTACACACAACATACACCGTGATAATTTTTAGACTGTCCACATGCTGGATAATGATCCAAATTCTAGATATGAAGATAAATAGGAGGCCATCCGGACTGCAGCGCGATGATAACTAAGGAGTTAACAAAATGTAGTTTTAAACTGAATTCTCTTGGCAGAATAAGACAGCTTCTCTCATCAAATCAAGACGAGTGATATTATCACTCACTTTGGTCCTCGTTCTCTCTAACAGTCTGATGGTCTCATAATTAAGAAACTCCCACCAGTCGATGGTCCCAGTGCCGTCTGTGTCCATGTGTCGAAACTTCGTCTTCTCAAGGTCCTCTTCTTCTTTGGGCATGGGAGTGTGGAACAGCGCCAGGTACTCTTTCTGTTTGTAGTCTAAATACTCCTCTACCGAAATGGTGGCATCTGCGAACAACGGAAACATACGGAATGCACTTATATTTTTAAAACTAACTCTTTCATGCATTTTTACTTATCAAATTGGTTATACGTGGAAAATGGTAAACAGACTGTTGACGTTAAGTGTTCTGGGTATACGTTATCTGCTTAATGAAGATCTATATTGTTGTGCAATATATGATGCAGTTATAGTTATTTCAATTTTAATCTAATGATTGCTATTTTAAAAGAAAAGGCAATTGTTTTAGAATGTGTTATAGGTGTGGCAAGTATGATGTACATCTAACACATTTCTTCACAATCAGTTTATCTTATATCAACAGAAAACATGTTTTGTCTGCTCTCGGCTCATACTGGAGAAAAACAGTCTCGGCTATATCAGTATATGTGACCTACCATATACTTTGGATAAAATAATTTAACATTTAAATTTGTCAATTAAAAAAATCAGACTCACCCATATTCACATCGCATTTTTCGAAATTTTCTATCAATTCGACTTGCTCTTCCTCTGTTAGTATATTGTTTAAATTGTCCTGTAAAAGGCACATGTTAGCAACGTTTTTGAGAACATAATAAAATATATCATCAGCACACTTCAGACAAATAATACTATTCGGATTTTAAACCAAACGTATTCATCTCCCAATTAAAAATTACATTAGAAACAGATGTTTGTGTCAGAAATTGTTCAATAGCTGGGGCATGCTTGTTTTCCGGGTTTATTAGCTTCATCTCCATTTTACATGCGCAAGTACATTTAGAACACCACATTCTAACGGCAATTAAAGGATAATAATGGCCTCGTTAGAACTGCTCCAGAAATTCTAAAATTTTTCCTAACTGATTGATTGGTTCTATTTTTGTACCAGTCTGCACCTATAAAAATAGCTATCGGTTTGGTTCTAGTTCCTGTACTTTGTACTTCGCACGATTAATAGTTATGCGTGGGAAAAGTACAATTGAAGCACTGTAGTGTACTGGTAGAGAACACAGGAACCATATCTATGAAACATAATGATTTTCCTGTAAGTCTTCTCTCAAGGCATTGAGGCCACAGTGCCTCCTATTCATTGGCCGCACTGCCTTTTGCCTTTACGTTTGTCTTTGGTACTTTACCCATATAACAGAAAAATATAGAACAATATGAATATATTTTGTTAAGATACTAAAAACAAATTAGGAACGGACTTTGTAAATGAATCCATAAACGATATTGAACGAGTGCTTTAAAAGTAAAAAATAAATTAATCAAACTGGTAAATACTGATTAAGACCATACGAAATAGATTTGGACCGTAAATATGGAACGTGGCTAAAAGAAAGGGAACACCAACTACATTTTAGAAAAATGGACCCAAATGTCCAGTGTCACGAAACTGAGGGTCCGTGCGACAGAAAGTCCGCCCTCCATCCAGTTATAATGGTTTGGGTTAGTCTGACCCAAGTGGGTCAAAATCTAGGGCGAGGCTCACCTGTACAAAATAATAGGAAGCGGACTCTCTGTCACGGGGGACTCTCTGGTACATGACACCGACCCCAAAAGATAAAAAGTACTCACACATTCGTGACAGCTCCATCCCACTTTGGTTTTTGCTTTATGAAGTTGCCTCAGTGATTCTTCGTCCTGACAGAAACCAATTTTCTGTAGACATCGTTCGTGAAAGTGTCTAGCACAAATGCGACATTTGTACAATGCATTGTCAATGTTATCGCTGCGGCACAGTGAGCAAGTGATTGTCTGTTCCTGGTTAACAAGAAATATAAGAAATAATGGGTTGGTGAATCATTATCTTGATTTACATTACAGAGGGCCTAGGATGTTAGAAAAAGAACGCGCAATAGAGGGTTAAAGCAGTTTGATTTCATTTATGAAATTCAATAGCGTTGATCGCTGTATTGACCTCCATAGCCGAGCTGTCAACGCCTATTTACCAACGTTTAAGTATGTTTGTCTGAAAGTGTTAATCGCATTTATATGAAACGTAATGATTCTACTTCAAATACGATCGCTTTTAAGACATTTTAAGGTCATGGCTTTCGGGTTTGAACTGTCATTTTATATATACATCAATCTGATTTCGGGTTTGCACTGTCATTTTGCATTAATTTTGAGATATTTTTTTCACTGTGTGGGTGAAGAAATGAGTTACTTCTTATACCAATGTTACTGCGTATGCCATAGATATACATCTAGGTAAAATTACATTTACTCCTTTTCACAAGTTTGATTTCTCAATATTCAAAAACATGTACTGACTATTGGGTATTGCTACTGCATTTCTCTTGAGCGGGTTGCGCTTTAATAATGTTTGTTTTGTAAGCTAATATACTCGGTAAATTAAACTCTCAGTTGAATAACACTCGTCATCACTTTCAGCGTAATATTTAAGCAGAAAATCAAAAGCTTGAATGTGTGGCTAGTTTCAGACTTATTTAGTACACGTAATTTCCCTGAAGCATATTTGATTTAATAATGGAATTGTAATAGAAAAATGACCATCGACTACTTGACATAGTACTTAGTAACGGTTGGTGATCATACAAACGTAGGACAACAGGGTTCTTTAGATGTGTTTGCATTACCTGATCTTAATGTCAATTTTGTTGAGGTCGCTGTGGAGCATGCGTTAGGTCAAACACCATTGTATTCCATGAATACCGTTTTTGTTCGATCTTGCAGTCGTATCCATACGCCCACAGCTCGGAACAGCTTTCTATCTCGAGTTTATTTCAAATAGTGCATAAACTAAGCGCATGAGAAGAGATATTGTTTTCGTGTGGCATTAATAACGCAGACACAAATCACTTGATGCATGCATGATGAGTGTGGTTGCGCAAAGGTTAATCTTTCGTGGTTGATCATTATTATTATTTTTGGCCCGAGACAGAAATCTTACCGCTTTTTTTTATTTCGATATATTTAAAGGGCGACTCTAAGTTTAGTAAATTTGATGTATTCTTTATCGATTTCCTCTGACCTTACGACAGTACGAGTCGTGAATCAAAATTCATTGCCGTGAGATCAGACTTGTGTGGCCCCCTTAAATGTGGGAATTGTCTGAATTTTTCATCAAATATGGATAAATTCTATAGACATTCCGGCTAGCGCGCATTGAAATAAATTGTATTTTTATTATTTGTATTGATTCTGATCTTTTTGTATTTCATAGCAAATGGATGGTCTGTCTCACCAAAGATACACAAGTATTCATCCTCTAAAAACATATCTGTTTCCTCTTAACACATTATTTTTGCAGAACAAACCATTTCAGCAGCAATAACATGCTCAAAAATCGTCACTTCCACTGAGAAAATATTTAAGTGTTAAGACCATATACTTACAGAGAACATTATGTCAGAATTTTATCACTGTCGTAAAGGTTATATTTGAGTGGATTTTGCCGTTAAGAGCAACAAATCTTTATTGCCCCCTCGTTCAGGAGATAAGTTTCAAGCTTAAGAATGCAATCTTATCCCAACACAACATGTGAGACTACCCTCTACCAGGGCCGCCGTTATTATTCTGTGGACATTTTTGCTGAGGCGAACAGTACAAAGATTAGCCATCTATTTAACCCAAGAAGTTATAATGAGACATTATAACTTCTTGATTTAACCAGAGACATATCTGTTAATAGCTAGTGAAAATTCAATCTGTGGTCCTGGTAGAGGGTAATGCGAGACCACCGTCTACGGTTAAGCATGAACTTTCCGTTAGGATGTGATCTTATACATAAAATGTGCACTTCTGGCACTTGCGTGTGATACAGCACTAAAAAAGTAGCAAGAGAGAGAGGGAGAGAGAGAGAGAGAGAGAGAGAGAGATTAGACTACCTCTTTAACGTCCCCTAACGGTTTACTGCCAAGGAATTTGTCGTACGGTATATCATATGCCTCATTATCATCCTCGTCAACCGTCCGCTGCCTTTTTAAAGGCGTATATGATTTTTTCACTGTAAATTTTGTTTGAGGGAGCGTATCAATATCAGCGCAAGTACCTTGCCTGAGTTGTTCCCACGCTGACGATGTGTCAGTGTATGTCAGGGAGACTCTGTGACTCTCCTCTGAAAATTGTCTGTTGATATCCATGTCAGTGGAAGCGGTACTGTAAAGTGGTGTGTCAACCACACCGACGTCCTTCGTGTGTGCTTGCTCGTGGTCAGAATCTGAACCTTGCGACACCTGAGTGATGTCGGTGACAGCTTCATGCAAGGACCGCGTAGACGCGGCTGCCAGCCCCGACACCAGCAGCGCGTTCTGTTTAAATTTCGACGATTTGGTCTTCTTTGACGCGCCGCTCCCCATTGTTCCAGACCTGGCTTTGATAAAACGATGTGGTTATCTTTATAGCGTTGCAAACGAGATGGCGATCAAAACGTTGTATTGATCTGAAGATAACATCCTGTTGTTGGTGTGATGAGGCGCAGACAGCTTAGTAATGACGACAGGTAACCACAATACTCACCCTTAAATATAAACGTCTTACTAAACAAACATTTCACATATTGTGGCACGGAAACTAGCGTCATTTGTTTGCAAACACTTTTACCCAATGCAGGGGCAGTAAATTACGCGTGACGACTTAGATTTCGGCGCGCCTCCCTCCCAATAAAATATATATATACAACTCTCGGCAAAGCAAATTATTTGACTTAGATGCTACAAATATAAGGAGCTATAGACGAAGTAAATTGAATTTGAGTTGGTCGACCATTTGCATCTGACGTAAAAGCCATTTAGTCAGCCAGCTGACTTAAATGGCTTTTTTGCCCGAGGCAAAAATCTTTTGGTTAAAAAATTTCCAAGTACAGAACTGATTTATGTATTAAGATAAAATTACCAAAATAATAGTAATAACCAGATTTCTATTTATACATTTTATGAAAGTACGCAGTTTCTCACCACTAACGGTCATAATTTTCATTCACTTCTTTTCACAACGCTTCACTTAAATTTTTTAATCCAACCTTATCAGGTACAAGTAGTGGAATGTTTTGCAGGCTTTTGCATTGCGTACTTTCATCTCCAATTATAATATATACACATTGAAGTTGCGAAATCGATCTCTCAGTTGCATAGAAAAAACACGTTCTACACATTATCAACGTATGGTAATTCACGTATAGTGTGATTAATTGACGCGCGCAGGTCAAGCGCTATGTTATTCTTATCATTTACTCACTCAATGGAAATGTTTTAACAACAAAACAAATGATTCAATGAATTTATTTTGATGGCCTGGTTAAACAGTTACAGGTATCAACTTTACTAAGAACTGATTAATCATTTCATGTACAAATCGCGAGGTGATCAATATGGCTCCATATTTACATATGTTACAATGTGATATATATACACAACTGCTATATATATGTGTGTATGTATGTGTGTGTGTGGCTTAACACATTTTCTTTAACTCAAAAACAGGAAATAAAAATGCACGAAAGCCAATGTACTAAGTAACTTCTCACCGATCCATAACCTATACAATAAGCTTAGAAATGAATATCATCAGTATTGAAAGAATCTCCAAGAACTACTTCAGATGTACACACGTATCATAAAAATCAATGTTTAACTTTCAAATTCAGCCCAGGGCCATACACAGTGTTTTAAGAGCAAGTCCAGGTCACTGAAGTTTGATTATTCATGACACACAGGAAGACAAAAGTCAATTTTCATGTTAGTAGTTTGCTGTGCCTGGTTGCACATCCACAGAAAACCTGCATATAAATTCTAAGTGAATGAGGATGGTATTGCTAATCTAACCTGGCAGGTCGTGAGAGACATGAAGCTGCAGACCTACCGCTTCCCTACGACCCCGGCTACACACCTCAAAGGCTTCATCTGTGTTTCTGTAAGGTCATACGGACGTCACAATTGCGACAATTGCAGCGAGTGAGTATTGCGTAGATTGCACAACACGGCATATTAAGCACCCCTTTTTCTTTATAAGCTATCATATTAACAGTTTACATACAAACTCTTATTACATATTTCATACTATATAAAAGTATTATACATATCTATTTCTGACAAAGCTTGTGAACACGCTTGTACATTACGTTCACAGTAAATCAATATTATATATGTATATAAAACGAAAATCACAGGAGAGAGAAGGCGACAAGGGTCAACTTGGAGCCACACACTACTTAGTAAAATAATTAAAAACCTACTTTGGTTATATCTTTCTTGAGATTTTGTGAAAAGTATAATAATGTATCATTTCTTATGATAAGTTAATCTGAAGACAAAATTATCCTAAAAAAAATTGACGGACAACATTTGAACGACTAAAAGCTGTCCAGCAGCTACTAATATACAAGAAGTGGCAATATCATCAACAAACAAGCACTACTTGAAGTTTTAATTATGTAATTCTTTTGGAAGTAATTAATTCTTATTCCAAATAAAATACAGATATACTAAGAATGAAAAAAATTCTCAAATTGAAAATAACCAAAACAAGAGGTTAACATTTTTACTACAGCTGCATAGTAAGCACATTGATGAATAGCAAAAGCTTGAAAGATAGCCAAATTGCTCAATCTTGCGACCGTTGACTTGCACTGGGAAATTTGCCATATTTTCAAGAATCTTGTAAGAATTACAGGAACTGCAGCACTATTACTTCCGCATTGATAATTTCCTTCAACATTCCATTTCCTCCCTGGTATTTCTCTCTTCGCTTCTTTGACATTCTTATATGGCATCTTGAATAACCGACATTCTACAGTAAAAAAAAAAAAGTAAATAAAAATAAAAGCCAGCCTTCCACCTATCAAGTCCCATGCTCTGCATGCTGCTGGGCCTCCATTCTTGCAAAATCTACAGTGTCCAGTAATTGTTTGGAGTCCATGGCCAGAGCATGAGCAGACTTCAGTAGAGCCTTCCTATACTCCCCATCCATGGTGGTCAGACTGTACTGCTGGGCAAGCTTCATTGCATGGATCAGACCAGCCATATCCGAACTCAGGACTTTGTTGGCCATTTCAATCTAAATTTAAAGACATGAAATTAGAAAACAAGTTGTCAATACCCGCCATTAAAACAACATTTTTATCATTACATTATATAAAGTGGACACTATACCTAAAACTGACAGTTTTATTCTGGGGGGAACTTTGTCTCACCTGTGTGTGTGTATTGTCAGGTAAATGTGGCACCAGTTCATCCACACTGACAACAAGTTTCCTCAGCTCCAGACCCACACCCTGAAAGGATCAACATTACAAGATGAAAGCAGCAGTTCTTAAAATGGTAAGGTTTTAAAAAAAAAGCATCCTCTCGGTGTTTAATGGGACTAATAAAGGAAAGTTGAAACAATATAATGTCTTCCTCAATATAACCTAATTATGACAAGTATTTTGCACTTTACAAATCAAATTTTTGTTCAGCTTGCTAGCTCCTCTAGTATAGCAAGTTGATCTTTATATAAAAAAAAACACTTATTTTTCTTTGATATAATTAGTCAAAATATCTCTACCTTTACTAATTCCACATACTCCTCAGGTGATGCCAGAGGTATTTGACGTGACATGTCCATTACAGCACGCACCACACTTGTTGTACTGGCATAAACCTGGTCATCTGTTCTGTCCAGTTCTATGTAAGGTAAAGTTGAGCTGCCCATGGCCTGATCTCCTGCTCCTGTATCACTCTGGTCACTACTGCTGCCTACCACTGAAACAGATACAATACAAGATTTCACCACATATCACATTTTTCTTCTTTTTTTGTGAGAAAGAGCAAAAGCAAAAAGTAACAATTTAAACAATAAGTAATTTTTATAAAATATCAATTGTAGTGTATTAAGTTTTCTAACCAGGGCTAGGACCTCGGCTGCCTCCAGACACCGATGACCTGCTAGAAGACGGCTGCCTTTTTTCTGTTTTTGGTAATTTTTCTCCATTCTTTCCCTGAAAATGCAGAAAAAATATTTGTCTTAGATCTAAAAAAATAGTTGCCCTTTTTATAAAAATGTTTTAACTGTCAAAGATGTCATCAAGGTAACTAAAAAATGGCATAGATTAATCTTATAATTCTAATCAAAATCAAATACTGGTCTTCTCAACAGAAAATCTGACTGGTTGTTTGAAACTTTTTCTTAATAGTTAATAAGTACTGAAAGAAGCCAAATGTCACAGTATCTTCAGTCACGTGGTATAAGTCAGGTGCTAAGTGACATATGATTGCCTGTACATCGATTAGTACATGGTCCATCAAGTACTGAAAACACATACCACTTGCTGACTCAACCACCTTGAGTCCTCCTCTGATTCCATCTTTTGCTGCTTTAGTTGCTCTTCTATAAGTGTTTTCTCTAACTCTGCCATCTTCTGTTGTTCCAATAAGTTATGCCGCTCAATTTCTTCCCTCTCCTACAACACAATTATTAAGTACAGCAATGATATGATGAAATTGTCTGCAGTTTTTTTCAAAGTGAAAACATGGAGTAGAAATTAAACAAAGCCCATCAATTATGATTTTGAATAGTTATAATGTTTTGAAGATGTGCAGTGTCCAGTAATGCGTTTCTTCAAAATGAAATAGCAAAAAATTGATGAACTTGTAGTATTTTTATTTTCCATATCTTTACAAAACAATAAATATATGGGCAACAAGGCTGGTAAATATTTCCCCCATATAATGTATACTTAGATTTGACAACCATGTGGTACCACCATGACAGGTTAGAATAATATTTCATGTGTAATAAAATGCACCAAGTTTAAATAATTTTGCATTCTGCCATCTAGCAAACATTCCAAAATGCTAACTCCTGCAAAATTCTTAATTCATATTCTTAACAGCATTTGATGCTAACTCTGAATGACAATATCACATCTGACAATACAAATGAAGTGTTAATAAGGCTAAAATCAAATTAGGCTTAACTTTCTAAGGTCTATTTTCAATTCAGTATAATACGTACATGAACACTAAGTGGCCTTTTTGGTGACGATGTCCCAGACACTTGGACAAAAGAATTTCTTGGAGATGGCACCTGATAGTGTCCATGTGAAGTAAGTTCTGTGGCCTGTGCTGCAGTCCTTGCATAACTTTGTGGAATGTTAGGAAAACTACTACTGTGAGCGGCCCCAGTGACACGGGTTGTGCTATATGGGTTGACAACAGAGGAGGCCAGGGTGACCGTGTTATAAGTGGATTGTGGCTGCTGCTGCAAGTGTGAGGGGGAGTTCTGGGAGTTTTCAAAACTCAAGTTTGGTGATGAACCGCTGGTTGGTGAGACCTGTCTGTCCACTGTTACTGGGTATTGGGGTCTGGCCGGCTGAAAGTGCACACAATGATAACATACATACATGTATTATATACACACACACAAGCTAGCACAGTACTGCTCAACTAGCTGGTGACACCATTCATCATCTAAACATACTATTATCTTCATTCTTCATGCTAGTTTTCAAAACTAATGGTGATATTTACAAACAGAGAATGATCATGCATGTGGTCTATCAAATGTAAATTGCAGCATGATAAGGCAAAAATCTTTAAGGTATAAATATCAAAAGTCTATCATTTTTTTTCTGCAACTAAAAAGCAATTGTCCATTGTAATTGAAGCCATATTCCTTGCTTGCTGACTTACCTTTGGTGGAGGTTCATCCAAGTCATTACCTGTCAGATTGAAAAAAATACAAACTGCATCAAAACTATAGAAAAACAGCAATTACTAATCTAATTAACCCAAATAACAATAGCATATCATTTGTCTACTAAAATGGAGTACAAAAATATAATTCAATGTATTCAGATTGCTTACAACTTGACATTCTTCATAATTACTACATACCCCATGACATGGCCTGCACTCTTCTGTTATCTCTGTGCATCTGTTCCTGCTCTCGCTGACGTTCCTCTTCTAATATACCCCTACAGGTAAGATATCATTTTTCTTTCTAATATGTAAGGAGACGGAGTATCCAATTGCTCTATACACAGGAGTATCCAATACTCAAACATAAACAAGAACAGCCTTGAGGCAATAGTATTTACTTTGCCACTGTAAGAAATTGTGCAATTTGTGAACCCATCAAATACTTCTTTGGTATAAAAAATCACTTACTGTAAAATATTGCGGACATCTGTAAAGTTGAGCCTTCCAGATGGTTCATATGCCCAGCATGTGCACATCAGGTTATAGAGGGCAGGTGGACAGCCATGGGGGAGAGCCAGCCTCTCTCCAGCTTCTATCTTCCCAATCACATCATTGTTCTTCACTCCTTGAAATGGCTTCACTCCATACATCAAGATCTCCCACATACACACACCTGAAATACAAACACTTGTGCATATAAAATATATAGATTAAGTTTTTCACACCTTTTATTTCAGCAAATAGACTACAGAAGGAAAAATGATGCATTTTATTTTTATAACTCTTATTTGTAGTAAGGAGGGGATTAAATTAAAAGAGGGGACAAATACTATGGTGGGGACTATTTGGAAATGTGAGAAAATTTTGTACATATTGGCGAGAGTTGCAGCATTAATTGTGACGCCATCAGATTATATTTCCAACCAGTACTCTTTCAAAGTCTGGTTAAGATTAGATATAATGATTCCTAACATACAAATTCTTAAAATTCAGCATTATGTCTTACCAAACATCCATACATCACTAGCAGTAGTGAATCTTCTAAAGTTGATAGACTCTGGAGCCATCCACTTGATGGGCAGTTTGCCTTTGGAAGCTTGAAATAACACAAGTCTCATACTATATCATCATCCTACATTTCCTTGTGTCTCACAAAATTTATACAGTTCATAAAACAAGTATTTGTAAAGAAAAAAAGATATAACAATGTCAAAGAAAAATGTTGCCAAAAACCTTGAAACATGAAGCAGAGCATCAACAATGAAAATAAGTCAGCATATTTGAATTCCACTTAAATCTCATAAGGTCTTACCTTTATAATAACTCTGCTCCTCCACCCATCTGGACAGACCAAAGTCTCCTAACTTAACACAGTCTGGAGCTGACACTAGCACATTCCTGGCTGCTATGTCTCTGTGACAGAAATAAATCCATTATAATTATGCACTAAAATAACACCAATTGTTGAACATAGTCATGCAATCTGTGAAAAAGAAACATTTTTATTCATCATTATCCCGAAAATTTTAGGTGTGTTATACCTTTCTTTCACAAGCTTCCAATACACAACAAAATGAAATTTCACTGCTTTTACTGTTCACAAACCTTTTTGCTCTTCTGGTAAGGCAACACTTCTTAAGAACAGGCATACATTGTAAACAATACCTGACTTACCTGTGTACAAACTTTTTACTTTCCAGGTAAGACAGTGCAGTACTGAGCTGGTAGGCATACATGATCAGAGTAGCTAGACTCAACATGTGCTTGTTACTTTGTAGGTAAGCACGCATCTGGAAGACAGCAAGTTTTTTTCTGTTACAACAAATATTCCAGTATTCAAATTTATTTTATTCAATATATTATTATTACTCCTGGCTGTAAATTATTTATACATTTTGAATACAAGTCCACATTAAGCACATTTTCAAACATATTTTCTTAACCTAATGAATAGAGAAATATTTATTCAACAAAATGCTGCATGAAGTCTTCAGGGAAGCTTCCACTATAGGAGACCCTATGTATCATATGTCAACACTAGATCAGTTTTATCAAATACCAAATGAGCTAGAAAAAATCACACTAGCCCTTACCTCCCCATGTTTGGCCAGTTCCATTACAATCCATATAGGACTTTCTGAGCATATTCCTATTAACTTAACTATATGGGGGTGATCAAATTGCTGCATGATGTCTACAATATAAAAAGAAAGAAATTACAAAACACCATCATAAAATGGCACCTAACTATTCAAAACATAGTAATGCTTCTGACTTCCATTTCCTACAAGTGTATCATCATGGCAGTCATTATATACATTGCCTTTGTGAGAGATTCCCTATAGAAACTTTTTCAAAAATGCTTAGTTGTTAAAAAGTTGTACTTGGAAGTCTGTTATTATATCATTTCTCTAACAAAATTTGTCTACAAGTTGGTAGAAAAACTTACATGCTTCTTCCAAAAACTTTTCAGCCATACAGTCTTCATTGTCTATTTTGCACGTTTTAATTGCCACTGGAATGACCTGGTTGTCCTGTAGGAACAATCATATGTCTGTTATAGTTTTCAAAGCATCTGTTCATGATGAGGTGGAACTACATATTATATAAAAGAGTTAAATGCTTCAATCTAAATCATACTTATTATCAATTTCCATAATTTTTAGGATAATTTAAAGGAATTTATAAACTCTAACAGCGACTTTATGCTAAATTCACTGTCAGAAATTTACCTTGTCTTTGTATTTTCCTTTATGGACATCTCCAAATTGACCTTCTCCTAAAATTTCTCCAAGGTCAAAATGGTCTCTTGATATTTCCCAGTCCTCTTTGGCTGAAAAAAATTTAAATACATATAAAAATGCTATAATACTGTATAAAAACATGACTTTTCAATTTCTAATCAATAAATATCATACGTGTTCAAAACAGCAACTACGGGAACAACATTTGTAGGTAACTGAGATTTTTGTACATTTATTTACAAATAAATCAACTTTCATCAGACAGTATAATTATACACAGAATGGTTGAGGTGTAGCTTCTTCAGTCATGCTGCTTAGTAAAATAAGAAGGCTCATTCAAAATTGGCCAAATCCTGAAATCCATTTTGACTAAAGCAAATGAAAAATCTTCAATAAAATTTAACATATGAACATTACTTTGTTTAATATCAAAATAGCTTAAAGCAAAAATACTATAGTGTCCAAATATGCACCAAGAACCACACTACTAAGAAAGTGCTGACCATGCTATAGGCTCAGTGCAGCCCCACTTTGGTACTTACATCCAGGTGTTGAGTAGTCATCATCCTCTTCAACAATCTCTGCATAATCACTAAAATCTGCAATCAGGAAATATTTCATTAAAACTCAATCCATGATATGAAAACATAATTAATAAACGCACATTTAACATAACACATATTATTTTTCAATTTAGTGGTAAATGTGTCAAGTGATTCCATTTTCTATCTTTGGATTCCTAAGCACTCCTAAAATCAATTTGTGTTGTGCTTTTCAAAAAACCCACAAACTACTAAAATTTTAAAAGAAGTCACCTGAGGGACTTCCTGGGCCACTGTTGCCTTTTCTGCTAGACGTCCTTCTTACGCTGAAAAAGAAGATTAGGAATAATCACCACTTAAACAGATCTTAATTCATTCTTATGGCAAATGGTAACATAGTTTTCAATCATCAAATGTGTATGAAGAACACTGAGAATTAATCTCCTGGTACACATTTTAAGTACTAAGAACCATAAAGACTTAAAAAATTTAGTTTGCTGCAAGCATTTTGAGGAAACTATGTCTGCACAAAAGCTTATGGTTCTAAATTGTACAACATATCAATAACAGACTGAATCACTCACCTGTGCCTTGGGGTTTTAGGAAGGCTGTCGTCTGTTAAAAGTAAAAGAAAATGTATAAAATTAATATTTGTTATGAATGACTCACAAATAACATCAAACATAAAAGCATGCATTTCCAAATACATACCAGGCAAAGAAGTTAATTTGAAAATAAAAGTCAAATTTTGAACAATATATTAGTTCAAAAATTCAATTTGTATCATAAGAACATATAAGGGATTTCAAAAGCTGACAGATAAGCTGTAACTGAAAGGTGCAAGCAAAATCACTTCATTCTGTTACAAACCTGTCTGTTGATAAAAAAAATTAATCTTTATCAATTTATGATATATGCAGTTCTGTGAAGAGACCAAAATTAAAAAATTCTGAAAAATTATCCAAAATAAAATTTAAAAAAAGTATCAAATAGCTGAAATGCCAAATCATGTGATTAACTATATTGGATCAAACACTGTTAGCAGCAGAACTATTGAAGCTTAGTAAGGAAAGTGGATACAACACAAATTTATGCAACCCACCTCCTGATACCAAGGTCTGTGTCCTTAGAGATGCTTAGAAAGAAAAGTAACAAGTTGCTAAGGCAAGGAACTAAGATACTCTTACAAGCAATGTTAAATTGTTATATGTCTACAGTGATTCATCTAGGCACAAATGTTAGTGGTGTGCTAAGATATTTGAAGCATGAATTGGTTGTGTCATTGAGCAGTACATGCCTTATAACATGGCATAATTAGGGATTTTTTTTTACAACTATACCAATTATGAGGCTTTAAATCTTTTTTACAATCTGAGAACACTTATATATACCATCTGCAATTGGTGGAAGGGGTGAGAATACAGAAGGCAACTTCCAGTTGATTTATGCCAGTGCTTAATTCTATTTTAGTCATTAATTTGCCTAAACAAAATGACAAGTCACCCGCTTTGTCGATGGTCTTAAATTTCCTAAAGAAATACTCTTTCACCTTGTGATTAAATAAAGAGAATCTATCATCAATGGTCTATTCGATATTTGTGTAACATGCTTGTTTACCCATGCAACAGGTTACTGCATCACAAGAGACCTGTGAAATTTCCATACAGTTAAGAGAAATAAGTATTCTACAATGTCATCAGATGATGCTCTACTGCTTCACCCTACTTCATGCTCATATACTGTGTAAGTCATTAATATAGTTATAACTGAAGTTCACACCAAGGGTTAGTTTTCGAGATTAAAAAAAGGTATAAAAAAGGACATTTCTGAAGAAGACTACATATACACTACTGTATCTATTATCTGACTAGCATATGGTATAATCAGTCCAAATCAAAGCAAACTCAGATCTCACCTTTCCTCTTCCAGAATGAAGCCTTGGTGCCATTGACCAGCCTGCAGTAGCCATCTATAAGATCTGCAATGTCCTCAGCTGTGTTGGATGTTGGGCAGGTAATGGTGAGGGGTTCTGCTGCACCAGCTATCTTCAGCTGAAGTAACCCCTTAGAGTCTGTGTCACTGCACACTGTCTGGATAGACTGGACCTGGGCAAACTCAGCCATTTGTGTAGGCTGAAATGAAGAGTAAACAGCTGCTATAGACAAGTCCCAAGGGTGCATTTCAATGTTAAAAACTGGCCTCAAAAGCTTAATAGTTTTCTGCATTTAATTCAATGAAAGTTTTTATGACAACCTATTATACACTGGATATATTTAAGGTTAGTTTAATATGCTGGTGGTTAGAAGCTGAAATAACAATTTTATATAGATTTATGGTATAATTATTATACACAGTACTAGATGTAACAGTACTTGGTGAAAGGCAAATGCAAATTTAATTTAATTCCACAGTGTAATACGCATTTTGCAATTCCTTTGGTGTGAATCAGTTCCATTCTGGCAGCTGATGTAAGTGTTAAGTGTTAGTTTAATTGGCACTCTCTACTTACTGAAGAAGCCTTTTCTGTCAAATAACTGATGCCTACATCTGGGCCAATTACAAGTTCTACTGAGATGCTCCAACTTGACTGTAATGAAAAATGTATAATCTTGCATCACTCTACAGAATGGAAGAACCAAAAGATAATTAACCAAATATGTGTGTGTGTGTGTGTGTGTGTGTGTGTGTGAGAGAGAGAGAGAGAGAGAGAGAGAGAGAAAGAGAGAGAGAGATACTTTATTTTCTACTTCTAAATTTCAAAGAGAAATAGTGCTTGCTTAGTGTTTCAATAATATAGTCAAAATGCAGGAATGGGATTTAATGGAAATAAACAATCTGAAAATAGCACAAATTCCAAAGATTTCAAATAGCTTACTGGAAAATAACCATATTCAAATGCTAAGACAAACCAACATACATACCCCTAAAGCACATTTAAATCTCTCTTGGTTAAATTTGTGTACAGTGAAAAGAGTTTCAAAAAATGTAAAAATGCATTCCTCTTCAGACAGCGGTGCATATTGCTTGAAATTCTGTTGAATGGCTTTCCTTAATGTTTTTGGCTGAAATAAAAAATCAAGTAATATAGTGCATATTATCTATAAAAAGTTTAAATACTTAATTACTGTAGGGCAAAAAGGATGTCTAACATAACTATGCCTCATTCTTTAAGCAGTGTCTCACTACATGCAGCTGGAGAGCTCCAAGAAAATAAGGAATTAAACAGTTTTTCTCAAAACATGTAACATGGGACAATTTTCTTCCAATTTTATAATTCAGCACATCTCCACAATTATACATACACCAAGGTTCTTAAATGAAGGAATTCACCATCAACAACCTTGTTTTAAACAGTCTTTGGCACAGACCTCTATTACAGACAATCAATCTTTTCACAACTCAAATTCAATATATCTATATCACAAATCTAAACCTATATTGACATTTGACATCAAAAACTCTAACAAACCCCATGCACTTACCTTCATACTGTCTAAAACAGTCTTGGGCATAAATCTTTTCAAACCAATCTCTTTCTCTAAGTATTCTATATTAGATTTTTTCTCGAGAGCAGTCTGAGGCATGTCTTTAAAAAAACGCCTAAAAGGAAAATTTTATTTTGAGATTTAACTTTGAGAATCAATTGTCAAAATTTAAGGAGCAATAAGTTTGCAATTCTATATCTAATGACCCAACAAATGTTTCCTAACAACATATCCTACATGACAACTCTAATGTGATATGAACACAATTCTCTTTTATCAAAACTTGATGCTCAGCATACCAAACTGAACTAAAAATCACAATCATCTATTTGCACAAATCAATTAAGTAATAGAACTGTTCTCAAATACCCCAGGTTTCAAAATAATCATCACAACATTTCAAAACTAATGGCTCAATTCTTCCTCCATGCATACTTCAGTCTCCTGGGCTCACCTGATCTCAATGCAACCTAATTTGATAGCGACATCTGGATCAATATTACTGGCCATTTTTTTCATATAGTCATTGCGAACCTAGAAAAAAGTAAAGTAATTTTGATTTAAAACAAATAATGACTTTTCCATGTTCAAAAACACCATAAAAGATGTCATAAACACATTTAACTTATGGGTTTTATAGTGAGTGATATTTTGCCATGCAGTTTCTGACTGTTCTACCAAAAGAATCCAATCAATGAATAAATGGAAGTGCTTTAGATCATTAGGAATCATTCAACAGCTGCCTGTAAAACAGAACAGTTACCATCCGAGTGAAAAACTGTGATGTTTTAAATAAAATGGGACACAAAGTGACACCAAACTGGTGTCCAATTCATTTTAGTGAACTTCAACACATTTAAAAATTCACTTAAAATAATATTCCAAGGGCTTGTCCCATACAGCTTGCCAGTTATGACTAATGGGTACATTTCATGAGATAACAAAATTGGAGCCTACAGAAACAGGAGTCCATAGTTCATCAAGTGCTGGCATAAATGGATGTAAATGATACACTTTCTGATTTTTTAAAAATCAGTTCCAGAGTCATCTTGTGCTAAGTACATCTGCCAGTGATCCACTACCTGGATGCAATGCTACAAAAACTGACAACAATATCAAATTTCTTGTTGCTTTCAACTTACTGAAAAGCAGTCTTTTCATATTCATGTGCATCAACTTTGTAATGCAAAACAACACCTTTTGTCTTTTATGTTTTAAATGATTCATGGCAGACTGTGAAACAAGGTTTGTACTGCAAAGTTTGTTATTCTATTAGGGCAAAATCCAGGCAGATCTAGTCATTCAAACTGACAGTCATCCAAACTAGGATAAAAAATCCGGTCAACAAAATTGTATACCATAAAAACCTTTGATGAAAATTCTGAATATATTCTGCAATCTACATATACATTCATATAATTGTCAATTTGTCATAAATGAAATAACATTCCTTTTGATAAAGTTTGCTGAAAGGTTTAACTCTTTATTTCCTTCAACCTAGATGAAAAAAACTTTCTGTCCTATAATTTATAAGCCGGTTAATTTTTCAGCCTTCATTTACTTGCACAATGCATCTCAGAATCAAATGTTCAAAAGAGAATTAAAGTAAATGGAGCCCTCATGTTCTGGTTAAATGCACTTCACTAATGCACAATAAGTGGCTGACGGAAGTGGAAACTGTTGTAAAGTAACTCTAATAATGTATTGCTCTACACAAAATGATTGAGAAAAAAGCAAAATTTTCCTTTCTAGAGGTTAAAATCAGAAATGACTCCCTATATACTATACTTTCCACTCCACAGATCTTTTACCCTAAAAAATTTCAGACTTGAATGCTGAAAATACCCCCAGATGTGAAAACCTATATTGGGAAATGTCCAACTGTCAAAGAAAGACAGAACCAAAATAACAGGATTTTTTTTTTTAGAAATGGAGCCAAACTAACTGCCTGTGATCTCACTAAGGTTATTATGCAGTTCAGACGATCTGCTATTAGTCTAAAAGCTTGCAGGCTGCCAGCATAAGTAACAACTGCGATCAAAGCAAGGCCATCCCCTGCACTGTACATCTCTTCATTCATACAGATCTCTGGGGTATTGATCTAAGATTGCAAATAGCCGTGAGCGAATTCACCACCAAGGATGAGACAGATTCATTTCATGAGAAGCTGAATTTGGGGTTGTTTTGGGAGAGCAATTTCTCTACCAGGTTCATTCACATAAAAGAAAGATAAAGATTCTCTCTCATGGCTCTTTATACAAATGGCCCATTAGAATAAGAATCAATAGTCTGGAGCTCTATTAGAAAACTAAAAAAAATCAGATCTAAAAGAGGCAATAAATCAAATGCTTTGCCACATGCCTTTTTTATGCCTTTTTTTCCATTCAATGTTAACTCCTTGCTTTGGTCACAAAGTACAGTTCTGTTCTATCTGATAAAAGGCTGTTGGATTAATCTGTCTCATTTATTCAATATTCATAATAATATTTGTATTAGTTAGAGAGCCTGTAAATGTAAACCATTTCTTTGTGCTCAATAAATTATTATTATTATTATTATAACTATCAGCATTATTTTTAAAAATCTACTGGCACAAAAAAGCATATCTAAACATAAAATGTTGATTAATCACTCATGAAGATGTTCTAATAACAAGTTGGCAATATAATCTAATATATTGTGTAAGTCTAGAAGAGCTAATGATATTTCCCTGCAGATCTTTCCCTAGATCCATTCCATCCATCATCTAATATGAAGATCTGTCTCACTACATGCATCACTTAGGGTTTACTTCACACCTTATCTCTATTTTCTCAGCTTCTCTTCATTATTTTCTCACAAACTCCTTATCCTGGTTAAATAAGCAATTTTACAATCACGTAATGATGTCTATCCCCAGAGAAAATATGATTGTAAGGAAAATTAAAAAATAATCACATGAGCTTCTGAAACAAATCCTACTAAACTTGTTGTGCGATATCATAAGTAATCCCATGACTACTGAAGATATAACAGAGACATTTCACATGCTTATCACGACTTGCTTTGGATAAATCATACTGCCACAGATACAGCAAAAAAAAAAAAAAATCATAAGATCTTGAAATACAGCACAATCATTGCATAATACATTACATTTGCATGTGCTCTATGGGCTGAATACTCTATAAATATGTGCAAAATACTTGGTAATATTTACACTTTTCTTCTTATCCAATCTGACACTGATGATAGATCTTTAAATACAGGCTTTATATTCAGCATCTGAATCTCAGAGGATCAATACATCAAAACAGGCCTTCACATAAACTACGGATTCTCATTCTAATTAATATCATTCCTCTAATTAACTAATCAAATGAGGTAGGAGGTCTAAATCACAATAGTAGACCAAACAATGACATTATGAGTTTTGACCCCAAAGAGCAATATTCAACCACAGCTTCATGCAGAAAAAGAAAGATCTTCAATATCCAAGACATGGAATTGACAACTGCTGATATAAACACCATTCAAGATAAACAGGTCACACAACATGCATACATACCTGGTCATATAGGTAATAGAATGTCACTTTGTCTCTGATCTGTAGTTCTTGAAAGCTTTTGGGAAGATATCGCACCCTCAGTTCATACCTGAAAAAAAAAATTAGGCATTAACATAAACCATATATTCACTCTTAAAATCTAAGCAAACATTAGGGGGTATATGTATTTATACTTCACACATAAAAAACTGATTCTCACTTGTCTTTAACTTCAGTCCTGACAACAAGTAAGTGACAATTGTCAGTGTTTGATTAGTTCCGAGAGGAACACAATTATTCTACAAGTTCTGATAATATAATGAATGCATTTTCAAATACTTAGTCAATATCTAGTGACAGAATAAAGGGAACACGACTAAACTGTTAATCAAATTATGTTTAATTTGCAGAACTTTTCTCTGCAATAAGTAAGGTCTGTAATTGCCTCAATGCCGTGTAGACAGTTTGAACACCATAATGTAATTCCACGTTTGAACACTGCAACATTACTCATACTGTTGTAAGCACGTAGCCTACAGCTTCAAACAAAATTGAACAGAGCCTGGCTTTGCTCTTTCATCTCATCCCAACAGCTTGTCAGTATACAAAACAAAAACGGAGTAACTGCTGTTGATCGGGAAAGCATTTTTCACTCGTTCGTATATTATTCATATTTATTGTTTATTACAATGCATATGGTCAGCATAGTTTTTAAGTCTTTTGTTTTAGGTAGGTTTTCCACTCAAGCTCTAATATCATCAGATTGGCATTTCTTGTAACTTCTCATTTGCAAGTTGCAGTGCTATTTCCCAATTTCATTTTCAGGAAAATTTAATGCCCCTTTGGTTATTAAAATTTTGCCAGTAATGAGTAGTTAGTAGAACTTTATATGATTCTGATGTCAAAACTTTTCATGTAAGCTGACTAATTCAGATTCCTCACCTCCATTCATCTGCTGGGTACTTGGATTCATACTTCTGTCTGACCTGGTACATAGTCAGATCACTGTGGAGCCAGAACCCCTTGTCTGTCTGGAGGTGGCGCAGGTACAGGGCATAGCAAGCCTCAAAGTACCTCTGTCCTGCTGCCAGACGACCTACCAAAAGATGCACTATACCCTGAAATTTAAATGGGAGGAATATAGTAAAGGCATGATAACATTACAAGAAACAAGTTGAAGAATATCAAAATGCATAGGCGTCAAGTTTTATGAATACAATTAAATGTCTTGATTGATTACCAGCATGGGTTTTTATGAAGTAATTTTCACCAATATCTCACCCCTATGCCTCGAAGATCCATAACGAGAATTACAGACAAACCTTCACTGATGATAGGTATTACAATCATTTGCACTGCATGGATATCCATAACCATGTGGTGCACTCTTTATTAATAATAACATCTGACAGTTAACTAAATATCTTACAAAGTAATTGTATGACAAAATCAACATTAATTTCTCTTATCTAAGCTCACTATAGCCACATATATTAAGAAGAAAACACAGGGAATAACATGTTTAGTTATTCAGTGCATTACAATGCTAATATTCTAATCTCATCAATATATAAAAATGTAATTACTGCTCTAAAATGAAAGCACTACAGATACTAGAAAACACTGTTTAATATGATATGAATCTACACAAAAAAGAAAATAATTCAAGTGTTTTTGTCAAAATAAAAAGGTCCTCTCTCCTCTCCCCCACAAAAAAAGGAATTTCTTTTTCATTCTATCTTTATCAACTTATTCTAAATAATGAATATAAGCATTAGTAATGGGTCACACATCCTAGTAACATTAAGAGATAGCTCTGTATCTAACTGTGGCTAGGGTTGTTGTACCATAACTGGTGGGACAGAACCAGGTCTTCCTATCAGTGTGAATCTGGTAACTGATACACACCTTACCTCATGATGCATACCACATTACATAGCCTCAGTTTTCCTCTTATTTTACAGACAACTCATAATAATGCTGAGTTGAGGTCACATGAATCATAGAATAGTCATAGTTTGGTAACTCAAGCATACCTGTACAAACAACATGCAAACATGGTTGTTGTTTGTCATCCTGCATATCTTACATCAACAGGCTATATTATATCTTTGGCTTGTGAAACACTGAGAAAGTCCCCTTTACAGTTTTAAGATACTTGAAAATCTGACTGCAATATATACCTTTCACTCCTTCAAAATATATCTTTCACACCTTTATGGGCATGCACACCTGTGCCACTGCACACACACTTACTAAAAAAACTTGACACTTTGACAAGTATTGACAAAAATGTGAATAAAATCATCTTTTAACAAGAGCATACATACATACGTACGTACGTATGTACATACATACATACATACATTATTTCCATACCTTTATATCTGTAGCATCTCCACATTTGACCATATTGAACCCTCCATTGGGAAGGTGGACTTTGAGGATACTCTTGTCCAGTGGTGTCTCAGACTGGTCAGAGGCTGTCCCTCCTTTCTGGACACTAGATCCCACACCCTTGCGACTCATACTGCTGGTGTGATAGTTTATGGTGGCATTCAGAAGCACTGGGGAGTGTGTATATATGGCATCAGTAGGGTTGTACAGCACTGGGAGACTCAGTGTGTGGTGAAGAGGTTTGGCTCTCCTATTTAGCCATGGTGAATGTTCTGTGAATATCTGAAATGAAAAATTGCAATTTTTTATTTTCACCATTAATCTCATTTGGAATATAAAAAAAAAAAAACAAACAAACTTGAATATGCATAAAGAAAAAAAATGATAAAGAAAGATTGCTCACAGCATACATGATGATGCAGCTTCTGGTGATGATTAAATTATGTGCAGTCAAAACAGCATCTGTACTAGAAAAAGCACTTCAGAACAGTACCTTACTAGACCAAACACTGTTAGTGAGTAATCGAGAGGGAAAATGTTCATTTGGAATATTTAATTGAATTATGAATATAAATTCAGATAATGTGCAAAATTTGGGATACAAGTTACCAAAAACTACACTCATAAAACCATTATGCCTAAAGAGATGTTCAAGTACACTTAAAAGAATTGCTACGTAAATGTATTCAAGTAATATCACTGAATTTCGACCAGATAACAAATCAGTGTTTTACAGTCTAGCAAGCTGTGACAGAGAGACCGACCATGACACCTAAAAGTACTGTATTCAATCACCCCAACTACACCCAGCCAAATCACCTGCAGTGCCAAATTGCTCCGGTTTCCTCTACCTGCCATCTTTGCAAGCACTAAACCTGCCCTAAGAACTGATGAATATTCCCACAGATGTATAAAATGTCAGGACTAAGCCTCAAGTTTCAAGTACAATCAATAGAACAATACAAGATGCTTCTTAATTCCTGCCTTGCCATTGTCACATATGAAGGTCATCTTTCCCCATGGTGGGATTTTTTCCACAACATATGGCTAGGAGTTTCATCCAATCGATCCTCATCAAAGTAGGTGGTAATTATGACTCAACCTGACTGTGAAGATATGCATAGAAAAATAAAACTGGCAGGGCTTTCCCAGTCATCTGGAGCTTAATTACGTATCATGATACTATTATTCTAAGCATGAGCAATGATTGTTTTCAATGGTGTCTCTGAAGATATAGGAAATACAAGACAACATGATCAGCTGAGCATGCCATGCATGGAAAATGCAGCCAATTGTTTCTAAAATTGTTCGAAAGGTAGCAAATTTCTGTTTTTACTTCAGCATACACATAATATCATAAAAGAAATTCAGATTTCTTGGATCTATTGAATGCATTTGGAGTTGAAACATGTATTATGATAAAATGTACGACCTCCTCCAATTCATGAATTTTAGATACCTCAAATAATGGACTTTTAGGTCACCTAGACTAACAATGTACACAATCAAAGATCAGTAGATGGCTATAAGGTAAAGCCCTGCCTTAATGCCGTCACAAGTATATTTCCAATAGACCTCAGAGGAATGCATTCAACGGGTCCTTTGAAGAGGAACTAAAGCACCATACTTTCAGACATTGCTGCATTGCACCAATATTTTACAGTTCAATAGGCTCTTGGTGGTGATCTACTCAGTCTGAAACACAAATAATTATCAACTGATGCTTTGAAAGCTGCCATGTCATATATTCACCAGTATACCTAATGTTAGCTAGGCTCTGTGGTTAGGTCCTGCAGCCAACTCACCTGTTTCAATTTCATGGTCAATTTTTTTCCTCAGTCTCCTTTTTCACTACATAAACTTGCTAACTTTGCAAATACTGCTAAAATAAACTATCCCTGTTTTGTACAGTAAAGTAACAATTTCCTTTGATGTTCAAACATCATTTGGGCATAAGGAATGAGTGTCCATCCTCGTACCCCAACAAAGCAGTGATAAAAAGACAATAAACAGGGAGTAAGGCAAAGTGGAATTCTTAGCCAAGAGGGTTTTACACAATAGGGCAACCCATATGGTCACCTTACTGCATTCCTACTATAATTAGTATTGGTTTTAGAAGTCTTTTATGAGGAACATGAGATCTAAACCATATTTAAAGTGGAAATACATGAAAGAAAGACAAACACTACTTAGCAAATTGTGAATTGACCTAGGTAGATAAGAGTTGGAGTAAAGAATACTTGGTCTAGTAATTATCCGTCAATGTGTCACGGTGTTACAATGAAGGTAAACAATAAGAAGCAGGTACGACTGGAGTGAAATATCCCACACTTGCAGGTATTAACATTCCCTGATCATCTTATGATTCACTTGTCAGTGGATTAATCAAATGAGAGAAACTGACTGATTTGCTCATTAGTGTTCAAGGTTCAATATAAAAATGACACTACCTTAAGAAAGGAAATAATCACCATATACTAAAGCAAGGCTAACAATTCAGCCATATATCTTCACCAGTTCACCAGTGCAGTGCCAGCTATATTATAAGTTACAATACCTCTGCCAAGATGACTCAGTGAACACACAAGTGAGATTACTTAAACCTACCCATCTCCAGGTATTCCTGGTAACATTTCAAGAAGGCCTAGGTCAATTCTGTGGAAAACTTTGAATCTGATGGTTGCAACTTGAGACAGAACTACAAACAAAGAGTTCCTGACATCTGATGTTATCCAGAGGATGTTTCACAAATATATCCGACTTGCATTTACTCAGCTTAATAATTTTTTTCAAAAAATTCTATTTGTCAATTTGCAACGGATTTGAAATATAAATAAGTGAACTCTGAATGACTTACTAGTAAACCAAAATGGCCAACAATAAACACATGCTAGCTGATCAGACTAAGACTTTGCTCACTTGAAAGCTCACATAATCTTTAGAAAATCTTCTTATGAAAGAAATGAAACCAGAATCATTATAAATTCATATACCTGCATAATTTGTGTCAGTATATTCTATGGATCTTGGTTGAAATGCGAGAGTAAGACTACAATCATACAGGATAATTACATCCCTCAAACACTTCCTTTTTTTAAAATTATTATTCTAATTTTTTATTTACTATACTAGTCAACATACTGTTTAGGATAAACTTTGTGAAAAAATCATAGTCTGGGATTTGCCTATTTAAGGTGACAAGTATATAAGACAAGGTCACTAAAACTGGTATAAACAGGAGCTTCATGCATATGATACCCTGTACATAACATCATATCACTGCCAAGAATTTGGCAGAGCACAGTTACAGAACTAATGAAGATATGGTTTTATGCACTAAAAGCAAACCGAAGCATTAACAAGAATGAATTTGCATTGCACTTCTGACTCAGTGAAAAAAGATTTAGAGGCTTTTACAGGTATACAGTTAGAATCAATGTTACAAGGCAAGCAAATGGGGGATTTATATTGTTATCTTCAAAGTGGAAGAGAAGTTGAACACCTTATCTAAGCGAACTTGGGATATTCTGCTACCCTGCTGAGATCACAGTCTTGCTGAATATTTTGCAAAGCTGTAAGCTTATCAGACCCACCTGCATGGATTGCAACTCAACAAGGAATGTTACATCTAATGCAAAGGTCTATTTACAGTTTTAACCTAGCTATGATGACCTAACTTCGTGCAAATATTATATTTTTTGACCACAAAGTCTATCTTATCCCTTCTGTTATCCTGCCTGCCACCATTGTTATATTTAGGTAAGCCATGTGCCCTTCGTTTGGCTTCTTATGATTATTAGAACTTGTAATCCCATGGTCTGTCAAGATAGTGTGTGCTAAGTTAAGGCACCACAACTTGACTATTGTAGAAATGTGGCCTTAGTATAATGAAGGTTTTGCTGTGACAAGGGAGAAAGGAGGAGGGGGCAAAATTAAAAATTCCATTTTTTTAAAAATATTTCTATCTAGAGAAATCTTTTTATCTTGCACAAGAGGAATGTATATTTCAACACATAGTCAATCAACCTTGAGCAAACATTTACAAACATGGTAAACTTATGGTAAATGTGTATGAAGACATTTTTGCCGAAATCCTTAGAATCATCACAACATTTTAAGTTGCTGAATGAACACAGTGTGGTTCAGAAAACTTTATTTATAAATGTCTGATGTTAAATTGCTGATGTTAACCTGCCCAGAGGTTTTTTTTTAAATACCTTGATTTTAAAGGTCCCTCAGCTCTCAAGAGAAAATTTGCTTTTCATAGATGACTACATTGTAAAACAAATCGGAAATGACTGGTTTTCTCTAAGGGCGCAGCAACAAAGGTGACAGTGTGAGAAAAGCAAGATAAGCATGCTTAAACATGTTATTGATTTTTTTCATTATCTCAGGCTCAAGAAAGTCAAGAAGTTTGACAACACCTGTGCTTTTCTTAATTTCCTCTTGAGACACACTAATCACAAATAAATTGTTGGCTTCGAGCAATATTGTTTTATGTTATAAACATATCTGAGTGGAATAAAGAGAATATCAAATTATCAATAAGACTTATAAACCGATCATCATTTTTAGCACCCAATACTTAACATTGCCAATATTTCTGCCTAATTTCCACCTGTCATTTCTTGACCATTCAAATCTATCACACTTAAACTGTTTTTAGTTTCTGCTGAAAATTTCTGCGGAACTGGTCTGCATTTGGTCTCCCACCTGAGTTGCTTTTAAGACGCTTATGGCCATCTAGACATTGTGGGTTTTTTTTTTTTTTTTCGTGCAAGCAAATTGATCAAAATTGGATAAATTGGTTATCTTTTTGAAATACTGGCAAATAATCTTCAACATCTGGCAAATATTTTCCTTTCTTTCATGAGCCCAGAGATCTTTTCATAAATCTTAGTCTGAAATATCCTGGGCACCAACCCAACACCTACATGAAATATAAACATATTGCAAACATACCATACCCCTGATTTTGTAGACTTATTGATGCAGTAAACCAACTACAAGCTGAGAAAAACGTTTTGAATCATGCACTTTCAGAATTTTATAAATAGAACATGTACAAGTGAGATCAAGCCAAATAGTCCTTAACTATACAGCTTACTATGCTACTTAGCAAATACATCGTTCATAATCATATTAGGAGGTCCTTCTGGTAAGATTTCCAACACTTCAATGTTCATACTAACAGTAGTTGAAAATATCGCCCACACTACACTGCAGCAAGCTAATGCCAAAGACTCTGTATCTTAAAATTCAGCAACCTTTTGTCATCATTCATATTTCACAACCAATCCAAGCTTTATAAAAGTATAAGGAGCATAAAAATCAAATTAACATATATCTAGTCTCTCTATGTTTTTAAAATTCATTTTGCCTAAATCATTATCTATTCCTTCTCAATATTTTGCAGTATATCAAACAATTTGAGATTCACAGAATTCCAAGTTTTAACCATATTACATCTAGTAAATGTATGTGTAAATTCTAAATACTGAAATCATATTTGATATTGGTCAATTACTACGTAGGACTCCAGTTCAAATACAAGTGTATTGATTTCTGCTCCCTTTTAAGCTGCTAGTTAAGTGTTGCCAAGGGTTCACTCAGACATAAAACTATTTGAATGATGACAAAAACAGATACTAGTAGCTGTGCTTTTTCTATTGTCTGCCACAGGCTCTAGTCTTACCCCATTAGTACAACAATGTCCAAGTATCCAGGTCTCACGACTGCGGCCATTGTCCAGTACACTTCCTAACATCATGAAAGAACTGAAACCAATTTCAACAAAAATGCAGCTATCTTCTATAGTTCTCTCTGTCCCTTTCTAACTTCCTCAAACAGTCTCACTTCATCCCAAGAAACAAGGTATGTCCACAGATCAGGTTTTAGATCTATGCACATGTGACACTCTTCTTATCTGCAGTGGTCAACATGGTATGGCATTAATCAGCAGTATCATAAAAGAAATTAAGGTATTCCTTGGCCCAGTGAATTTGTGTGTCACTGGCTGTCTAACAGATAACTGTAGGAGGTGAGTGGACCCCTGTATTAGTCAGTGCGAAGCCTGACCTTTGGTGGTTTTGGAATTGCATGACTGCCCAACATAAAAAACAAGTGTCTACTACCACAAGCCCATTTTACAAAACAGGAAGCAGTGACACACAAGGTGACAAGTGAGATCTCAGTTCACCAACTTCATGACCCTGGCCTTCCTGTTGTCATTTCCACTATCACTGCCTTTATTGGTTTGTCATTAATTACCCATTTAAACTGAACTGAGTTTTATTACTCTAAGGGGTTTGGGAGATGTCCATCTTGAACTTATTGTGACACAAGACGTTCTTGTTCACCATCATCATGGCTGACTTCCGATAAATGACAGTCTGAAAATGACATGATAATTACTGGGCACACGGCACCATCAACTTAGCTGTGCAGCTGTTTGATCATGACACAGATAACAAATGGGTGGGCACTGTGTACCTACGCAAATCAACTTGGCATCAAAACATCAATCCTTATATTTGAAGTGGAAGACTCCTATAACATATAATTTAGTACATTACAGTGCATAAAACTTTACATGCTAAAGACATTGACTATAATCCTGAGCATGAAAAATGAACAATATGTACTTATGATATCTCCTTTAAATATTTTCACATTACATAAGAAGATAACAATCCTTGTTATAAAACATGAATTAAGTTACTCAAAATTTTTGTATGAATATGTAGACTTAAAATATGTCACCTGCATAAACATTTTTCATAACTAAAGACATACACTTGATATATATATTGTACATTTAAAGGCAGTTTAGGCTTTTATCAAACCTTTATCATTTGAATCTATACGGCCCCTTTTCAATTTATCTTATGATCTTATCTGTGATAATGACACTCGATACCACACAAAAAATGTGTGTGTGTGTGTGTGTGTGTGTGTGTGTGTGTGTGTGTGTGTGTGTGTGTGTGTGTGTGTGTGTGTAATTGGAGGGAGGGGGGAGGGGCAGGGTGAAAAAATTGAATACATATTTGCAGGAAGGCACTTTCTAGAACATTGTTCATTACCCTACAGGTAAATTACTTCAAACAACACTTAGAATCTTATTTTAAGTTCATTATTCTACTACATATAACTAGATTCTACCCATTTTATAAATATTCACATGTGCATTTACTACAACTGCAACACTATAAACTGAATGCTCTGGTCAATCAGCAAGCAAATCAAATTATACCAGCCTGGGGATGTGCCTCCATTTTATTTTCAATCAGGAAAGTAACAAGACATATATAAATATGTATATACTCTATCTAGCTACCCTGAGTGTCAGAGCAACGTAAAAGCTAGCTTGTTAAATATATACCTTGTGATGGAGTCGCTTTTACTAGCTCTGACGAACAGCGACAATCTGAGGGCGTTCTTCTTCAAAATTTTGCCTGGGGCGCTTCCATATTTGGAAGTCACACGTCACAGCTGTGTCCGCCTGGATCCATATTTGGAAGTCATAAGTCTCGTACGTCACAGGTTTAACCGCCTGGAGCTGCCTTTCCCGCCTGGAGCTGACATAATCTCGTGCAGACGAGACAGGAATCAAAGTGTCTGACGCAGATTTAGAGGTTTGAATTGAAAATATCTTGCAGTCAAAGGTCAGTGCCACAATACAAGCAACATTCTGCTTTAAAAATTATTTTGGTGTAGCCATTGCGCAGCCCTTTTAGTGGTATTGGGCATCCAGTGAAGCTGTCAAACTTGGCACATGGTAAGCACGTGTGTCTATTATCTCAGGATAAAATGTTCTTTGATAAGCAAAAAATACAAAAACATTGGATATACCTTTTTCTTTTCGAAACATATTATTTATTTCTCACTTTACATATCTTAAATACAGCAAATTAAATTAAATAAAGCAGAATTAAATCTGTTTTACGTTTCATTTTGGTCTGATGACATTCAACTGCAGATTCACTGCGGAGCCGTTCTATTTGATTGACAGGAGCCTAACATGGCCGCTGTGCACTAGAGCCTGGTATTGCGACATGGGTTATATGTGAAATCAAGATCAAGCTGGCAATACCGGAATCTAGAACCTAGGGTATATCTAGCAGACTTCACTTAGCTCATTTTTAATATCAGATTCACTACTAATGTAGATTGGAAATGTAAAAAGCTGACTTATTTAAACACCACACCATCTGAAAAAACTTCAATCTGTAACAGTACTCTAAAAAGCATTAATTGGATCATTAACTATCAGAAAATCATTTTGAACTAAAGAATATTTTGATGAAGTCTGAAGGAAGTTTCTGACACTAGCACTCCAGAAAGACATTGGTGCAGGTGAGGCCAGAAAAAATAAACTTGTGATACAACAGATACATTTTTCTATTGATTACACTCATATTGGACAACTCAGGTAATATCATCCCATCTAAGTGCATCAGGGTGCAGATCTTTTATTTTTCCACTTCTCACGAATATGTAAAGTAAAAACAGGACATAATTGACAAGTGTTTTTCATACGACAAGCCACAGCATCATTGCATTAGCAGTTAAAGTTGTTATGAATGTACAAGACGCACTTCCTGAACTACAGAGAGCAAACATATACAACCTGACAAGAAAAGTGTGCACTATAAGTGCAGTTTAAGCCACAACATAAGAGAGTGCAAACTCGCCAACACATATCCTGCTAGGACCTTATAATCATATAGTTACACAGTAAGCTTCAACCTGTGATACCAGAGAGCAAATGTGGCAACCGTGTAGAGGCTAGAACAGAAGCTAAATACAGACACTTGATGCGAGGAGAGGACATATGCCTCACTGAGCCTAGATGAAACACTATATTGGTGACAAGGATGAGAATCGAAATCACGCACGGAAACCCCAATGGATTAGCAGGGTGAAAGTGAAACTTTTCAACAACATGCAACATGTGAAAGAGGCAGTGAAATGTGTGGGGTGACGTGTTTCAATTCGGCTACTTTCGACAACACTTTCAGGAAATAACCTAAACGATTTATTTCGAGCACAACAATGAGCAAATTACACCCAAAATTGGAGTCACTGACATCTCAATTCGATCTGGTATATAGCAGTGAGCAGAGTACCAATTTTGTGCACTGCAATTTGTTTCGGGGTGTCAACTTCATAGTGTTGCCAGTGTAAGCTTTTCACCCCAGCAGTAAAAGCAAGGGCAAACATATAATAAAATTGACACTTATGACTTAGTTTTAATACTCATGCTTAAAAAAGTATTGTTGTTACCTTTCTGCACAGTTTTTTATAAATATACACCACTACTTTGTAGTTCGACTGCAGAGGTTGTGAAGTACTTCAGTTATGGCGGAAATCTCGTCCAATGTGATAACGAAGTAAAAAGAGAAATAAAGTGCCATAAATCTATACAAAATTATAAGCATTCAACTTCCATTTTTATATATCAAATGTTCTAACGTTGAAGTTGATATTTTCAAGTATTTGATATATTTTTGGTACTGTTCACCAACTCTCGTTAAAACGAGACTTGACCTGCCGGGGTGCCATGTGATGCATTTTGCTGCTCAATGATCAGTAGATGTCACCAGAAAAATTTGATGTCATTTTTGTTCAGGCCAAGCTTAGAAAATAAGTATCGTGAAACGCCGCATAACATCTATCAGTATCACACAGCCCTATTCCAATGATCCTTGGCTCAGTGTTGCCACTGGATAGAAAGATAAAAACTTGGGAAGAAATAATTAGTACTGAGTAAGTCTCTCACCCAGTAATTACTGTAGTTGCTAATTCAGAAGGGAGATAGCCCCTTTTGCAAACTTATCCATGGCTTTCGAGCTCATTCCCAATTAAACTATAGACTTACGTAAATTAATCCAATTCCGTGGGGACTTTGGCTGAATGCAATCAGTTTAACAGATAGACACACCTACCCTTGTCTCCAACGTACTTTGTGATCACTAGCTTTTCTGTGTAGAGCGATCTACTCTACTCGTTGCCAGGGTTGTTAATCTGATTGCATTCAGCGAGTTTCAGTAGTTTCATTAGGAATGGGTCTTGAAAGACGTCTTTGACTTTGGCCAGCTGGGACAGCGTGCAAGGCTAATTTGTTGTCATTGTTGATCTTGTAAATGTGACATAAGTGAAAGATAGCAACATTTGGTTATGCCTACATACTGTACCAGTAGTACATGCTCCTTCTCTGTGTTAAATCTATAACCCTTTTGCACTGTACTTTGTCACAAAATCATGCCTTAATTCAGTTTAGTTTTTATACATGTTCTTTGCCTATTTCAGCCTGTAGTGTATTTAGTAGGGTTAACGGTTGCCATGCAAAAAGTGACAGCAGAAAGCTCACAGAATGAAGTTGACTCCATTGAAGGTATGATATATTTTATGTCACTTCTTACACATTGTTCCATATCTCTAGAAATGACCGATGCCATATTTTTTCCTAATAACTATTATATAATTTTCAAGGCATTTCACATGCTTATACATCATAAAAACAGCAAGTCGTAAATTGATTCATTTTTAAAATTTATTTTATTTTTTTAGAAGCTGACAAAAGGTCTAGTTGTTTAACACCAACCACAACATTTGAAGATGTTCCAAAGGTGTTCAGAGAACCCAATATCAACACTGGCTTTAGACAGCCCTACCAACCATGGTACTATTACCCTGCCAGCATATTTCAAGTCCATAATGAGTGCATGAATGTATGGACACACATCTTTGCTGTGATATTAATGACACACAAGTTGGTGTCTTTCTCTAAACAGCTGGACTTCATCAATGATCCCTATACATGGCCCATGCTTGCTGGAATCCTTTCCAGTATCATTTTGTATCTAGCTAGTAGTTTTGCTCACTGCTTTCAGTCCAAGTCAGAGATGTTCCATTATACTTGCTTTATGATAGATTATGCTGGGATAGGATTGTATGGATTTGGATCAGTAACAGTTCATTTTGCTTATTGTATGGAAGAACACCTGTATCAGATTTCATGGCTCAAGGACATGTTTGTTCCAGTGGGTGGATTCCTGGCTGTTGCAACCTGTGGATGTTGCACATATGCTAAATATCGCTATCAGCGTCCTTACCCAAGAGCTCGAAAAGTTTGGCAAGTTACTGGAGTGTGCTTCTTGTATATCTGGCTAATCATACCAGTTGTAGATCAAGTTTTTAACTGTTTTATCAATGGATTCAGATGTGACGATACAATCTCACCCCATACTAAACAACTTGCCTGGTTCTTGGCCTCAGGATTTTTTTACACATCTGATATACCTCAAAGATTTTGGCCAGGAAAATGTGATTTTATAGGTCACAGTCACCAGTTCTTTCATGTGTGTATCATGATGACCACGTTCTTTCAATTTGATGGTGTCATCAGAGATCTGCACAATGAGCGGGATGTATTTGAACAAAGACCTACTCCAACATTGTGGAATACTTTTGGACCAGTTGCACTGGTCTTGCTCCTGGAGATAGTCTTTATAATTATATTTAGGGAGAAGTGCAAGAAAAAACTAAAATCTAAAAATGAGTGATATTATTTGGTATATTCTTGCCTAAAAGCTGTGTCTTGTTAAGACATTACTACAGACAAAAAAATTCCAAACATATTTCTCCTACTACTTCTTCATGTAAGGATGAATAACTGCTATAAAAGACCCTTGATTTAGTAGTAAAAAGTAATGCTTAGTGCAGATTGTATCCTAGAAGGTTGTCAAAATCATCTAATCTTGCCTTGTTATTCGTGCCTAATGTTGTAAATGCAAGCTATCACTCATATTTTGATTTCATAACATTCCAAACAGGGAAAGAGAGACCACAATTTAATTCAAGAACCTGAATAGCATTCTTTGGTGTTATTTTTTGCCTCTTTTTCTGATTGTGACATTAAACCTAGATTGGCAAAAATGAACAGTAAGGCATGCTTTGCCAACTTCAAATATTTAATGGGAAAAGTTTCCCAATAAAGTAGACCAACAATGTAACAAGAGTTGTTTGATAATGAAGTGTTTTATTTTCGTGATGTGCTTATTTTCACTTAAATATCCAGTTTTTATCCAGGGCCTATCCCTTTTGCTGTATCCCCTTTATTCAGGATGCCATTGCCATTTAATTTATCACCATGTTGTTTTATAGTTTGGTTTGTTTGCTTGTTATACCTCCGTTTTTTTTGCTCAAATTTTATCCAGAGTATTTTGTATGCACAATTTTCATTATTTTGGGGGGGAGGGGGGAGGTTACGTTTTGTACGTTTTTTTTATTTTGAAAAATTGAAGTTGTTCTCGAATTTTGTTAATTTGAGTGAACCACAGCTGAATAAACCACGGAGTAAACCTCTCAAAAACGTGTTTCTTGTTGAAATTAACTTTATTTATAATTGTTGCAAGTTCTGACATGCATGAGAGGATTTCATTCAGATTCTGTACCTGAAATGAGTACTAACACCCTTTTCTCTTGTACATCCAAATATTTTATTCCCATCTTGTATAATTACAGTTTTTAGCAGAATTAACATATCACAATCCATAATGTTAATTCAAAATCTCCAGATCACCCTATGTTATTCACAACCATCTGTAACACCATCAATGCTATGTACACCTTTAAGCCCAGTGACTATTCACGTTTGGTTCACCAGAACAAAATGTGCTCAGATACCTAAGCAAAGGTAAAGCTAAATATTCCCCTTTTCTCTAAAATGTAATTCATTTTGTCGTGTATGCTAACAGGCTACTGGAGTAACATGAACAGAAAAACAACTAATTTTCTTGTTATCTTGATTAATACAAATTATATATTTACAATTATTATTTTTTTACTATGTACAATCTTCATGTGCCTAAGTACACCTGAAATGGTTCATACTGCTCCAGTGTGCATCAATTTCCCCCAAAATTTGCATCTTTCTGTTAACAAATAACACTTAATTGCACTAATGTATAGGTGTTGGTACACATCCAATCACTAAACAAATGTCAGATTACCTCTATTTGGATTTTACCAATTATCCCAGAATTCAATTGCATCACAAACATTCAAATAAATAGCAAACAACTGCATCACAAGACACACAAACTAAAACAAGATTTGCTTCATTTCTAGACAATACTCCAACACAGAGTATGGCAGCACATGAGCTAGAAAATTGAAAGATGAAAATTTTATTATTCACAAGAACATTTTCCCATGAATTAAGAAATAACAAAATAGGTAATGGTATATCATACGTGTTGGCTTTTCATAAAAAATATGTAATTGTTCATACATAGCATTTTTTGAAAAATACCACTGATGGATTTCCTGAACAAAGGAATCTGTTCATTTCTCAAAGAAAAAGAGATGCCTTGTATAATAAGTCCCATTGGCTGTTGGTCACTATATGGCTGTCATAGTTTAAGGTTGTACTCTTGAGCTAAGCTCTTTTATCTCAATGTCCAATGTGCTTCAGTGTACTGTAGGTACTGTACTAAAAGCAAACACGCTCCCAACTCTTAGTAAAAACTTCCTGACAAGTGCCCTCAGTTCACCCTTCAACTCGAACAGTAGCATGTCACAGATGTAAGGGTAGTACACCGATGCATGGCCTCGGAACTAGAAATATAGAGAAAGCAGTTTAACTTTTTGCTGCAAATTATACTCAAATTTACAAAAACAAAATCACAACAATAAATTTAAAGACAATTTTCTTATTGATCCTATCACTTTAGGAACGTTCATACAATAAGTAAAATAAAAATTTTAAAAAACTCCAATGCTCATTTGTTGACCAAAATGATCAGACCTGTTCTTCATTCATCTTCAGGGTCTTTGTGAGGATGAGGAGCAGCAGACTACTCCAAGTTTCTCTGTGGCTTTCTGACTGCAGGGACAGGAAATACTGCATGGCTTCTTTACACATGCTGCAATGAAAAATATATATATATATTTTTTTTACCAAGTATGCAGTTTCCATCAATATGTTAAGTGAATGGATTTTTGCTTCTAAAAATATTAAATATTTTAAAATCAGCAAAGTCATAATTCAACTGAATGCAAGACTAAGACTAACACTGTATATGGTTCTGATATCTTTCGATATAACAATAATTCAAATGATCTCAATCTGACATAGTTGAATATCCCTTTTTCCAAAAACTTAAAAAGTAAATTGTTTCACTTGTGAATCTTACTTAGTCAATCGCTCTTGTACTTTTGACCATGACTGTCTTCTGGCTTCATCAGTGTTCATTCTGAAAAGGATTCTTAGAGCACAAGCTAAACTCTGGGTTTCCTGTTTCAGTAAGTTGGGCTTTGCCTTTCCCTTGAAACCTATAATTGGAATAAATATTCTGTTAAAATATGGCAAAACTTTTAAATCAAAAATTATTCATGATCATTCACTCCAGAAAAATACAGTCAACATACCAAACTTAACAACAGATAAAAAACAGATCTGATCTAAAATTAATACTGACAGTACAGAATATGACCAAAAATTAATCCACACACTTACCAGCTTTCCACAGGATGTTCCTTTGTTCATGATCAGAGTTAAATTTTTTGGCAAAATTGTGTGACTCCATGAGACAGTCTAGGAGTAGGAAAAGCTGCTCAGTGCTGAGGAACTGGTACATGCCTTGGTCCTCATTCTGCATGGTCTGGTCACCTGTACTGGCAGCATGACCTTCAAGGTCAGCCTGGAAAATATGAGAGAATAAATCAGAACAAGGCTTTTAAATATTAACAAACTATGGTCCTGTAAGTCATGTCTGGAATATCTCAAGAGAACATTTCTTGACAAAAGTGAAATCTAAAAAAAAAAAAAAAAAAAAAAGGAATGGATTGGACAAGAAGTTTAAATGTTCCTGTAACAAAATGTATTTTTTTTTAGCCCTTATCGGTCTTAATTGTAAAAGTTGTTTAACCTTTATCAGTCTAATCTTTTTTACCTGTGCAGCAGCCAGGTTTTCAGCATCTTCCTTTCTGCTGGTAGTGGGGAAGAACACCACATTGTCTATAGTCTGTATCAACTCTAGCTGCACAACACACTTGATCAACAGGTAGGAAAACAACTTCTGTTCTGGGGCAACTACTTCTGAAACAAATCAATTGCTTACTCATCTTTGCTTTTGAGGTTTACTAATATATAAAATATAATAGGTTAGAGAGAACAGAAATGGAAGAGATGTAACATACAGCGTAATAAACATCCCATGGAAGATGAAATATGTAACTAAAATACAGTGTATTAAAATTGATTTAAGTCAAATTTAAGTTTTAGTGCCTGACCAAAGGTAAAAATCTGTTTTAGGGGGGAAAGGTGAAATAAACAAGTGCCTACTAGTCCTGGGTATTTTGTGATCCCTAGATTCTTGAGAAGTGGTGCTGTTGATACTGTGCATGCTGCCTTGACGTCTATGCTGCTGCCCTAATGGGCGTTCTATTGAAAGTGATTTGTCATCCTGCAATATAATGATTACAGCACATTAACACAACAAATACCTGACAAAATATATGAGCAACTTGATGGTTCAGCAATACTTCTTTATAAATATGTTCCAAGGTGCAGAAAAGCTGCATACAAATGCTCGCGTGTGCACACACACATACATTTTTCCTCATGGTGCATAGAGTAGCTCCTTGTGCTGTACATAAATAAATAAACAGAAAACACCCACATCAAATCCACTCACGTCCATAGTCTGGTCCAGGCTGATATCAGTTTCCTCCTTGATTGTTCCTGGACTGTCAGGTGCCTCTGGCCTCCAGGTGAGTAAACTGAAATACAAAACAGATTTTATCTTACTGACACTCATTACATATTTAGAAAATGTGTACATGTTTAACAAAGCTGGAAAAAGAGCAAATTCATTACAAAACATGAATTAATTTTAGCATATGCTGTAATGAAAAAGTTTAAGAACTGAACTACTACAATAAAAATATTCTGCCACAACCACCATTGGTTATGCAAATCATAATCCAAAAATACATTTTATGCATATCTTTCTAGTAAATTAGACAGCATTTGCCAAAAACCTTTCCCTTCTCTAAGGAGAGGCATCATTTCATCTGGTGAATTTACCACTGACTTAATTTACCTATGAGGAATGGTTGCCTTGAAGATCTTAAGCATACATTCACATGTGTTATCCCACACGGCTGGAGAGAACTTCATACCATTGGAAATGACCAAGTTTTCTAAACAGTTGGTGCCAGATCTGGCTAGCTGCTCGTTATCTGAAATAAATGAACACAAATTTTTTATTTATTTATTTTTTTTAAAGAAGTCAAATTTTCAGTCAGAAGATATTTCGGTCAGGTGTTAGATTATAGTATTATATATAAAAACAAGTTCATGTTTTCAGCAAATCATATTAAAAAGTTACCTATCACTTTCATGCCAAAATAAGAAAAATATTGACACAAGTGATTCACCTTGTATTTTTGATAATATGAATACATAGATACAACAATTTATATAAATCACAACTCAAGAACAATATGCAATGGTATTGAATTTGAAGCTTTTCATAATTCCGTCATTCTCATGTTTTGATGAAAGTGAACACTACAATTTCCCTCATGTCATTTTTTCTTTTTTGTCTTCCTTTTTTTCAATTTCAATCTATATTTACAGAATATACTGTAATAATGAAAACATTCTACTATTTAGAAAGCCAACAAAGCTATATTTACTATTCTCATATTGTTTCAATGACAAATAATTGTTAAATATTAATTAGTTATAACCAAATGCAGAAGACAACACTTAATATAATGATCAGGTAAGTCGCTGTTTGGAGACAGCCAGTGAAATTTTTAACATTTTTAAAGCTTTGGGAGATTGTCTTTCACACTGTGAAGCACCTGGATGTGAAGCATGGAAGAGATGGAGGCTAAAGCTGTACGGGTTTCAATTATATTCTCTTTCATTTTGAAAAGTATATATATTATTTAGAGCAATAATCACACTGATAACTACATACTTAAAATAAAACTTATACATGCCGCAACCCATATTTAGTCCAAAGCAGAAACAGTTTCTAGGTCATTCTGTTTGGCTCAAGTGGAACATGCATAACATAAACAGAAGTTTCTAATTTTTATAAAATATGAAATAAAGAAAAGCATTCTAAAAGCATCGTAAGATAATACAAATCATTTTCAACATTTTAAACACAGCAAAACAAGTTAGGAAAGGATTTTTGGGCACTACTTACTATTGTAACCTAACAGGACAGCAAAGAATGATAAAAAGGTGATTTATCATGTGAAAAAAAGGCACTACAAAATTGTAAGTTTCAAGACAAAAATCAGATGAAGATAAATGCAAAGTGTCTGGCCATATAAAAGACTAGACAGTGAAAAATCTTTGAATAATAGTTTAACATAGCAGTCAATCAATAAATTAAAAGAGATTTTTATAAGAATAACAAGTGCTCGTTTGTAACACTAGGCCCTCATACTTTTTTGTCATATGGTTTTCAGGCATAAAATGTCAACACCAACACAATTTTGAAATGAATCAAAGCAGCAAATTTATCTCACTTAGCCACTTGACTGGCGCATATATATAGCACACAGCTGGCCAAAATCAGAAACTTGAAATATGACAGACAGAGCCCAGTGTTTACAGCTTTTTTTTTTTAATTGATCTGTAACAACAAACCTCTTTGACTTACCTTGCTGGACACACCAGAACAGCTGCTGGTAGAGATCATCCAGCAGAATTCCTTGTAACATGTCATAGTACTGTGTGAAGACATCTATGATGGCATACAGGGCATGGTTACACGTAGTGGTCATCCATTCTGCTTTCTGAAAATAAACATTTTCTGTGCATTTCAAATTGTGGCCATTTTCATCAAATAAAAGCTGTATGTTCAAAACATTCAATTATTTGTTAAAATACTATATTAATAATCATCATAATCCCTTTTAATGACAAAACTTTTTGACAGGAGCAGTAAGACTTTTGCTTTACTTGTTAATCATTTCAAAAGGTTAGTCAAAAACTAATCAGGTAAAAGAATACACCCACCCAGTATTTTGTGCGTTTACAGAGTATATCTCACCTCACTGGCCTGTTCTGGCAGTTTCATGTTGTCAAATATTCTGAAGATGACCCTGAACAGGTCCCTCCACCAGTGCTCCTGGAAATCTTCTCCATATGTCTTCATGATCTCAAACATCACAGTCAACCCTCTGAAGAATCACAATGAAGTTAAAATTCTCAAAATCTTCTCGGAACTATGTCAATATCTATATTATCTTAAATGTAATGTAGGAAGATGGAAAGAATCAGAGTTACTACCTACCTGGTTCTTACATCCAGTTTGCACCTGTTGATGACACAAGACAGTTCAAACAGTATTGGAAACCAACCTCTGACCCACACACGGTCTTCTTCTGGAACATTGATCTCATCTCCACCATGTTCACAAAAACTCTGAAAGATCAACAATACCGCATGAACACTTTTATTAACCTGTCAGGTACAAGAAGTTTCATGACTTTACTAATTACCACCACTCAACAGATTAAATCACAAAAGATAAAAATATATATCAACAAAGCTGAACACATTGATAAAGAACTGCCAAACCTAACAATCTTAATGGATTACAATAAATAAATGCCATATTTAAAATGCATTACCTTAATATGTATCATCTTTTTATCCTTATAATATTAACTACTTAGGCATATCTAACCCTTTAAGATCCTGGTGCTATTTTTCTGAGTGTTTTTGAAACTCCTTATTAGCCTCTGCTGGGCTCTCTGTGGCACCTACCTGTGGCCTGTCTGCCACATATTTAGCACAGTTTCTGATAAGCCTGATGGCCTCCATGCTGGTGTCAGGGAATGCGGCATTGCAGGCAAATTCTGACAAACATTTCACAGCATCTTGGAATGAATCAATTGTGGCTGAGAAGTATTTCTCGAAGATGCTAGCTGGAAAGGGAATAAGCAAAAGAAAGAAATATTTGAATGGTCTTTGTATGGCTGTTTTTATCAGGTCATTCTAAGCAATCATGAGAATTCCAAAGCAGGAAAGATTATATTACGCTACAGCACACAAGCTCAGTGAAATTGAAATACCATTAATGCAATGCATCACCCACCACTCTGAGTGGTATCAATACTACATATTCATCACAGCCCTCAGTGTGCATTACAAACTCATCACAAAATTTGTCTTTAGCAGCTAATAATCAAACACTGTTTGTGACAAACAACTGAATGGAGTAGTTTTCCACACAGCTTTATATAAGAACATAAAGACTTTCCATTCTGAAAATTAAACCACCCTCTACTTCTCAAAAAATATCAAGAATATGGGGCTAACACACCCATACTTTGAAAAAGAAATCAAAATATTGCTCCTCTGGGATTGTCACAGGTTTTTCTTTGTAAAATCTTGCACCCTGGCACCCTTCATACAGTAACTTACAGATAATCTTTCCAGTGGTTTGGAAGGCAAGCTCCACTATGCCTTCATCAATGTCTGATGCTGCCAGATGGAAGACACTGAAGATATTTTTCCAGCCAGACTTAATGTTTCCTGCCTGAGAGTTGACCATCTGAGCAACACATCTGACCACCATGTCTTTTATAGTGGGAGACCTGTTGAATATAAAATAATGATTTTATTAAATTTCCTTTGCAGTAAGTCTCCTTCAAAGGGTTTTATTTTCAAACTTAACATTCGACTTACTTAAACTCCTTGTTCTAATTAGTGAAAACCTTATTTTGTGCAAATTTCTTTAAGAGTATGTCTTTAATGTTGCATCAAGACCTTTTATCAGTTGTCGTAAGACAAACATTTGGTTCTTTTATTTAGCTACAATCACTTACCTGTTCTTTTTCATAATGTGCTCAAAAGGTCTCAAGAAATCTTTTTGAAAGTGAAAGTTGGCAAATTCTCCTTTTTCCAAAAATTTCATAGAGAGTTGCCTAAGGGAGTCCACAGCAAAGAAGGCAATGTCTTCATTTGGATTGCAACCCACCTGGATTTATGAAAGAATTTTTTTAAAATAAGTTTTCAAATTTTAAAACATCCGCAAATAGTTACAAACATGATAAAACACAGACAAATGTATGATTTGCAAATATAGGGATTACAGCAAAAGCCTTCCAACAAATTGTCATAATAATAATAACAAATCTTCACAGCTTCCTCGGCATAATCATAAAAGCCACACAATTCATAAAAAATTTAAACATCTATGGACCCCACAGATTTGGCTCAACAGACACCAAGGTGCTGGATGGCGAAAGAAGATTACATCATGTATAAAATCAAGTCATTACCTTGTTAAAATGGTCTCCTATGACTTGCCATATTCTGGACCACTGCAGCCTAATACGACCCATGTTGTAGTAGGAGATCTCCACTATCTTCTGCAGGCTGTACATCCTGGGGTGACCATGATGAGACAGCTCCTCCATGGACACCTGACACAGGGCACGCACAAACTCCACTGAAAAATTAGATGATTATTTTTTAGATACATGCTAAGACTACAACTCACTATCAAAATCCCAAACTTACTTAATGTCCTACTCTTGAAGATGGCAATAACCAGATGCAAATTCTTCAGTTTTAGCGACAAGTCAAGCACATACAACTTGCACTCTCTTATGCTTCTCTGCCATTTTATCCAGACTATACAAATAATTTCCAAAATCCCCAGCTATTTGATTTTGAAACCAATAGTTCTACTATGGTATGAACAGAAGAGATATTGTTAATTCACACAAGTGCTTTGTTTTCGATGTAAGCAATACTGAAGTATATAAGATAATGATTCCTTATTTATATCAACTTGCTCATTATCAGCATTTTATACTCTGTATTAACATGCTTATATAAACTGCATTTACCAATTGCATCTCCATCCAACTTGACCGAACCAGTAAATATTCTGTCAACAGCCACAACAACACTCTGAGAGCTGGTTTCTCCCATCGACTCCTGAATCTTATCCATTCTTTTCTGGTCTATACCTTGCCTTACTATTGCTAAAATAAAACAATGCTCAAGAATGTTATTGTCTAGAAAAGCAACATATTAAAGCAGAGAGCACATGGTATATATGATATCAAGCTATGTCAGAGAACTGTCATGTTAATGCATTATAATTTTACTTATTTATCAATTTCCTTCTTTTTCTGTTTTTTGTATTATTTATTAATTTTTTTATAAATGGTAAAAAAATTAATCACACTAAAATAAACTTCAAGTGGGTTACTCATCATTTTAGCTGTATAAATTCAAGAAACATTATTCCACTTGACAATAAATCATTAACTGGTAAAGATGGTCCAGTGCTGGGATCATACGAGTATTCTTACCATCAGGATCAAAGGCGTCAACTGGTGTGAGGTTGTGTCCCCTCTCTCCTGCAGCACCTATAAATTTTGTTTTCACACCAGTGCCTATTAGCTGGGCTAACTCCAATTGGGAGATACATTTAAGGATCTAAAAATAAATTCAAAATAGAAAATGTTAGTGTGAATTGTATGTAACCAAGAACCATCAATCTCATCTTACTCTTTGATCTTTTTAGAAGAGACATTGTTGAGACATTGATGATCCAACCTTTTTTACTTGTAAATCAGAGCTCAGTGAAATTGAAATACCAGTTATGCATTATATCAGCTACCACTGTGATTGTGGTATCACTTTTTTCATCATCATTGCCCTCTGTAAGAATCTTAAGTTAATGGAAGAAGAGATTAACTATGTAACACTTATTAAATAGAATACAAGCATGGCATATTTTTTGCTAATATCAGGTATCCACCAGCTTTTAACAACACCACATGGATGAGATTCACTAAGAAAAGCTGAAACAGAGACTATTTGTCAGGTTAAGAGGGGAGATTTAAAGGTTTATTCTCTTCCATCATCTCTTACCTCCAACCAAGATTTTCCCAGATAGTTTCCATCTGTGTGTGCCACTGAGATTAGTGTCTTGATGGTGTCTATGTTCTTGGCTTTCATCTCAGATATGGAGGTGGCAGTTAATAGAGTGAACCTGGACAATGCCTGGACATAAGCATCACGCTCTAGCTGGAAGGTCAAACAACATATGATATTCTAATTGTTGGCTATCATTTTTGAGACAGTGTCTTTTTTTTTTCAAATTTAAAGTCAACTTGTCTAATGTAAAATGGGTGTGTACAAAAACAATTTTATTATTCCATTTTTTGAAACTCAATCCTTTAAATGGCTGCCTAAATGCATGATCAACTTCACTTCCAAAAAACCAAATCACAACAGAATTCCAAAATGTTTTCTGCAGTTAAATATTATATGATTTCATTTAAGTGACTATAGGTGACTACATCTTATCCAATGGTTAGTTTCTGTCCTTTCAGGTCTTGTTCGACAATTTATAATGCAAAGAACTTATGGAATACAAATGGATCACTGCATATCTTCAAAACATATTCAACTGTTCTTGTATAAACTTACCTCCATGTGAAATATACAAGCTATTCTTATGGCACAGCGGATACCTTCCAGACAGAGGAAGGCGATCTCTTGGTCATCACAGTCTTGTAAACCCACACTGAAGGCAGCCAGGAATGGCGTCCAAGCAAGCTGAAATGTGTGGAATGTACCCATTAGCATCTATCTTTATTATTAGAGAGAAAGAGATCTACAAGTTAGCTTTGACATTATTTGAAAGGTTGTCATTTTAGACACACAACATATTTGGAGGAAACTTGGAAAATTAAAGAGTTTATATGGTCACAACATCTTATCTGCAGTTTTATACATCGAATACCTTACAGTGAAATTAACCTGGGGCAAAATGTGAACAAATTCGCATTAACTTTATTATAAGATATTGTAGCTAGAGCTCAGTGAAATTGAAATACCAGTTATATTAATCATCAGCTACTACAGTAAGTAGTATCACTGATTGAAAATCATCACAGCTCTCTTAAACTAAAGAAAAAATAACTTAATTGTTATCATAAACTTAACCACATATAGCACCACCAGTACCTAGTGTACATATATAATGAGGTTACCTTAAACATGGGCCTCACATGTTCCACATGCTGAGCCATAGTAAAACTTGCTTGAACGTGGCTGACACTTTCCATCAGAGCTTTAGCTGCAGAGGCCATGTGCTCCATCTCCATATTGTATAACAACTTTCTTCTCTTCTCGTTTGCCAAATCTTGAAAACAATTGGGAAATTTCTCAAATTTGCAAGCAAGTACATGTATATTTTATGTTTCAATGGAGAACAAAAATGCAAACCGTTCACCATCTTTACAAACTTAATTCAGAAATTATTTAATAAAAAAAGGAAAGAAACTTCCTTTTCTTATTTTCCTATCCTTTATTTATGTATTGCCAATATTCACATACCTACAGTAGATGCTGAACTCTTTCCTGGTTTGTTTTTCATTTTGATTTCATTGCCAGCAATCTCATCATAAATAGTGGTCAAAAATTCTTCAGGCAAATCTTTGCTGTCGTTTATGCCTCTGTTCATCCTAATGTACTGCTCCTTTGTCATCTTACTCTTAACCTGTGAATAGCAAACAAACCCACTAAGTCACTGCAAAAATTTGTAGTCAAATTGACTACTGAGAAAATATGCTAAATTCTAGATAAATTATATGCCATCAATTCTTAAAAGTTTCTTCTGAGATATCACAAAACTATCCAGAAAGCTAAGCCAGATTAGAACTATGGCAAGAAGTTTCAAATTAAATCGCAGCAGATACACCATAACTGACAAAAAAACATTTTTATTTGCAAAATTAATGAGTTTTTTCAAATGTCATGCCTGCCATACATAAAGAGAATAGCTTGAATTTTACAAAAGCATGGTTTGTAGAAATTACTAATCACACTGAACAACAATATCTGTATTAACCAGTCCTATGCATACCTGTGAACTGTGCAAATCGGTAGTGAGCATAATAACAGAATACGCCAAAACATAGGCAGTGTCAGCACTGGCAAATACAGAGTCACTGGAAGAAAAAATCAATGCAAATTAACTATTGCCAAGTTCAGTCTAATTAAATCAGACATTACTAGGTTTGCTTCATTAATAGCATATCTATTTTTATAAAATATATCAAACTATACATTTTTAAATGAAGTTATTTAAGCTTGGGACTATGTAAATTGGTGGTTATATGATCACAAAAAGAAACCCCTAAACACACAACATTGCAACTTACTTGGGGTTACATTCACAGTATCTGGCAGCAAATTTCTCCATCAGTCTGTCAATCTTCTGTGCCTCTCCTGGAAGCCTGAAACCTGCCAGAAACTTCCTCAGAGCAGGTACAAACTGCATGCCTTGAAAGTCCATCAGGTCCACATAGGCGTACATCACCTCTTTGTGACATCTGCAGTCAAATGAACATGCCATTACTGGTAGCTTAGCCATTGACAGTTGCAGAGTTTGAACTTTTTAAACAGCATGTAATTGGAATATATACCAATTTGTATCTATCTTAGCCACTTATCAAATATATTTGATTTCCATTAAAATATTGAACACAACATTTCCAAAATTCATCTTTACTTACTTTTCATTTTCTCCCATGAAATCTCCAATAGCAGTCTAAAATAAAACAAAGAGAATAAAAGAATAAACTCAATTACATAAGTTTCAAATAACATTTATTTTTAAAATTTTCTGAAGTTTTCTGAAATTAAATGTTTTTAAAAGTACATTTATTGGAGTCTTTGGCTCTACTGGAAAAAACACACGGTGGATTTATATTTTAGGCTTACTTTGTCTAATCTTTCATCTGTTGCAAAGAATTCAGCCACATCAGATGCTGACTTTCCAAGTAATCCCTGTTCTTGTAAATATGCAATGCCTTTGGCTGGTTTTTTGTTAAACCTGGAGACCAAACAAAATGAAAACAAAGCTGTGGATTGCTTCTAATATATAATGGTCAATGTCAAATCTAAATACAATCAAATTGTTTCTTAATTTCTTAATCTAATTTAAGCTGTGAGCAAAAGCAGTATATGCATATGCCAGTAAGTGCAAATTTCCAGTGTTACTCCATTTAATTGCCTAGAACAGGTCTTCAATCTTCAAAAATACAATCAAAAAATGTACCATTCACAAAATAAGAGCATCCCAGTGATTACTCACAGTTCAATTCCATGCTCCCACAGCTCTTTCTGTTGCTTCATCACCTCAAACTGCTCTGGGTTGTCCAGAGCTGTGGTGCTGAGGTGGAGACCAGAGTTACTGGAGGCCAGGGAGTTAGTGCTGTCATAACTTGTCATAGTACCCTTACCAGAGTCATTGTCACTCTCACCACTGGGTTTGTTCTCTTGTGCTGGAAGCAGTGATACTATCCATAGCATGTGGTGTGTAATTTTCACCACTGCTTTTGTTTTCTACCATTTTTTGTAGAAGTATCAGGTGTTATCCCAAACTAATTTAACATGATTCCCTTTTAGGAGATAAATGCCCACTCCTTTTCATAATCATGACAAAGATGGGAAATATTGTATTTATAACCTCTAATTCATCAAACCATGCACTTTATTATTTGGATGGTTTTAGTCTACTATCCCCAAGGCTTAAAGTTACCTCTGATCCAAATACAGTTTACAACAGCCGACTTCATATGAAGTATTTCTTATACCATAGGCTGTATATGCAATTCCATTACTTATTCAAGTTTGACTGGGAATGTGAGTTTGCATACACGACTTCAACTATTGTTATTACTTACTTAAGTTGGACTGGGAATGTGGGTTGACATACAGGTCTTTACTCCACTCCACCATACATTTCTGTATAGACACCAAGCACTCCAAGCCTTTTATCCTCATACTCTTCTCCTGGTTGGGAGTAGCACCTGCAACACAAATGACATTATATATGATAATATTCATAAATTTCATTTGATGTTGCCCATGAAATTTTTTCACAGCTTTATTTCTGAGTACATAAATCTAAAATAGAAATACAGACAAATTTTAGAGATAACCATATTTAAGCAACAGTTCAAATTTTAATATTTATTTCAAAAAGTTTGAGTGAGATATTTCTCTAATATACTAACCTAATTCTAGAGCATGCCTGCCAACAGCAATCTTGGACAAATCATTGGTCAGTCTGTCAAAAATGTTGGCAGCAGCCAAATCACAGTCATAGTTCACATAGATATCAACAACACACTGAGCATCTGGAAATAAAAGAGAAAAACCTTTTTTTTTAATTGAAAGAAACAATTTAATGCCACATTAATTATTTTTATTAAGTTGAGAAAAAGTGAAGATTCCCCTGCCTTATTTCATATCATTAAATCCTGTTTTACTTTCTAGAGATTATTATGATATAGATGATATTTTCACCTTGAAATGTCATCCTAGGCAACTTTAAGCTTATGATTTTATTGCACACGCACACACACACACACAAACTCACACGCCTCCAAGGAATCAATGCACGAGAGAATACCAGACATTTGTTTTTAGTGTTATCAACAGTCAGAGGACAATGTGACAAGGGAATAATGATGTCATATTCAAAAACCCTGATCTGCTACTTTTCATATTTTAATTGCAATAACATACAGATATGTATTAAACTCTGAAATTATTGACACCTTACCTGCACATATCCTGGTAAGAGCCTGGATCACCATCCACTTGTGCTCAAATGAGCTGCTTGGTGTTTCAAGAATATATAAAAATATTTCCTTGAAGAAAACCTAAGGAAAGAAGAGAAGGGATTATATGGATACTTGAACAAATTTCAAGGTGAGGTTTGATGAAATTGTTTTTATTCATCAGGCAAAAGTGGAACCTTATTTCTTAATTATTGATTGCTTATATTTCTGCAATCAGATTTACTTTATCATGATAATGTCTCTTTCTTTAAATCCAACATAAATTGAACAAGCTAGTCACAGAGATGATTCCCTTTGGTTTAACTAAATACTCAGGTAGCATACTTAATTTACATATTTTCTTACCTCAATCTGCATCTTCAAATGTTGCTTAAAATTGGACAGAAGTGTCAGGAAAATGGACAATGACAGTTCAAAGACTTCTGGCACAGAAGACACCCCATTCTTGGACAGAGCCACACACAGATACTGTTTAATTGCATTGCTGAAGACTTCATTGGTTCTGAAGACTGGCCCAGCATTCTGCAGGATTGACAGAAGAAGCTGCAGGGACAAAATCTTGGACCTCAGTTCATGGGACCTAGAGGTAAAAACAACACATAAGCTAACATAATCTAATTCTCTGGTTGTTAGACTTCAACAAAGCAGACCTGGTCTACAGCAAGTTTTGTAGACATGTCACAATATAATTCCATGCCTTTAAATATTGTTCACCTTCCCATCAAAAAGTGTTCAGTTTCACATCAACTAAAGAACTCCTGCATATCAAGACAAAAAGAACTTGAGCATTAAAATGCACACTTTGATTACATAACAAAACATTTACAACACTGACATTAGTCATACGTTAGTAACTGAGAATAGAGCCTCTTTCCCAAAAGTCCAGGGGAATCGACCTACTTGGGATCAGGTGGTCCATCTGATAAGGGTTTCATGGAAAGTTTGCACAAACTCCTAAATACAAGGAATGCATCCTTTTGCAGGATATGGGAGAAAGCACCACCTGGGGGTTCATGTGGTTCTGTTTCATCAGAATGAGAACCTGGAATGCATACAGTTTCAAAACACATACAAATACATTTTGAAATTTTATAACCTAAAAAAAAGTTTGAAGATAATTGAGCTGCTTTAAAATTGAATATGCATCACGTCTTAGAATACTGTTCAACACACCACAAAAGATAACACCATCATGTTGTATACAGGTTATAGTGCTTAACAGTGCAGACTGACTTGAAAATTAGCATTATGGCCCCAATAATTGCAACATGCAATAACAGAATAGTTGCTGCACTAGCTTAAGAACAAAATGACTGTGCATAAATGTCAGTTTGATCAAATACTTAATAGCTACCAAAAACTGAATAAAAAATTATGCTTTTTTTTTATAAAATGACTGTGTACAATAACATACCTGTTGGAGTTGTAGCTGGTTTGTCAGGTTGGACAGGACTTTGTCCAACACCATTTTCCACTGGCTTAGGTGTTGGTTTTTCATTACCCAGTTTTGCTAAGAAACAAAAGGCTAGGTTATTAGAAGTAATTTGTTTGCAGCATATACCATTCTTATTATAGACCTTTAATACCTATCAATCCTTGATACAGGTTTTAAGCATATCATTTTAAACTTTGATATAGGCCCTTAATATATCCTTTTATCCCTGATACAGGCATTTAACTTACCCTTTTTGTAGTTAACAATTTATAGTAGATTTGTAAGGACCTAACAGGTGTTAAGTGATATTTAATGAAATGAGACAGAAAAGAGGTAACTGTTTTTAGTATTTTCAATTAAATCAAAAACAACCATAACTCCTGACCAAATAGTTATTATGATGTCAATAAGTCAACTCACCCACAACTTGATTAACAACCTCCTCTAGAATGGTTTTAGCAATTTCATCTGGGGTTGCCTCGGTTTCCTGTTCAGCTTCAGTGGATGGTGCTGATACCACTTCCTCCCTTGGTGTAGATGTTCCATCTTCCCTAGGAGTTGATCCACCATCTTGTGGTGTTGAACTGCCATTTTCAGGTTGTGTCGAGTCGGTATCATCTCTTGGTGTTGACAATCCCTGAAATACACCATTATGTCTGTTTTTATCGCAGTAATAAACATTAGGCTAACAAACATTTTTTAAAGTAAAGGAGATAAGACTCATAGCCCTGTTACGTTATAAATGGTTGGAAAATATCTACACAAGCCAGAAAAACTTTGGTAAAATGTTCTATTCAGAAACCTGAAGAGACAGGCATGAATCCTAGAGGTAAACAAGGATGTAAATTGAAGGCTGCTTTACCTCACTATCTTCTCCTTGTTGACCTGAAACAGCACTGGGTGGCCTTTCCTCTTCTTCTCTTTGGCACACTTCTTCCTCCTTTGGTCTGGCACTCTGACCTTCTTTCTCCTGCTGCTCATCTGCCTATACAGCATAGAGATAAATGATAAATAATCCATGAAAACATTTACTGCCAATGAATGTTCTATAAACAGAGAAAAATTCCTACATCACTACTTATTAAATGCCTATTTTTCCAATTTTACAAGGCATTTTTTAAAGGATTCATCCAAGGTTCAGCCACTAGAGATAAAATGCATTAATAAAAAATCATCAAGATTGTTATTCTCTATAACATTTTAACCAGTAAGGTATACAATTCTTTTCACTTACAGCCTGGTTTTCCATTCGTGAGAAGATGACATTGAGCATTTGTGTGAGAGTGGCCTTGGCAGTGGTTTGATTGATTAAATTCTTGCTTGCTAGGAAAATATTGTAGCATGTCCGCACTGTTTGCAGGACTGTGCCTTCATGGATTTCACATGTACTGGAAGTGACTATGGTTAGAAGAGCCTGAAATATATCATTCAAGTTATCATAATACAGACATGTTTACATAACTGAAGTGAAAATTATATAAATATGTTAACCTTAATTACTGAGATCACTAATTAAAATCAAATGCTTCATCGAGTTCTCCAAAGACCATTTTCATAAAGAAATTCAGATCTCACAACCTTGCTATATATCAAAGGTACAAATAAACATTTTGAATATATATATACTGCTTAAGTTGAAATAATTCAATTCAGGTATACCATACACAAAATTATTTAGCATTTTTTTCTGTAAAAGCATCACAACTTTACCCCATAAAATGCAAATCAAGCCAAAGTAACTGTCATGTATTTGATAATGAATATACCTTGATAATTTGCAGTTGCACCCCTTCATCAGTCTGTGGTCCATTAAAGCAACTACAGATGGTTTCTACAATCCTATCAATCAGCCTCTTGCCTGGGGTAGTGCTGTCTGGGGCATTCCCAACTAAGTGGCCATAAGCTATTAATTTCTGAAAGAGTGCAATTTAATGATTAATTTTACAAGATCAAGGAACAGGTAAAAATAAGGTGGACACATGTTAATGAACACTTTAACATTTATCTATGTCAAAATAAATGTATCAGTTTTTGGGACAGTGATAAAAGAAACCCCCTTAAGCATGTAACTCACATGTATATAAGTGAGTTTTCTTCATGTTACAGGGTTGAAAAAAAAAAGGATGCAACATTAAGATGAAAATTCACAAGGTCAATCATGTATCAAAATTTAAAAAACATCAACATAATAATTAATTGTCCACTTTGTTCGCAAAGATGTTTCCTCCATCAGAATGAAGTAGTTTCGTGTACATATCAGACTATGTAAAGCTTTCAATGGGAAAGATGGTTAGAATTAAAAATTTCACATAGACTGCCTCCACATCATGAGTTCCAACTAAGAACACAAACTTCGCAAGACCACAAGAAAACATAGAGTACTCTTAGAAGCTTCAGGAATTTCAACTTCATGTTATAATCCCTCTACACCGAATGTCACCAAACAGTTTATTTCTCAGAACACAGACAAAAAATAGCCTGGTTGACAATAAGCTTTACCAGAAACTGCACTTGCATACAATTAATCAACGGATCAATATGATCATAAGACACAGTGATGAAAGTGGTGTGCTGAACATAATGATATTGATTTTCTCACTACATCTAAGAGAGTAGTCTAAACAAGACTGCATCAAATATACAATTTCCTGCAACATTTGATCCTTTATTGAAAGTACCTGACAGCAAAATGTAGTTGCTTATCCACATAATGACTTCTTATTGCAAATTGTACTGTCACTTTCATACACAGTCACTGTACATAGTNCTTTTTTTCAGGAAATATTGCAGTCTCAGATATTGTTCATATAAAAGTTCAAACACACCAAATATGGTGTAAATCCGTTCACCCCCGCCTTGCCGCATTTTCTACATTTGGTCTGGTTTTCTCGTGGACACACACTTAAATATTGAAATAGATAATACCAACCAATCACAGACTAATCACCTTGATGAAAAAAAGCTAGTCCATAAAAACTTTGCTGCCAACAGAATCATTAAATGCTACATTCATTATTAAGCCAGGAAAAATGTAAATAATAATTATTTATATAAATAAGGCATGCCAGTTTGGCTGATCCTTTTGAATAAGAAATGTAGAAAAAGTAGCACTTGAACATGTCATTGGGAAATTATAAAACTCATAAATAATAGAGACTAAAAGTTAACATTTAAATTACAAACAAGAGTACTTGTATAACTGAGACACATGTTAATACCACAATTACATTAAAACAATTTCAAGAAAGGAGGGCAACATACAATTATAAAATATTTTCAGACTACTTTTTAGTCAAAATAAGTCATTGCTGCAAAGTCCCATGTTATTTAAACAAAACTTACTTGTAAACAGTCTAATGCAGTATTTACTATCCTTGAACATTTTGACTGGCACGCTAGTTCAAATGGTAAAAAGTACTTGTCAGCTTCAACAAAACCAGCATTAGATTTTGGTAATGGTAATGCTGCAGATGTCCCTCCTTGTGTTTGACTGGAATTTTGTGATATAATGTTATATAAAGGCTATAATTTCCATTTATAAATGTTTAAGGATTGGCTATTCACAATTGGGAAATGTTTCAAAACATTCTTTTAAACAATATCCTAGTTACTGGTAACATTTTTTAAATATAAATTAAAACTAATAAATCATATTTAACACAGTTGTTATGTTAAAAGCTATATCAATCACAAACAAATATTTTAAGCACAAGTACTAACCTCTGATTATTCAACTCAGCCTTTATTTCATCTAAAAGAAGAAAACAAAGTAAAAATATCAAATATATACCTTTCTATCCTTCCTTTTTATCCATTTATAAATAACATAAATGAATTTTAAAAAATTAAGAAATAAACACATCAAACAAATATTTTACTGTTAATTTCTACATAATTATAAATAATGCAGTAGGTAAAGATGATAACATATTTTTCATTTTTATCAACAAAGTTATCTTTGTCATTTCCTGTATCATATCTGTTGCATATAATGTTTGAATATATGCAATTATACTTAAACCTAAGGAGAAACAGTATTTCAGATGCTTAATTAGATCTTGTGCAGGTGATGTCAGCTTCCTCCAGTAATGCTACTTTCAGGTGCTGCGGATTTTTATTCGTCAATGAATGAATAGGGAAATGAGCTTCAGAAACATCTCCAATTATTGACCAATGAAGACTGCCACAGCATTTAAAATGTCAATAAGCATCCTCAAGGCGTAAGCCTTTGCATAGCCACACGATGCTTTTATCACCATTATGACTGCACAGGAAGAATATTGAAGTTCACTCTTATGCTGTATTAAACTACGTCACTTTTGTGAAGGAAGAAGTTATTAGTTTAGTTATGATACCATTACAAAATAATCTATTTATCACTTTAGCAATGAAATGTAGGAACTGTATATAGATACCTGTATGTAAAGCACTGCATAACAACAGACTCATATACCTCACTCTTGTTGAGAAGAAAATCAGGTTCATTTACTTTCAGCTGACTACAAAATAACTTTGTTAGGTGAACTGCCACTTAACCAGTCAAATTGCATCCTTAAGTTTCTCCCATTCTATTCAAATTCAGTCTAGGTGCTCTGAATACACTGATGTCAATGTTATGTGGTAAGAAACAATGACTTGTATTGAATATTCAATTTGGTCTTGCTGTTGCTGTTTAACTATAAAATAACCATCTGTTATGATTATTTACTTGAGGTGAAAATGTCAAAAACAAAATAAGTCTTTTAATTAATCTATCAAAATAGCAGAGCCACTGATCAAAGTCCCCAGAGAAAAACACTGAAAATCAAAGGGGGCATAATGCATAAATTAAAGTAATTGCAAGTTTAGCAGGAAAGTATCATAAAATGGATTTCCTGGGGTAAACAACAATTTTCCCATACTTTCCAATGGTTAATCAATCTGTTGCGACCTTCAAAGCAAGTCAATTGTTTTTTTTTACTTTTTTTCTGTGTTTCTCTTGATATAGCTGTATGGTCTCTATAAGATCCCCTGAGAGATTATTAGAGAAGCTAGTTGATTATTTTTTTTTCTTCTTCTTAAGTGTATTTTTTTGTAATAAGAGACTTTTACAGAAGGTAGCCATCTTTGAAGGTCCACATGGTCATATGGCAAGCACAGATTCCAGAATAACTGCCATAACCACCATTTTGGTGGTAAAATGGAATTTGTATTTCTTAGTGTTGTTTTCAATGTATTTTTTGTTGAATTTTGAACCTCATGTGTAGTTTTTATCCCTTTAAGTACATTAAAATAGTACTATTTCATTTAAGACTCATCAGCAAAATGCACACTGGATAAAACCAGTTACTGTAAACGCGATGATAAATCTAGTCCATTACAGCTCTGTGATGACATCGGGCAAGACGGATGATTGAGCAGTGGCAGTGACACCGCTATGCTAGCGAAGTAGGAGTGACCAACTCAATTCTACTTACCAAGTGCAACAACACAAGCTTTCTTCAATTGAGAATGGTATGGCTTCTTGATCTCTTTGTCCGCGAGTATTTTCTCGAGGGCTCGAGTTAAAAACATATCCTTAGCTTGTCGTTTTTCGGTCATATTGTTTGCACCCGGTTAGAAAAGGATGCGTGTCCATCGGCCATATTTTTTCAAGATCACGTGACTCTCCATGTCAGAAGTGCAGGTGGCCACAAAACGTCACAAAACACCATAAAATAGACGCTTTTTACAAAAAATAAACTTTTATTAGAACGTTAAAAGACTACTTGATAATAATCAAACACTTCATTTTGACAACATAAACCTTCGTATTCTGCACCTTCACATTAACAAGGGTTGTCTTGTAAATAGCGCCGCCTCGAGCAAACTTACAGAAGTCATCATGGCTTCTCGATCTCAGTCAAATACTGCCATGAAAACATGGGAATTGAGTAACAATGTGGAAAGCGTTGCATCGGTAGATGACATTTACAGATATGACAAAAGGCAGCAACAAGACATTCTTGCTGCCAAACCTTGGGAGAAAGAGTAAGTTGGACTCTTTAACTGCCCGTCAATGTCACATCTAACAATGTAAAATGTCACTAATTAATTTAAATCATAAATGAGTATTTTTGCTATTGCCATTTTTTAAAACTCGCTAGATGAGGTTTAGGCTGTTTTTCTTTCCAGATGCAATATTGCTGTTATCTATTGATAACGTACTTTCGAATGATAAAATTGCAGTGGACTTTTGACAATCAAGAAGATGACCTGTCATTTGATAATTTTCACACGATTCTTGTAAATATTATAGCTTGATGCCGAAAATTTATAAAATTGATAAATAAACCCTTCCTTTGTATGTTTACTATTGCTTTCCAGTCCCCACTATTTTAAGTCCATCAAAATCTCAGCCCTGGCCTTGCTAAAGATGGTGATGCATGCCAGATCTGGTGGTAACCTGGAAGTGATGGGCCTGCTATTGGGCAAGGTTGATGGCAACACCATGATTGTCATGGATAGTTTTGCCCTGCCAGTGGAGGGCACAGAAACCAGAGTGAATGCTCAGGCACAGGCATATGAATACATGGCAGCTTATACTGAATCTGCTAAGCAGGTATAGCATAAGATTGATTTATTTCTAGATGAGACAATGTTTTAATGGACAGAGATTTGGTGTCTGGACATATTGTTATTGCCTGCATCTGCTGTCACCATTTGTGTCACTGTGTACTTCCTTCGATTTTTATGTACAGACACAGATGTGTCTGTACATATAGCCGTCACCTGCGTTTGTCGTCGCCGTTGCCGTTGCCGTTTACCGTAAACACGATAAGTGGAAAACGGTTTTACGTTTTGACTTGAAACTTACAGAACTGATGAATATTCATAATATTCAGGTCAAGTTCGAAAATCAGCATGATCAGGCCATTTTTAGGGAATTTATGCTGTTTTTTCACTTTTTTCAGCATATATGCAACACCGTAAACNCTTATTAACACATTGAAAGGGAAAAAGTACAATAAATTGTTCTCAACATTACAGGATTCTATGATCCATCAAACTTACATTTTGCTCATTACTCTGCTTTAGGTAGGTCGACTGGAAAATGCTATAGGCTGGTATCACAGTCACCCTGGCTATGGATGCTGGCTCTCTGGTATTGATGTTAGCACACAGATGTTGAACCAGCAATTTCAAGAACCATTTGTGGCTATTGTGGTGGATCCAGTGAGAACTATTTCTGCAGGAAAAGTTAATCTTGGTGCTTTTAGAACATACCCAAAGGTATTATCTTATTTATCATCAGCACATGTGAACTGTGTTATATTTTTTAATGTCTACCAAATTTTTTCATCATTTGACGATGTTATTTTTTCCTTAAAGGACATTGCTCAGTTACATTTCATAATTGACTGTTTTTATCAACAGACACTGTAAGTGTCTTAATATATTCTAATTAGTCTGTCTGTCTACGTTGTCGCTGTCGCCGTCACTGTCTGACATGATGTTTGCCTCATAACTGACAAACCATATTGTTGTTTTGCTTTAAATTTACTGAGTGGCTTTGTTTGGTAAAGAGGCAGGTTGCTTTCGAAAATTGGCATGACTGGTTTACATTTATGGTTATTAGTATTTTTTCTTTTGTGAAATTTTCATTTTTTTTACACATTAGCATTTTCAGTGCCTTTTATATCCCATGGAACTGAATAACTTGCTATTTTTTCAATGTCCATGTTACCTGTAGTACATAATGTAAGAGAGTAAAAGTGATTATGCTTTATTTTCAAGTATTATGTAACAACACATCAAAATTGGCCAAAACATTATTTTGTGCACTTTTGTCTGCATGTCTGAACATTTGACAGCTTTGCTGCCTTGTTTCCTATATGGTGTCTAAATATTTGACAGCTTTGCTGTCTAGTTAAACCAGAAATGATAACTTTTTACTGTAAATGAAAGACATCACATCCATCATATTATTGCACATCCAACATATATTAAATAACAGCTAGGTACTGATGTTCATTATAACCCTAAAAATAATTTGTACTGGTGGTGTTAAAATTGTGAAACGTTTGTTTTAGGGTTACAAACCCCCAGATGAAGGCCCATCAGAATATCAGTCTATTCCACTGAACAAGATTGAAGATTTTGGGGTTCACTGCAAACAGTAAGATAATTCAGTCTATTTTAGTACTTTGGACATGAAATATTTTTAATCGGATTGCCATGTTTTGTGAAATTTGATGCAATCAGCAAAACTTTTTGGCTTAATTTAAATGCAGGTGAGGAAGTTCCCCCCTGAACAAATCCAAGTACTTTACATATACTTGTTGAAAATTAATTACCTTCAGTTGCAATTATCTACCCACTAAAGACTTAATGGTAATTCTCATGTGCACCCTTCCATATTAAAAGCACTATTGATAATTGTCTTGTTTTCTTTTCAGGTACTATTCTCTAGATGTGTCCTACTTTAAGTCTGGCCTTGACAGGAGAATGCTAGAATCTCTCTGGAATAAGTACTGGGTCAACACCCTTAGTTCATCTAGTTTGCTTACTGTAAGTTAATAAGACATCCTTAGAGTGATTAAATTTTAAAACTTGGAAATATTTCAACAATTTCTTTAAATTATGCTTAGGAGATAGCACATTTGAATCTCTACTGTTGGAGGAGTTTAATGGTATGTCCAGAAACATTTGAAAAGGTTGGCATCCATAACTCTCATTATATAATAAAATCTCTAGAAAATAATAACTTGAAGTTCAGTTCGTATTTTTTTCATTATTTTTAATTTTTAGTGCTTACAGCTGTATTCAGTCACTGCAGCTTAAAAAATATGTATTTGATCTTCCCTATTCAGAATGCAGACTACACAACAGGACAGATTTTTGACTTGGCTGATAAGCTAGAACAATCAGAGATTCAACTGGGAAGAGGTGGATTTATGCTTGGAGTAGATTCCCATGACAAGAAGGCAGAGGACAAGCTTGCCAAGGCAACTAAAGATGGGTATGGGGACTTTTTTTATGAAACTGGACTGTTGGGGGGGATAGTACTTGGGTTGGAAGCTTACATTCAGTTATGGAAATGCCTTTACTTATCTTTGGCATTATTTAAGTTCACTACATTAAAAATGCATACAAAGTCAATTTTTTGTCACAAAAACCAACCAAATGCCAGCATATATTTCAAGTAGTATAACTAAGAGAATTACCAAAAGGCATTGTTTAATTTTACCCGAAAATGATGTTTGAACGGATTTTTCTGCTGGCATTCTAAGCTGTATGTCAATGGGGCAGGAAAGTAGGTCACGAATGTAGGTTAAATTTACAACCATAAATTTAAAGAAAGGAGCAGTCTAAAGGTCTTTTATGGCTGATCGAGTGATCTATTCAGTTTATCCCGTGGCATGTCGAATTTATTTGGGTCATATAAGAATCTAGTAGAAGTGGTTTACATGTGTTACTGGGAACTCACGTTCCACCGATGCTCGGTTCGTATGTACCTTTAACACTCTAGGTTAGTTTTCAATATTGAATAATTTATAATACATTACCCTAGACCATTTCAGAACTGAACAAATTATCTTTGACATCATTTAAAAGTTTTTTCTCTTAATTCCAGGTGCAAAAACACTATGGAGTCCATACATGGGTTGATGTCTCAAGTAATTAAGGACAAACTGTTTAACCAAGTGCATTCCACTTGAAATCTTATGATCAAGTTCTGTGGTATACCAGGTCCTTGCTTCCAAATGTCTCTTGAACCCAAGTCCTGAATGTTAATGAAACTAATCTATGACCTGTATATCTACCACAGCAGCTTCAAACTAGCTATCTACGCAATTATCATGATTGCATTGTTAATGGAGTAGCATTGGGACAGTTTAAACAATTTGAAGAAATGTTTAGAGTTAACGCGGAATGAACAGATGTGCATTTCTGTGAATGCAAACTCTTCACAAGAGGTTAAGACGACTTTTATTTCAAGGTATTTAAATGTGGCAAGAAAACATGGAAAGCATGAGATTATAGGGGCTGATACAAAAGTGTAAATAAATTCATTCAAAATTTCATTTGTCAGATATGAAATTACATATTCATAAGGGTCAAATACTTCTCTTATTAGTGACACTGGTCTATGGAAAAACATAGCCCTTTATAGATATTAATTACAATTCAATCCCCAAAGCTGCAAACACAGCAACGCTTTTTTCTTTAATTATAACTTAATACAGAAAGTTTTCTCTTATGTACATTGCACTGGATACTATTAAACCAAACAAAAAATTTCATATACAGCTGCCTGTGCTACATGTAACACATTTTCAGACAAATAAATTAATAATAATAATTTTCAAAGTTTTTGTATAATTATATTGTACATTTTCACATAATTTACCATGCAACCTTAACAAATTCTTTCAAGTTCAACTAATGTACAGAAGACGATATTTACAACTGCAACAATCAATTTACAAAACCCGTTATATTTTACCAGCTGGGCAGCTTCATTAATTATCCATACCCATTAGTCATTACAACAATACTGTAATGTCGAATCACTTAGGTTTATATCACTTGCAGATTGCAATTTCAAATCCATACTATTCTTCAGACGCGTGATCAAAATATGACTGTAAAAAAAAATACACTAGATAATGCTGCAGCATGTCGATGAGTATTTGTACAGGATGTTCTAGAGTTATTTTACAACAGTTTACATCACAACAGAATCTTTGTATTTGGTATTTGTCTTGATTGGACGGCGCTGGTTGGCATCCACTTTCTCGCCATAGAAAAGGTTGTGCTTCCTTTCACTTGCACTGGACTAGTGAAAATAAAAGTCGACATAAAAGATAGATTTACAAAAGAACCAATGGTCATTTACGAAATACCAGCATGAGCAGTCATCCCAAATTTATGTTTACATTTACATTAGTAAAACATTCATTAACAGCTGCAACTATCATATTTCTCTTTTTTCAAATTACTTACTAGTTTGGACTTGACTTTCTTTGGCAGTTCCTCAGTAAGAGTCCAGATTTCCTCTCTTTGTATTTTACTCTCACTGCCATCATCAAATTCCACCTAACATTTAAAATAAATCTCAATAAATATTAGGGCTACTTGGTGTTTCATATACTTCCAATCAATTTTTTCTTTATAAACCAGAAGGCAATACAAAGCACATCAAATTTACAAAAAAAAAATCTTGTGTTTATACATTAAAAAATTGATGCTGCAAAAAGTTCAATGTTTTAAAAATAGCCAAAACATGCTTAATGGACATCCCGTAACTACTTACAGTGTAAAGCAGATGAGAAATTGCTCCTTTAAAAATCCCATCATACAGGAGGCCATCTGGCCACATGACTTGGACAGCTTCATCTACTTCAGGAGGGCCATTCTGCACACAATCATGGCTCTGAAAAACAAAAAAAGAAAAGCCATGATCATCCCTTTTCAAATTTAAGCAATATTAATTGTCATTAATTTTTCTACTTCATTTTTATCTTACCTAAGTGGGGGAGGGGTCTCAAACCAGATGTACGTTGATAAGGTGGGCATTCAGTAATTCAGCACCTGGGCCATATTTCATGGGCAAATTTGTGATGAAAAAAAACCTAAGAATGTAGTTTGTGTACATATCATTTTGGGTGAACTATTTGTCATTACAAATGAAAAAGTGTCAAAAATGTAAGGGCCCACCCACCTACCCGCTCGACATACTTTCTGTTTGAAAATGCATCCCCTTGTTATCTATAACCCTAAACCTGTCTGTATTTACAAAGGGAAAAAACTTACTTTTATATCTTCAGGAAAAAGATCATTGCTGAAAGAGTTATCGTCAAATGTGACTTCATAGAAGACCTGGGTCTTACAGTCGACAACTTCACATTCGTAGTATCTGCTGTTCTTATGTTTTGCAATCACCCTGTCACCTTCTTTCAGGGTAGTCAACTTCCTTTCTCCTTCAAGTCTCTGTAATGACAAGAATTCTGTTATACAAGCATCCCATACAACATAAGGCAATTGTTTGCATAAGACAACAAAAGTACTATCAGATTACATAATGTGATGTCTATGCATTTAGGAATGGAATAGTTACAAGAAAAATATCTACAAATACAGAAATTGATACAGATTTTCACTGAATTGAGGGGATTCACCTTTACCTGATCTTTTGGGACCACATGTTTATGACAGGTAATATATACTGGAAAAGGCCAGTCACTGGTCTCAAAGACCACTCCTGCCACATGAGCACAAGTCACATGAAATGCATTAGCACATTTCCCCACAGAACACTGTGCACACACATCATGTCTGCCAACCATCTTCTTAAAGGCTTGTTCACAGAAACAGCATTTCTGGTGTGAGAAGAAGAGAAAAAATGAATTGAAATTAGAACACACTTCACAAAGTTGAGCACATTTCAATGCATTTTCGCAATACTCCTAATCTCTTTACCAAATTTGTTTTAATTATAATGATTTCTCAGCTTTTAACTATGTTAAATTTCCCACTATGTCAATATCAGCTCTATGATGAAAATAAAAGGAGAGCATGATTAAAATCTACATACCAATCTCATCCTAGCTGTGGAAACTTTGCTAACATTGACCCCTTCTCTATGTGCAATATCCTGGAACATTACTTCAGGGATTGTCAAAGCACAAACCAAGTGTGCCCACTTCTCATCCACTGTAGATTTTAATGCACCGCCTCTCAAATTACACAGCACACAGGCCTGGAATAGAAAGAGCATTTTTACAATTCCAATATTCCTCGAAGTTATCTTTTGAACCTCCAAGATGAAACTCAAATTTGAGGCGCATGATAGACAGAATAACCAACATCCTTTAGTTCTTCAAAATACTTTACAAATACATTTAGAACAGTATACATGTTTAACAAAGAAAGCATACACCCACAAAAGATGTTTTAATTTGTCAATATAAATCACGGGAGTATACAATATAAGCAAGTTAGTATTTAACATTATATTTTTGTTTTTGTTTATTTGTTTCAAAAATAAATTTTCCATCTTACTGCATCATGTGCTCCTTTCCTGCATCTGTCACATTGCCACCCTGTCTCAGGAGGTTTTACAACACCATAGCAGCCTAAAACACAAGCAATGTATGATTCAAATCTACTATAATTTATATGTGCAAGAATTTTTTTTCACACGTTCATCTTTAAAAGATAAAAGATGAAGGGCTGATACTCAAAGGTACATACGAACCAAGCATCGGTGGAGCGTGGATTCCCAGTAACACATGTAAACCACTTCTACTTTCTTATATGACTCAAATAAATTCGACATGCCAAGGGATAAACTGAATAGATCACTCGATCAGCCATAAAAGACCTTTAGACTGCTCCTTTCTTTAAATTTTTGGTTGTAAATTTAAACTACTTTCGTAACCTACTTTCCTGCCCCATTGACATACAGCTTAGAATGCCAGCAGAAAAATCCGTTCAAACATCATTTTCAGGTAAAATTAAACAATGCCTTTTGGTTATTCTCTTAGTTATACTACTTGAAACTATATGCTGGCATTTGGTTGGTTTTTGTGACAAAAATTGACTTTGTATGCATCTTTAAGACTTTGTTCTAAAACAAGACAAAATTAGGTCCCATCAATGTTATCTTCCCAGACTTGCAAAGATCTTCTGCAGACACCAGCAAAACTGTATCATGCAAAACTGTATCCTCGTATCCTTTGTACAGTTGTCACCTAAAGCATTAAATCTCTTACTCACTTGCATGAACACAGACTTGACAAACTTCACAGTACAGCAAGCTACTCAGTCCATCTTCATCCAGGTTTGTGTTGAAACCAAATGGATTGGGATTTTGTGTGCTTGACGCAAAGCACATCTCTGGTATCATGGGGAGTGTACGCTTTGGGGCATCCGAGGCAGTGAAAGTGCTTGGGGACAAATTGCCATTCTGGAAACATATGATCTTTTTTAACAGTTGTCATCTGACACATTTAATATAAGATTTCTTTGATGGCAAAACTTTGAAAACAGACCAACAACAGTTGAGTAACATGTAAATTCTTTATTCAAAGAGATACTTAAGTCTTGAGAGTAAGATAAGAACAAAGAGTCAAAATCAAAATGTATTAACTGACCTATGTCAAATGACCCATTGCAAAGAATATAAAAAAAAATTCTGTAGTTTTGGAAAAAACGCTTCCCATTATAATTACCTGAAAGGGTTTGAACAAAGAACACACTGCACAATAAGGTTCTTTCTTTGCCATTTCAGTATTAAACTGTTTTTCTGCTTCAAAGTCGAATGTTTCCCACTGCCACAGTTTGTTAACAGGCTTGGCCCAAGGTCCTAGGATATCTGCTGCTAAAAAGTACAATTTATTTAAACGCAAGACACATAGTCCACCTTACCTGTGCAATTATTCTGGTTCTACACAAAAAGTGAATATCATTGAGATAACTTATCAAATAGAAAAAAACTGCAATAGCCTTCTGGTAAACAAAAAGGTGAAGAAAGGGTCCATTTATCTCCCCTTTTCAAGGCCTGACTACCTTATCACATCCTTGTCCTCTCTCCAACTTACAGTAGACTTGGAGAAGCAGACATTTTGACAAACACACCATAAAATACACAATCCCAACACTTGCCATACATGCAGCTGCAGATGAGAAAATATATCAAGGTTTAAAAAACTTGGGTTGCAATTACCTGCTGGGCGTTGTACATTATTTGTCTTAGCATTTGAAGCACAACCACTTTCTTTTACTTGTGTAGATGAAGAAGTAATAGTGGCTGAATTCAAGGAGTTTGATTTGAGATTCTTCACACTTTCTCCATCTTTGCTGCTGCCATCTGAATCCATTATAATTTGCTGTGTAAGCTGTAAAATAAATGTCAAAATAAAATTCTGTTTAAATAAATGAGAAGTCTTTGGAAATCATTCTAAAAACATGAAAAATGTTGAAATGAAAAAAAAATCTTATTTCAATTAAATTCCCAATTGAAATAGCTTTTAACTTAAAAAATGTCAAAATTTGCAAACACATTAACAGGCACAAAAAGCATTCATGTAAAAGGTGATATTCATACTTTTTTCTTTGATCCTTTTGAAGTCTTTTCTTTATTTGGCGATTTCAATTCTGGAAGAATATTTGCATTCACCACCTGGCTGTTGTTGTTGGAAGTATTTTCATGCTCCAATTTTGATATCTTCATTTCACCTATTTTCTGTAAGTTGACAATTGTCACTCATTACAAAAGATGTCATCACATTTGATCATAATCTTAACAACCATCCTTATATACAACAATTAAGCCTTACCACAAGGGTTTGGATACAGCTGAACACCAGTATACATTCTTTGCTGTTAACCAAATATAACCCAATTTATAAATCACCAATTTCATTAGCCAGAAATTCAAACTTAAACCTATAATACCTCTCACATACCTCTAAATATTCAGCTTGCTGCCTTTCTTCATGCCACCTCTGCCTTTGCATTCGGATCACCTCATCAGCATCAAACTTGTTGGTAATGGGCTGGTCCGCTTTCTGGGCTGCAACATTCATAGGGGTGGTTATCTTTTTTGATGCCATTTTCTTCTTCCTTACAGGTGCACCACTTACAGTAACACCTGGCACAAGCATTTGGTTTTGGCTAGTTTGAAGCACTCCCAAGGAACCAGAACCTTCTGTACCATTCACTGAGGAAGCAATCACTGATGAAGTTTCTGGTAATTCATCTACTGTCACAGCAGAGGTGGAATTAACAGAATACCTTACTCTTGCATTTGTCTCAGAATGTCCAGGATTACCTTGTGGCAATGTCAATGCCACTGGTATACGCATATTTGAAGAGGTTACATAAGCCATCAGCTGAGGCACATTCATTGTTTGCGTCAACCTCTGGCTTTTCTGCTGCATAGATCGTTGTAATTCAAGTAAACTTCTGACTGTGGCACTGGTTGTGGTAGCATCATGTTGACGTACAATATCACTGGACATCTGTTCAGCAGCCTTTCCTTCTTGTTGTTGCTGTTGTTGCTGCTGCTGCTGTTGTTGTTGTTGTTGTTGCTGCTGCTGCTGCTGTTGTTGTTGCTGCTGCTGTATCATCTGTAGTTGGCCTTTGTCTGCTGTCACTTGCACAGGGTTTGTCAATACTGAACTGCCAGGATTAACTACACTTTCCTGGGCAACAGCTGGATTCTGTTCTCTGTACACAGGGACAGCACCACCTTGCACTGCCTGGAACATCATTGGGGCAGAGGTTGTGTGCAGGACAAGCTGTGGTTTGGCTCCCATTCCACCATGCTCAAGTTTTAATCCTAAACTTGGCTGAATATGTGTTGCACCTGGTGTATTGTTTGTTGAAATTACTCTAGGTGGTGAAACAAATTGCACACCCAGAGTTGAATTTAGTTGCAAAGACCCGGTACAAATACTACCATTTACTCTATTTACAACAGAGCCAATGCCAGAAACAGTCGCAACTGGTGTCCCAAAACTTGTGTTTGATACTGGTACAGAAACTGTACCATTTATAAGTTTATCAGGGTCATCCATTTCTTTTAACTGTATACCTGACACATTTCCCACATAATTAGGGTCTCTGAATACATTTTGCACATTAGAAGTGACTAGCGGACTCGTGTTTTTTGTCACTTCCTGATTCCTGACTGTTGTGGGAGTTTTGCCCACTGTTAGGCCAGGATTCATTGCTCTGTTGTGCAATGCCTGAGGAACTGAAGAGATAGGGTGTGTGAAGATAGCTATAGTATTCTGATTGCTGCTGCCTACTGCTTTCTTGACTGGTGCTCTCACCACTACTGGTAGAGCTTTGGCCGTAAGAGTTGTGTCTTGGCCATTCATTGTTCCATTGATGTGTGCTGTTTCCAAAGGCCTGTTGATCAATGGGGCCATACCATTCACTGCCACGACTGAAGTTGGAATTTGCTGATGAGAAAGCGGAACTCCAGCTACCACCCTGACTCCAGGAGTTTGCTGACCACTGGCTGTGACCGCTTGACCAGTAATCTGTCCTGAAGCCTGAGATGGTAGCTGGGACTGTCCGTTTAAAGAAACCATGGCATTTTGTTTAGTAGAACTTTTCTGAATCTGTTCATAAGCCAGACGCTGCTTCTGTATGAAAGCTTGAAGAGATTGTCTTTGTTGATTCAAAAAATACTGCTGCTGCAGCCCAGAAAGGTGCTGACTACCAAGAGAATACCCTTCTCCTGTGTTGCTTACAGAAGCAAAACTTTCACCAGGGGTTTCATCAAGGGTCATGGCATTATCCATCTTGTGTCCACTCATGGACAAGTCCAATACATTGCCAGATGAACTGACTACATTTCCCCTTTGATTATCATTATGCCTCAATATGTTAGCTCTGTGGATCATTGCCATTTGTTGGGAAGAAGCATTTACTGCCATAACACCCCCAGATAGGATTTCTCTTTGGGTAAAAACACGACTGGGTAAAATGGGATTTGTCAACGTAGATCCAGATAAAGTATTACTTTGCATTAGTTCACCAGCAAGCCTTCTCAAATGTGAAGAACTTCCTTGAAAATGACCAGTATTTGCTGGCAAGGGAGTAGCATTTCCTGACATATGTGCACCACTGCCTTGAACAAAGTTCTGATTAAACTGCAAATTTGATGAATTGTTCTTTTGCCCATTATCCTTGAAATGTTGCCAAGGGTTGGGGTTCCCTTGCATAATGTCATTACCCACAGGCCCTTTTGACATAACGCTCCCCTGTAATGTGTCCTTCACAACGCCACCAGGATCTGCTGTTTGAAGTACATTAGACTGCACATCACTGCCTTGTGAATAGTGTTCAGAATGAGGAGCACCTTGTTCAAGAGGCTCACAAGGTTTTTTATTTGGGGGCTGTCCTATCACACTATCTGAGCTACCAGTCTCTCCCACCAACCTTTTCCCCTGCCCACCTTTTCCCTTTTTCTTTCCTCCTTCTGAAGATTTTCTGGGTTTGTCAGTAAATTTCAGTTTTTCTTTCTCAGCCATGAATTTAGCAGCATGCTTGAGGTACTCTGACTGAAAAGACCCCATTTCAAATGCACTCCCTTGTCTCTTTGGAGGTTCCATGTACTGTTCTATTTTTTTCTTTGCTGACAAAACTGGGTCTGGAGTGCTTTCTTTTGTCACCTCCTCTTCGTTGTCCTCCTTCTTTTCCATTTTAATATCCTTATCTTTTTCCTTTTTAACTTTAACTTTCTTAGGTTTCTTGGGTTTTTCATCCCCGTGATCTTCATCTTCTCCACCAACTGACTTCTTTGGTCTTCCTCTTTTTTTCTTTGTTTTTGTTTCTCCATCATCTTCCCCTTCCTCCTCTTCACCATCATCTTTTAAACCCTGTTTCTTTAGTTCTGCATCCTTCACTTTAGCCAACTTTTCGGCAGAGATTTTGGAAATAGGATGTCTTTTTGTAGAGACTGTTCCAGTGCTATTAGCTTCAATTTTCCTTCTTTTTTCCCTTGAAAAAAAAAAAATTACAAATAATATTTCATAAAGATGGACATTACATGACAGCATTTTTGACATATTAACGTTAACATTAAAACTAAATTTTGAAGAATTTTCACATTAATTTTAGAAATGATTACAGATGTTAGGTACATACTTACAAAAAAAAATTACAGGTAACTCATAAAACAATAACTAAATAATCTTATTCTGTGTTGTGTTAATTTTTGTAACTTGGGCACTTAAATTTTTGAGCTGAGAAAAAAAATGTTGAAAAAACAAAATTTGAATCTACATCTATGAATGCAAAATATTTTGATAAGAAAAACCAAGAAGAGAAATTTTCTAGAAAATATTCAACTTACATGGCAAGTCTCTTCTCCAATGCTTCTGGTCTGCTATATATCTTGCTTTGATCATCTTCAGGATGCGGTGCCACATCTCTACCAGCTTTCCACAGCTCATAGCGATCTGGCTGGTAACGGCGTACAAATGCTTCCATGCTAATCTTGACCATATCTTTGCGACAGGTACACTAAAAAGTAACATTTTCCTTTAAAGACAATTTTCAAGACAATCAGGGCATTTTGTGGTAAAACTATTTATATTACAAATGAAGACGGGAATTCAAAGACATGTGAATCAGATACCAAGGTATAAAAGTCAAAACATTTCTTCAGTAGTGAGCTATATAGACAAACACCTCTGGGACGTACTTCTTCACTTTCTTACCTGTGTACATCTCTTTCCATACTCAATCCACCGTTCTGTTGCAAAATTTGTTGATTCAGCACAGTTGTAACCATGATTGAATCCTGCATGGTATCCATATGGGAAAGTAATCATAATTTCACCAGCCTCTTGGGTAATCTGTAACAATATATAAAGAAAAACAAAGATAAGAATGATACCTGACACATGTTATACATCCAGTATCTTTTGACAAATTGGTACAATGTAACACAATTTTAATGCTAAATCTATTTCATGTACTTCCTGTACTACAAATACATAGATTTCTTCAATGATACAATCATATTCCTATACCAGCATTCTTCTCACATCAAAAGTTGCCCAATGCTAAAAGGAATACTGGACTTACATTGTAACAATAAAATACTATTTAAGTTAAACCCACCTTATCAAATGGGATAGAATACTGCTTCAATATGTGTGGAGATATTATGGTCATCTTGTGCCTGAGGAAGGCAGGACAAGCTTGTTGGCTACTTGGAAAGAAACCTGAAAAATTCAAGACATTTTTTTAGTTTGAAAAGTATTGTGATAGATATTAATGTCATGCTCTAAATCCATTAGGTTTCTCTCTTTTTCAAAGTCTTTACAAAGTCTTTAAGCAGACAAGCAGCAGAATATTATCAAATGCTTCAATTCTGTCAAGAATATTATTTGTCTAACCATCATTTTTATAATGTTGAAAAGCTTAATTCATACTACACCCCCTCCCTTTCCCTGCTACATGTATCAATCTATATGTTTGTTACCTGTAGCCAGTCTTTCCAATCTTCTTCCATGTTCTGGAGGAACACAATACCAGGACTTGGGAGCTCCAAAGTGGACATAGTTAATACTGTACAGATCCATGTCCTCTGTATGCCAAGCAAAAGTGGTCTTCCACATTCCAAAGTACAAATAAGCTGTGTTCACCCCTTCAATCTTGGTACCATATTCTTCCCCAACACAATCTAAAATGCTCCCCAAATTCTGGATATTGCAGACTGTCTGGTCTGGGTCCGTAAGGCTGCCAGAGATATCTGCTCCATAAATGGGATTGATGAACGAGATGTTTTTCCAGTATTTGCGCTCTAAGTCTTCATAATCATAATGCAATGGGGTACGGAATCTAGAAAAGTACAAAATTATATCTGAAAGTAAGGCAAATGTTCTTAACATAAATAACAATAACAATGAATTTTTTTTAAAAATCCTCTGATGGTAATTACCTGTCACTATTGGCCAATTTTTCAAATTCTTTATAATGCATAGCTTTCTTCTGTATGTTGTACTGCTGATAGAGTCCCTGGCAACCATTAACTACTTGGCTTATGGGAGCTGGTATGGTGATGTCTATGTCATCATAGCCACCTTTTCTTGGCACCCATTCCTTTGGTGGAATGATCTGAAAATATACAGATTTTTCCACATACTCGGCCAATGATATGAAAAGATAGTCCTACATTAAAGGGATAATAACTCTTCGTATGAGATCTGTATTTCACAATGAAAACAATGTAAACAACTCAGAAATATGATATATTCCGTTTTACCACAAAAACAGCAGTTATAGTTATTATTCTGACATCTGAGCTTGTCATCGGACCACATGACCTGTATATATGGCTATACTCTGTAATATTCTCTTAAGAGATTATAACACAAAAACTTTTTAGAAAAAAACAGGGACTAGCTTTGAATGTAGAAATGGATTCATTAACCATTGGTAAGTATGGGGAATTGTTGTTTACTCCAGGAAAATTCATTTTTGATCAGAACAAACAGTTATTATCACTTTAATCTTAAAGCAAAGCTTAGGGCATATATTATTGAAATGGTCAGTCACAGAATAACAACAACATTCAAGAACTGTGCTCTGCTTCAAGTTGCAATTAATGACTCTAGTGAAGTGGTAACAGGAATTTTTAATTCCTTTTCCAGCTTATGAAAAATATCTTAGCAACTTATAATTTCTGAACGTAATTTGAGCAATTCTGCATGAATTTTAATTACTCTTTTCCTTCAATTGATTTATTAGGAATCATCAATTTTTTTTTCTAATATGAAAAAAAAAAGAAAGAAATACATACTTTTGCTATTCCAGCTTTGTGGGCACCTTTGGACTCCATGTATGCAATATATTTATTGAAGTCTTTGAATTCTTCCATTGTTGGCCGGAAGACCATAATTTTAGGGTTATTATGACCTCCGCTGGAAGACTCCATGGTGAAATAGCTTTAGCTAAGTCATTAAAGCTGGAAAAATAACAACAATCCTTGAATAGCTGAACTCAGCAACCATATTTTATCAAACTGAGCAGTTCATTTTTCATTTACCCAAATCAAAAATTTCATTTTATCACAATATGTTATTTGTTTGTTACTATTACTCTGTTACATCCATCATGATACACTAACAATAAACAATATCCATCATTTAATGAGTAGAAATAAAATCATTAACCAAGCCCTTTCTATGATGTTAGGCTTTACATTAACAATTTTGAAGGAATAATAAGCCATAGTATGTATATATTTTTTGGCCAACAACAATATAGAAAGGCCTTTAATTGCGCATTAACATTTTTGTCTATGAAGAGCTGCATACATACCAAATTGACCAATTTGATAAAATTATAAAATGACAATGGTAAGTGATTAAATAAATTACAAAATAATAGAATAAATTAAATAGAAGAATTTAAGATAAACAAAGGTCCATCTTGCCCTGTAACTACTAAGTCTGGAAAAAGTCTTGACAAAAATGGATATTTTTTCTTCTTGGTCATTCACCCCCTCATTCCCAATTTAGCCAATGCTTAGAGGTCAAATTCTAAGTATTGTATATTTTTAACCTAAACTGTGTCATTAAAAATTTGATTTTCTGATCTTGCATACATTTGCCAAAATAAATTCTCTCACTTTGCCTATTTAACATATGTACCTATTTCTCTGCTTTAGTATATTATAGAAGCAAAATAAAAATGTGTTCATGCCCACCTGCTAGACTTATTGTGACGAATTTCATGTCTATGTCACTGTGGAAATATCTAGGTGTTGAAAATCTAGTTGGGCAAACTTTGACTAATTTTTGAGAATAACATCTTGAAAAATCGGTAAAATTATGTTGTCACTATAACATGAACATCTTTTGCTCAAGATTAATAGAATAGCTGAGAAATTATTTTGTTTTATTCATACGCAGACAAGCGTCTATCTGTGAACCCATTATTGGCAAAAAATGTGTGGACCCTACTTAAATCACATTCCAATTTCTATACAAAATGTTGATAAGAGTGCTCTGCTACACATTGGTCACAATAAGCAATGCGTTTATCAATCATTTGCTAAATTGCAAAAAAATTCTTTATTAGTTTTAATTAGTTATCTCAAATGCAACATATTTATTGTCACGACATCGTCTGTTTTGTGATCTGACCTCTGTGCCCACATTGTTTACATCTGATAGCAGCATAATTTCTCAATGTCACAAAACGAAAAGCCATTTTCAGAAGAATATTTCCTTAGTTGACTTCTAGGACCCTTGTGGGTAGTGATATTTAATGGTTAGGCGTGCTATCTACTGATAAATAATAACGAAAAGGTGTAGCCTATGGGTATACAATATTTCATGTGACTTAAATAGCGTAAACCACAGCGTGTGGGGACTTACTCAAGTTGTTCGAAGACAAATGAAACCAATCACTGACACAAACAAAAAGGGAGCAGACGAAAGTGAAATTTTACAAAACTCATTGGATACACCTACTGTGGTAATCAGAGAAGAGCGCCCCATTGTGGTGAGAGGCAAATAAAGGTGTACGTGACAAACCGCTTGTCTTGTCTTCGGCTTCGGAGAAAAATATCAAAAATGGCAGCAACTTGCCTGCCCTCCCATCCTGAACTTGGCTGCAATACTTACTTTCCTCACCCATGCTCCCCAACATAAAAGGCCATATGTAGTGAACATTGAATTTCAAAGCTACAAAAGCCTATTTACCTTTAAAATGGCAATCTAAAACGCTGTAACAACGGTACACGTTGTATCCTCAGTAAAGATTTTCTCGATCGGCATCGGCCATTACAAGTAACCTTGTAACGACGCCAATGCTATGAACGTGCGCAATATCATATAGGTCTAAAGCATTGACACGTTTTTAAGCTAAAATCATTAGTTATAGTCGCTTAATGATCTTTGTTTGTGCCCAAGGACCAATGTTACCACACTGATCAAGATTTGGTATTTTTCACTGAAGGTTAAATTGGAGGTATTTTTAATGTACGGCGCAATAATATGTAGGCATTGGATTATGCAAATGAGTTAGTGAAATATATTTGCCTGCCAACAGCTCAGGTACAGCAGTCTGCAGACAGTAGGCTACATGTCTCAACTGGAAGCATTAAAACTTTTGAATCACTTAAAGTTGATTTTATTCGCTGAAAAACAGCTTTGTAGAATTAATTTACAAATGAACGGGGTGAATGGGCTTGTGAAGTAAGTAATAGGGCCTACGTAGGCTACTAATTTCCCCTTCGCCACACGAGCTCATAGCCCTACTTGTAGTAGCCTACTTGTAGCCTACAGTTATTCAACCTTATACGCCTAATATTCACACAAAAAGACCATTTTGCATGTACACTAATTTAGTGGCTTATTTGAGTATTACTTATAAGTAGGTCTTTTTCATAAACACAAACATCGCCCACTCTGATCCTGGTTCTCCTCTGCGATAGACCACTAGGGAGTTATAAACCGAATATTAGGCCTAGGCTTAGGCCTACTATTTTTTCCCTTTCAAATGAACGTTTCCAAATATGTAGGCCCTATCTATGTGATAACTGTCGCAGGGTGAAAAACTCCAAGGACCTATAACACTGTATCCACTGGGGTTTCTGTAGCAAGAGTTCACCCATATTCCGACCCTTCAGCGACACTTTTCGGTAAATTGATTGAGAACGATGGGGGCGTCTCGATAGTCCGAAGGTTCATTGGTCCGAAGGTTCATTGGTCCGAAAAGTGGTAACATTTTCATCGATTTTTTAATCAAGGGTTCATTGGTCCGAAGGTTCTATAGTGAACATTCGGACCAATGAACCTTCGGACTATTGAACCTTCGGACTATCGCTACGGCCCCGAGACGACCAACTGGAACTGATCAGGATCAAGTCATTGTCACACTGCACATCTTCTTATTGAAAATCAATAGGCTTATAAAGATCAGTGCTATAGCCTAATGTGCACTCTTGTTTAGTGTGTAATAGTAGTAGTCCTCTGTCCTATCACAGAGGACTATAATAGTAGGCCTAGTCCTCTGTGGGTAAGATATAAAGAAATGCAGCGACTATAAATTTGACTCAAAACGGTAGGCCTATTTTCGAGTCTTATTAGGGCTTGAAAGTCAACATAACTCTGTAGGCCTACAATTCCCAATAATCAGACATATGTAGGCCTAGCCTACCTATAATTTTTTTATAATTATTTCAATCTAAAAACAGTTGATGATTTTTAGTTTAAAATTATATGCCTGATGAAACGCAATCTGTAGGCCTACCAAAAATCCAAACTCTATAAGATTCTGAACCGATTAATTCTTAAAATGTAGGCCTAACAACATTATTTAACTTTCTTTTTCATTTTTTTTTTTTACTTCCTACATTTCTTTCAGTCTTTCCTTTTTTTTTTAATTGAGAAATTCATATATTTTGATAGGCCTACATATCACTGTAAGAAGCCTCTTTCTTCTGTTTTTCTAAGGCCAGAGTTACTATTAGCGTTTCACAAGTAGAAAGACGAGGTAAATAACCCATCATGTAACTTGAAAGTTAAAGTTATTAGGCTACTCCTTAACGACATCATCCATGCTTAATCCAACGTCCATGTTCTCGTCGATGCTAGCTGCTCTCACCAAAGTCACCGTACTCTGTGACCGCCCCGGCGTGTGCCCAACGATGCTAATTTCTACCCGAGAATCTTCCTTGTTTTTCCCCTTTCTGCACCAGGTCCATTCCGGGACATTATCTGGGAGATGGTGGTCCTTGGTCTCCGGCAAGGTTAGACCGAGAAATGCTGCAGCTAACCCCAGGACCCCGAACACAATGAATGGTAGTTCTTTGGAGACCTTGTCCTGAATAAAATATATAAAATAATATATGAAATAATATTCTGTTCATCTAAATGTCGAGCCTAAAGTTAAATATATGCATAAAAGGATATTAAGCTCAAGACAGACGCCTTATGATCAATATCGCCTTATGATAGAAAGAAAGAATGAATTAAAAGGGATTATCACAAGGCAGCCCTTCATGTTAGCACTGACAAGTTCTATTGCTGAAAATGCTAACTTCCTGTTCACCAAAAAACACTTACCAAGTAAGTAAACTGGGGAGCAACTACGCCTCCTATTCGGCCAGCCATTGAGGCTGCACCAGATCCAATGCTCCTGGAAATCACAGAAACCATTAGGCTATTCATCACAACAGGTTTGATAAAGCGAACAGAAATTTTGTATTTTAGTCAAGCTACATGTTAATGTTTAATTAGCATATACAGTATTATTACATGTATTTAGTCCTACATTTAACATATTGTAGCCATGAGAGACATGTCTTGATCTTTATTCCATATGATTTGGGGTTGTTTTAACGTTACCTAATGACAGTGGGGAATAACTCTGCAGTGTAGATATAGCCTACATTCCATGCCGATGTTACTCCTAATTTGCCAACCATTGCCAAAACAGTCACAACAGTGCCCAATTCTTCCAACTTCCCTAAAATATTTTTATTATCGCCTTATTTAATTGATGCATTTTATTGCATTGGCGAATTGCAGAGATTTATCTGTATAGTGAGTAGAGAGTGACTTAATATGAAATTTGGGATACGGCAGTTTTTGTATACTCAATACGTCGGGGACGCTCATTATTTCAATTATTGAGTTAATGAAGCAGCTATCTACCCAACATGCAGTAAACTACTCCTTAATGTCCCTCGAAAGCCTGTTACGTACACGCACCTGCAAGGCCAATAAAAAGGACAGAGAAAGTTGCAAGTCCACCAATAAGCATAGTTACGAACATTGTAAGACGACGGCCGAGTCTGTAAAAGAAAACGTGGGAAAGTAACGTGCAGGAATGATGAAAAGTTATAGCACCAGCGCCCGATTGAAAATTAACAAAAACAAAAAAGAAAATAACAAAAAGAAAAACAACAAAGACAAAACAGAAAAGAAAAACACCTACTTATTGCTAAAAATGACGACGAATGCTAGAGCTGGTACCTCTACAGAAGAGAGGAGAACGGCATTCAAATATATGTCACCCGGCAGGTGTTTTACATTCAACGATAACCCGTAGTACGTAGCTCCATACACGAACCTGAAAATTTGATAATTGTTTAATTAAGTGACACATATCCATAGTTAAATACTTATTTTACCCTTTTGTGAATGGTATAGAATTTGAACTATTCATTCGTATTAGAAAGTAAGCGCCGATGTTTTTTTTTTTAAATGAAGATGACTGTATTTGTCAATTCATTCAATTGTTTTCTTAAAATCTTTCATGAGAAAATATATATTACCTCCTGGACAGAAGGAATGATCGATGACTTCAGCAACAACAATGTACTTACAGTGTATGATCATCAAAAACCACCACGTACACCTACCATGCAAACATGAGGACAAGTGTGTGCCGGGTGAGTAGAGGAGTGCGGAACAAGTCCCAGTAGCTATACTTCCCGGTTGTTGTTCCTTTTCTTTTCTCATCCTTTATAATTAAAGACAAAATCAGAAAATTGTGAAGTAAAATATCTGTATTTGAAATGCTAGTGTTTGTGCTCATATGAATAAAAATATTCCGGCTTTTTAAAGACGTTTATGTTATATCAATAATTCTGGGTCATGGTAAAGTACTAATATTTTGGCGAGAAACATTTGTGGGATCAAAGTTAAGCCCCTGTTAAACCGGCTGTATGTAACATGGGTTTTAGTTGTCTTCAGTGATATATCTAAAATGAGGCATCTTGCATTGAAATACGCACTTCCAGATATTTTCTGAACGCTTCGAAATTTGGAGTTGGTTTCTTATTGACTCTTGCTATGAGTTCTAGCACCTTCTCTGCTTCCTGCTCCTTGCCATGCATAGCTAGCCAACGAGGACTTTCTGGAAGAAATCTTTAAATACCTCATTATACATAAGTGTTCCTTACATTTCTAACCGGTTGAAAGATCGTTGTAACGATGATTCACTGTCCGGAACTTTGTTCCCAAGTTGCCTAATCATAAAATTGTAATCATAGATAAAGAAAAGTGTTATTAAAAAAATTCACTAAAAGTTACTCTGAGACCATTTGACTTTTGAACCTTCAAACTCTCGTACCAAGAACTGTGGCCCAATCAGCCCTCTTACATTGTACCAAACACTTTCGAACTAATGAGATTTCAGACTGTCGGACACGCCCATGCAAAATAAAAATTTATCTTAACTAACCACCGTTGTTAGATAGAGATAAACACCTGAAACTAAAAAAGAAAAGATAAAAATAGAAATAAAACAATGTTACAAGAACTACAAAACTATATACAAACATCAGCTTTTTAAAACAATATCACTTGTTTTCAGTTGACTTCAAATTGGTGTTTTATGTCTCACCTCCACAAAAACCAGACTAACACTGTAGGGATGGGGGTGGTCACCATCACCAGCGTCTTCCAGTCACGGATGAAGTAAGCTAGGAGAGCCAACAGCATGTTTCCAACCTGCCAGAAACCCACAGCACCGTTCACCACTCTCCACTTGGCACCAACGAACTCTATAGGCCACACGTAACTCACGATCAGTAAACCTGAAATTATCATGAGCCGGGTAAGTGAATTCCTTTTTTTGTTTGAACAGGATACCGTTACTGAGAAAATAATGGCCACTTCATATTTATTGCTTTCCAAAATATAGAGTGAATAAATAAAGAAGGTAAAATGTTTAAAATATGTCGCAACTGGTGCTGTTACTTTTTTTGAGGATGTTTTCACAAGGGAACACGAATTAAAATAATGTCGGCACTTATGGTTTCTGAGAGCCATCTACCTCTATATATGGATCATTCAAGACGGGTTTTGCTATTCTTACCACCGGCACACATTCCATTAAAAAACCTCATAGCGGCGTATATTTCCCATCGGGGAGCAAAAGCGTTGCAAAAGCCGACAATGGAGTTGACCGTCATGGTAGCAAACCAGACAGGTTTCCGACCAAAGGCGTCCGAGAGCTGACTGATAACAAGTGCGCCAAAGAAAATCCCTGCCATTTGTATTGTAGTGACGATGTCGCTTATTTCATCCAAGGCGCAGACTAGATTCCACTGAAAATATCACACAAAGGAATACATCTAATGAAGATATTTTTTGTATGGTGCCAATGAACTCTTCTGGATTAATGAGAAGCTTGTTAAATAAATTTGTTAAGATTTTTTATTAATGAGCTGATACATTGGGGAGAAAATGAAATAAGAAAAACAACAAATATCATATAGGCCTACGGGCGCTGTTTCACCGTTTCAACATGACTGTATTTTAAAGAAATGAAAAAGAGGTAAAAAATTTATAAAATAAAAAAAGATCTCTAGCCGCCTCTGTCCTTGTAGATTAAGAAGATAAATACAAAGGGGCGTTTTCTTCAATACAATTGTCATAATTGTCTCTTATCTACGGCGTTACCCTGGTATTTACTTAAGAAATTGTCCTACAGAGCAGTAAGTGTCGCACCTTACAATGACTATTTTTCATGCTAATCTTACCTCAGTCACGATCGACGTAAATTCTGACGTATATTTTATGCCTTGGCATACGCCATTGTCCGGTGTGCAGGCATCTACACGACTCATGCTTTTATTTCCTTGGTCCCAATCGGGTACTGTCGTGGTATTGCTCCATTCCGACCAGGGAACGGTGTTGTTAAGGGCTGGACACTCCCAGTGTGGCTGGGCACCGATAAAGATTGGTATCAGAATCGTCCACCCAGTCATTAAGTCACATAAGTTGACAATGACGAACACTTCGATTTGTTTTCGACCGAAAGAGCCTAAAGAAAGCATATGACATCATTTTTAGCTTGTCCATTGAAGGACTATCCACAGCCGGTTGATTTTTATAATTCATTTAAGACAAATAACTTCATAAAGTCTTTATCTGCAGCATTTAAGCTCTGATTTTTCAGAAGTATTGGCGAGACCTTACATAGTAAATAAGCGATGGAGTTCGTCAGAAAGTTTTCATTTATGGTAGATCCAGAAATTTGATTTACATGTTGACTGTTTGCTCTATTCACTCTCACAGACTTGGTGAACAGGTAATTACCTCAGTCTTGATGATGACTTGTTAGTCCCTCTCTATATCTATCATAAATGAAAACTTTCTGACTACCAAAACTAAGATCCAATGAAACTATTTTCACAAGCGAAAAGTAGGCCTACATTTTGCATTTGCAGCGTTCTTTTACTGTAGTTGCAGGTTGTACACATTCTAGTATATGCAAAACATATATATGGATTACTTACCTATATCCTTAAGGATGCGTTCAAATCCTTCAGACATTATGTAGGCGTAAAAGGAATACACGTCAGTCCAGTGAAACTACTTGGCAATACTTCGGACAACAGTTATAAAAATGAAGTGGCAATTCTCTCCGTAAATGTGCCGAAAATGTGCTATATGCTGCCAAAGATAACACGGCCAGCAGAAGTCGCCAGTTTGTGTATTCATGAGTTACGATGTCACTGACATTGTTATGAGTTAATAAGTGCCATAAATATAGATAAGGGTTACCATAATATGTTTATTTTTGCTATCATTTGTAACTGTAGGGCATATTGAAGTGTATCTTTCGTCCGTATATTACCCTCGAAGTCATTATATAATGTCACTAGATGTCAATTGATGTCATTTCATGTACGTGTTTGTGTTGACAACAAGAAGTAGCATTTTATATTGTAAAACTTATGCGAAGAGAACATATCTAACTGCAAAAAAATGCGTGTATTTTGCACTCAAAAAAATATTCATGTATTTATAAATGTATTATATACAGCCTGTGTAGTATCACAAATTACCCTTCGTCTATATCCTTAGTAAACATAAGTGCAATATTTTTACAACAGAATATGGGTTTTGAGTTTGTTAATTCGGCTGGAATTTATAATGAGTCGTGCTAGTACATAGATGCTATAAAACCTTTTTTCATTTGCTGCGTCTTGGGCGGATTTCGTTGTGATTTGAGAAAGCTGTGTTGCAAGCAGATTTGACTAAAATGTGTACTCTGGTTATATAACATTTGGAATGAAGCATATATAATTTATTCTTACTTTAAAAAATATTTTGAAATGTCTTCTGTTTTGCCTTGAGTGGGCAAAAAATAGTAAATAACTTTCATTAACCAGTTCATCTTCTTCACATTGGCAGTAAAGTTCTCCGCATAACTTTTTGGCCTTGCAAAAAGTAGTAAATAACTTTCATTTACCAATTCATCTTCTTCATATTGGCAGTTACAAAGTTATCTGCTTAACTTTCTCACGCCGTCTCTGAAAACTGAAAAAAACCATTTTCTGCTAAACTCTGTGCGACACTGCTTTTGCCTCTACTGTTTGATTGCGATATCTACCGCGTGCTTTTCTGACTCTTTCTCCGCAAACGCATTGTATGTCCTCAATCCTCCGTAGGCCGACACCTGTCTGTTTTACCTCGAGAAAGGGTTTTAACTCAGTTAAAAAAATGACTTTGGGTAGTCGTAATGAATTCATTACTCTGATGTCATCGACAATCATTTACCCAACGTATAAATTAGGCATTTCTCATACCAAGTGCATGCTTAGTTTGATCTCCGTTAAAAAGTAATTTCGTTTATGTCAATATCCTGATACCAAACGATTTTATGGATTTAGTTGAATTCAAAATATCATAAATATCACATAGAAACTGTTATTTTTGAAACGCAAATTGTTTAATTTTCATTAGAAAGGCTAAGGGAAGTCATTATGCGGCATAGATGAACGTTAAGTTTATCGTAAAAAATTCTGTTTACATTAATATGGTTATCAGAGATTACCGCAATCGACCTAAATTTTAAAGTAGCGTAGAAAACATGTCATCAGAATACATTCCATTCAGTCGAGATAATCTAGTCGATCTTTACTATAGGCCCTACTTTTCTTTTAAATTCAGGTTGGTCTGACCAAAAGTAAATGTCGCTTTTCGTCTAAATAGGCATTTTCACACCCTTTTACATTGATTTGTTTTTCTAAATACGCCAAATATACGTATATTGGATAAAAAAAGCAAATCTCACTTTATTATTTAAACTAAAACAAAATTGCTTTTTAAATATTGCCTAATTCTTACATTACTACGAAATTCTCGGAGTATCCTTTTTTTAACTCTATCATGGTTGTTATCACCGTTTAAGCCAAAACTAAAAGGAATTTTCCCATGTAGTCATTTCAGTATACAAGTGCCCCTGGTGTTTGCAAGTTCCTTGGTGAGAGATCAGACGCGAGAGATTTAAATGATATTGGCAAAAAACGGTAATGCAAGACGTATTGCACAGTAGGATAAGTGTTACTAAGATAGTGAGTGGGCACAGTAACAACACTTAAAACTTCAAAGGAGATGTCACAACCCAGGTGCTGCAGAGTTACAGCATTTCTTGACCACACAGGAGCATATATGTCGGGCAAGTTGCCAATGTTTGTAAATTGTTAGGAGTTCCAGACCAGTCCCTTTGGTTCACCCTCGTCTCACTGACCTACCCACGGCCCACGCTTTGCCCATGCACGACGGGTCCACTTTCGTGTATAAATCGTTTGATTTTCCTAATACACAGATTTATGTTATTTTTGTTATTATTCTTCATTGCATGCAAAAGAAACAGGTAAACAAATGAATAAATAAATGGATAATTAAATAGAAATATGCTGCAACAGAAGTTGCCCAATTATGGGGTATATGTGGGTTGAGAAGGAGCTGTTTGGCAGTATTGCTTTACAACGAACAAACTGAACGCTGCTTTTACCTTTCTTTTGAACTATGATTTGGGTAATGCAGTGTAATTTGTGTAATAAGAAAGGAAAATATATAAAGCCAGGACTGAAGCTGAGCAACAAGCGCTCGACCTCGGCGAGTTCGCAAAACATATGGTTAAAAATACCGGGGTTACCACCTCTTTGAAAGGGGTTTTGGTCACCTCTCTGTCTTGGTGGCAGGTGGTGTCCAAATAATATCTCACGCCGTCTTCTTTGGTCTCCATTACAGTTCATTGGTCGTCCATGTGTGGAAATGTTCAAAATAGGATAGCGATCAGCCATTGCAAGACAGTACCTTTATGGAGTAACTAAGTGTCGCAAGTGTAAAGTCACTCTCCAATCAGTCCGATAGGCCTTAAAAGACTCCGAAGTCGCTCGACATGCTACAGGGTCTGGTCAGGTAAATGGAAACAGAAGGCGCCCCATAAAAATGAGAAAAAATATCTTGGGGTGAAATTTCTATAAATTGTTTTATTTAATGTATGGTTCTCCAAAAATATTGTTCAAACCATCGAGAGTTTGGGTTTTTAATATTTCATGTGGCAAGGGTCAGATATGAGCACATGTCAAAGGATGGCAGTTACAAAGTAGTTATACGAGTATTTGAGGTACGCGAAAAGATGTAGCCAGCTTGGCTATAAGAGAGTGTTTTGCCGATTTAAAGCAGTTTGTTAGACTAGATGAGATCTGAATCCATACCAAGACAACTGAAATAGGTTTCAAATAATTAGTTGCATACTATGACATGGGCCTCAGCAAATCCTAAATTGCCAAACGGCTTGTCGTTTCAATGTGCATTTTGCTTAGAGTACTACTGAAGAGAAGCATACGAAAAAAACAGGTCGATCCCGTATAGATTTTGATATAAATACCAAGTTTATCAAAAATCCCTTCATTTTGTACAGATGGGTTCTTTTTTACTTTAAATTGAATATGCAGGTATTTTTTCGTTATACCAGCTAACTCTCGTTTCTTCAGCATTCTTTTGTGTATTCTCTACGCAGGGATTGCGTGTGAGGTGCCTATGTGTAAAGGACTGATAGAGGTCTCGTCATAAAGATTTTGTTTATTTGTAACATAACATATAATAAGTGAAATTCAATCGGACTCTACAACCTGTTCACTATCTTTCTGTGTTTAATGTATTCTATGACGCAGTGAATAAGTTTAGTGGGTTCTAGATCTATTCAAGGCCGAACCATGAAATAAACCAATATGATACACTAAAGACTGATAACTACGATAGAAAAAGGTAATGTTATTTAATATATTGGTGATTATACTGCTACTAGTATAATTAAACATGTACATAGGTACGTGTGTTTTTTCCCCTTTCTGTGTACCCCTGAGACATGGATCAACTTCAAAGTTTGAGAAGGGGAAGTCAACGACTTTCATCTAAGATGTTTAACGTAAGAATCTTAGACTCAAGTTGCAGGACTCTGTCTTAAAGTTGGCAGAAACAACAAGCATTGCCCCTGTCCTGAGCCAGAGAAGAACAAAATGGATTGGACAAGCTAGCAGAATGGAGGGCACCAGAATATCACGTAACTTGATTGTCTTTGGTGAGCTGAAGCAAGTCTGCAAAGAAACCATGCTGCAGTTCAGTATAAACCCCTTTGCACAAAATCGCACAGGAGCCCAGTCATCAGGAGGGACGGTTAGCCCAGGATTGTGAGGAGAGAAGGCGACGCAGGACACTCAATGCTCACACTGCCCCATCACCGGATGATCTCACTTCTCCATGCTGCCAACGGTCAAACATAGGCAGAGTCAGATTTGAGAGAAGTTGTAGGACACACCGCTCCTTACTTTGCACACTGCCGAAGACGGTCAACTATGCCGATAAGAGCCAGACCATTACTTCTATAACGTAAATTTTATTTTGCACAATATTTTCTCCTAAATTACCATTCAACAGGTAAATAGATGTCAACTCAAAAAGGAAAATGTCAACCGACCACGTAACATGGAGGAGCAGGTGTTTTGATACACGTATTCGCGTTACGGATTCTCTGTGGTTAACCCACGTATGATACCATAGGTTCTTTTCGTACGCATTCAATAGAAAACTTAAGGTGGTTATACACTGAATGGTATCGACCAACCCTTTTCCATTTGACCGAAGGTCACGGTCACCAAACTGCCCAATGAATGCACTTTCACTTATCTTTGTGAGAGTAAATTTGTACTCAATTTGTACTCTGTTGTATGGTTATGACACTTGAGCAGATTTATAAGAACTTGAAGATGTATATTTGGGCGCTTTATGAACAGATGATCCGCGGACAAGCTGATCAGCGGACTAAATATGGTCGACCCCACGTAAAAGATAAACAGTGTTGAATAAAACTCAATGCATTTTAAAATGCGGTCGAAGAATTTGACGACCGACACTACTAAGAGAGACAAATCTTTACCAATATCAGTTTCAGGATTCATCACGTGGAAGACAAAGTGCATTTAGTCTTTAAAATCTGATCTGAATCTGCTCCCAGAATTCGGTGGTCACTTGGAGTTTCAAGGGCATTCAGTCTTGGCAAACGGAAAAATAAACAAGGTTTAAAGGTCAAGCAAATGCCTCTTTGTCAATACAGGCAAATCAGATAGAGTTGTAGAGTGAAGTAACCGATTTGGTTTCAGGGATCAAAGTAACTCAACAAATAAGCCAACAGTGTTGACAGGCATTTATTCATC